CAGGTCACGAAGCTTCGAGGCATTCTGAGCGTACCTGCAATTCCGCATTATCCAGCCAGTCCAACCGTGCGCCGCGATTAAACTCTCTTTCATTTCCAGCCTCTCTCAGCGCGGGGTGTGCTAGAGCAGCCGTTCAAAGGGGGGGCCATAGCATCAATGCGACGGTCTAAAGCGTCGATTCTGGTCGACGGCATCTCAGAAACACAGGCTGGTCTGTGATATGATGTACTGAATTCGTTCGCCGTATTTACATGGATCATGTTCTACGGCGGCACGGCGTCACTCACATCGGGAGAACGGGGGGATGGCTCTCCGTGGATATCATCGTTGGCATCGTCGCGTGAGCGAGGTCGCGCTATTGACCTTTAGCATCGTGATGGCCGCGCCGGCAGATGCGTGGGCGGCAGACGATTCGATTGCCTTCGGGCGCGACGTTCAGCCGATCCTTGCTCGACGTTGCTTTGCATGTCACGGCCCCGACGAAGAAAACCGAGAAGCAGATCTACGAATTGACTCCTTGGAGTTAATCATCGACAACGGGTTGCTCGTGCCCGGCGAGCCCGACGAAAGCGAAGTGCTTCGTCGTGTTCTGTCCGACGACCCCGACGAGCGGATGCCACCGCCGGATGCCGAAGAGCCACTCACGGAACAGGAACAACAAGTTCTGCGGGAGTGGATCGCTAAAGGCGCCGCGTACAGTCCGCATTGGGCTTTCGTCCCTCCGGTAAAACCACGAACACCAGATTCCGGCGAAGACGATTGGCCTCGCAACGAAATCGATCACTTCGTACTGGCCCGGCTGCAAGAAAATGGGGGGCATCCCTCGCCAGAGGCAGATCGTTATGCGCTCGTGCGGAGGGTTTATCTCGATCTTATTGGGCTCCCTCCAACACCGCAGGAGGCCGATGCGTTCGTCAACGATACTAGCCCCGAGGCCTATGAGAATGTTGTCGATAGGCTGCTCAGTTCAGAGCACTACGGCGAGCGTTGGGCGCGATTGTGGTTAGACCTGGCCCGATATTCCGACACAAACGGTTATGAGAAGGACCGTCCCCGATCGATTTGGAAGTACCGCGATTGGGTCGTCGATGCGTTGAACAACGACATGCCGTTTGATCAGTTCACTATCGCACAATTGGCCGGCGACATGTTGCCCGATGCGGCCGAAAGCTCGCGGATTGCCACCGGCTTTCATCGCAACACGATGCTCAATGAAGAAGGGGGCATCGACCCGCTCGAGTTTCGCTATTACGCCATGATCGACCGCGTGGCTACAACGGGGGCCGTGTGGCTGGGTCTAACCGTCGGCTGTGCTCAGTGCCACTCGCACAAGTACGACCCGATCTCGCACACCGACTTTTACCGCATGATGGCATTGTTGAATAACGCGGACGAGCCCGATCTCGTGGTGGAAGACTCTGAGGTAGCTGCCCGACGCCGCGCGGTTGAAGATGAGATTGCGCTGCTGGAGTCTCAACTGCCAGAGTATTTTCCACCTGCCGCGGGCGACGACCCAATCGAGGAGCGTCGCGATGCCAATCTGAAAAAGCACTTCGACGATTGGTTGGAAGAGGCCCGCGGGGTGGCGAGCCAGTGGACGGTCTTGCACCCTCATGCCTTAGAATCGAATCTGCCGAAGCTGGAGGTGCTTAGTGATGGTTCGATCTTCTCATCGGGCGACATCACGAAGCGAGACGTCTTTCAGATCAGTTTTCATCTAGAGAGCGATCAAAAGCCGGTTACAGCTATTCGCCTCGAGGTTCTCCCCGACGAGCGCTTGCCCGATGGTGGACCGGGGCGGGCCTATTACGAAGGTCGCAAAGGGGATTTTTTCCTCAGCGAATTTACGGCATCCTTCAACGGTGCTGCTGTGGGGTTCTCTGGTGCGTCGCACAGCTATGGCAAGATCAGCATCGGCAGCGGAAACGCCGATGCGTCGAACGTATACGACGGGAATGGATCAACCGGGTGGTCGACCGCCGGCCGCGAGGGCGAGCCGCATTATCTCGTGTTGAATTTGACCGAGCCACTGCTGGGCGATGGCGAGCTTGATGTTGTACTTCTCTTCGAACGTCACTTTGCGGCCAGCCTCGGTCGATTCCGTATATCAGTGACGGCAGATGATGGGGAGTGTCAGGCTTCGGATCTGCCGACTCACCTGGAATCGCTAATCACGCGGTCTCCAGAGACATGGACGAAGGCAGAGCGAACCTCGTTGATGCGGTACTACCTGCAAGTTGCACCCGAGCTTGAGTCTGCGCGTGAAGAAATAGACAAACTGCGGGAGCGTCTGCCGGCATTTCCGACCACGATGGTGATGGAGGAGCGGCCCGAGGATAACCCGCGACTTACGTTCCGCTATCATCGGGGAGAATACCTGTCTCCTCGCGAGGAGGTTGCCCCGGGTGTGCCAAGCGTTTTCGCAGAGTCGTCGCAGCCAGCGAACCGGCTTGAATTCGCCCGTTGGCTAGTGAGCGACAAGAATCCGCTGGTGGCTCGAGTGACGGTCAATCGAAGTTGGCGGGCACTATTCGGTGCGGGGCTGGTTCGCACCAATGCAGACTTCGGCACTCAGTCGGAGCCCCCGACGCACCCGGCACTACTGGATTGGCTGGCCTGCGAGTTCGTCGATCAAGGCTGGTCTCTTAAACGATTGCACCGCCAAATTGTTACCAGTGCGACCTATCGGCAAAGCTCGCATGCTGACCCGGATGAGATCGCTCGCGACCCTCAGAATCGATTGCTCGCCCGCGGACCACGCTACCGAGTCGACGCCGAGGTGGTGCGAGACATCATGCTGCGGGCAAGTGGCCTTCTATCAAGCAAGCTCGGCGGGGAAGGGGTTTACCCGCCGCAACCATCGAGTGTGACTGAGCTTGCCTATGGGGACACGAAGTGGAATCCTTCCAAGGGCGAAGACCGCTATCGGCGCTCGCTATACACATTTAGTAAACGCACGACGCCCTTCGCCGGGTATGCCGTTTTCGATGCCCCCTCGGGCGAAATCTGTCAGGCCCGCCGCGATCGCAGCAACAGCCCATTACAGGCCCTGACCCTTCTAAACGATGAAATGTTTGTCGAGATGGCTCAGGCCCTCGCACGCTCTGTCTGTTCGGAAGATGGGCTTAGCGAACCCGAACGGGCGACGCAAGTCTTCCGGCGGCTGTTAACGCGTCCTCCGACGGAATTAGAACTATCGAGCTTGCTGGAATTTCGAAACGCTCAGCTAACGCGTCTCGAGGCGGGTGAACTCGACGCGAAGGCCATTGCCGACACCAAAACTGGCAATGCCGAGTTGGCTTCCTGGGTGATGGTAGCTCGAGCGGTGATGAACTTGGACGAAACAATCACGAAGTACTAGCGATGACTGATTTTTCACAACACGACCTTCGTATTCGTTCGACGCGACGGCACTTCTTTCGCGATTGCGGTGTCGGCGTTGGTAAGATCGCTTTGGCATCACTGCTGTCTCAGTCGTTGTCACCGAGCAGTCTTCTGCATGCCGAGGATGCCGTTCGTCCGACTGCACCCAAGTCACCCCATTTCAAACCACGCGCGAAGCGGGTGATTTTCCTTTTCATGGCCGGTGCCCCCAGTCAACTCGACTTGTTCGATCACAAGCCGAAACTGGCCGAACTGGAGGGAAAGCCGATTCCTCCGTCGGTAATTCGTGGGCAGCGTTACGCATTCATCCAGCCCGACGCAGCCGTTCTCGGGCCCCGGTTTCAGTTCGCAAAGCATGGCGAAAGCGGAACGGAGCTATCCGATGCGCTGCCGCATCTGGCCAAGGTTGTCGACGAGATCGCGGTGCTTCGCTCGGTGCACACCGACTTCTTCAATCACGCGCCCGCGCAGCTCTTCGTGAACACAGGGAACAATATCCCCGGACGGCCGAGCATGGGCTCGTGGCTCAGTTACGGCATCGGCAGCGAAGCCGACGACTTGCCCTCATTTGTTGTGCTCAAGAGCGGCGGTAGCCTCAGTGGCGGGGCCGCCATGTGGGGCGCAGGCTTTTTGCCGTCGACCCATCAAGGGGTTCCGTTTCGCAACCAGGGCGATCCCATTCTGCATGTCTCGACTCCGCCCGGCTACGACACTCAGGCCCAGCGCGACTCGATCGATCTGATTCGCCGTCTGAACGAACAGCAACTTCAAATAGCCAACGATCCGGAGATCGAAACGCGCATTAATGCGTATGAGATGGCATACCGCATGCAGATGCGGGCACCTGAACTTATGGATATCACCCAGGAGACCGCCGCCACGCTGGAAGCCTACGGCGCGCGACCGAGCGATCCGAAAGCGGCCTTCTCCAACAATTGCTTGCTGGCTCGAAGGCTTGCAGAACGTGGTGTGCGATTTATCCAGGTCTACCACGCCGGCTGGGATCACCACAGTAATGTCGAAGGTGGCATCAAGCAGCAGGCGATGCAGACCGATCAGGCGGCCGCCGCGTTGATCTCAGATTTGAAGCAACGAGGCCTGTTGGACGATACTTTAGTAGTTTGGGGGGGCGAGTTCGGACGCACGCCCATGGTTGAAGCGAGTGCCGCCTTGGGGAGAAGTATGGGCCGCGATCATCACCCGCAAGCATTCACGATGTGGTTCGCCGGCGGCGGCATTCGGCCTGGGATGACTTTAGGATCTACCGACGAACTGGGCTTCCACGTGGTTGAACGTCCCGCCCACGTGCACGACGTACAAGCCACCATCCTGAAATGCTTGGGGATCGATCACCACCGATTGAGCTTCAAACTTCAGGGCCTTGACTTTCGGCTCACCGGCGTCGAATCGCATCATCCCGTGGACGAGCTTCTCATTTAATCGCTCGGTCAACGAGAAGCAGAATACTGCGGCAACCAATCTCGAATCTTGAACACTCGCCAAAAGTTCAGCGAACTATCATGCTCGCGAGCCAATTAGTGGGATCGTGTAGCATGAACTTATAGCTGGCCCAAGTGATCCCACAACCACTCGCAGTGGTCTGCCATGGTCAGCCGCTAGTTCGCCCGGGCAGCCCAGTAGTCGGCGATGGATTCTAGGTTGGTGTTGGCTTCGTGTTCTTTGGCGAAATAGGTGTGCTCCAGTTCTCGGATGCAGGTCTGCAGTTCCTGCTTCTCGACCGTTGAAAGCCCGTTGTTGTGTTCGATGTCTTCCAGCATCGTGAGCACGGTGAACGGAGTTAGCGGATCGGGAAGCTGATAGCTCTGAGACTTCGGCACCGCTACAGGCCGCCGCATGGAACGCACGGCCAGGCCGAGGGCAACCAGAAGCCCCAAACCCAAGACAACGGCGAATACCCAACGGTAGTCGGCTTCAGCGTAACTGCCGAGCAGGTCGATTTCAGGCTCGACGGTCACCAGGTCGGCGTCATCGTACCGCTGATAAATCAGTTCCTCGGTGTCGGCGAGGGGCGTGGCGAACTGGAATTTCGTTGGCATCTGGTCGGCCGTCGTATTTGCGTTCAGCGTAACGGTCCACAGCCGTTCCGAACTAACCGCGTTGTCGTCAGCCTCATCGTCAAACTGGTTGATGGAAACACCACCGTCTTCGATGTTGACGACCTCAAACCCCTCGGGTGAGAGATCGACGAGTTCCTCCAACGCGGGCACCAGCCCTCTGGCTTTGACGCGGATTTCCAACAGCAGCTTGCCCTCGTCTGCTTGGCGTTCGTCGAGCGTTTGTACGATCTCCAGTTTCTCCACCGGCCGTGTGGGAGCTGTCTCGCCGCTGGCATCGATGGGGATCGCTGGCGACTCGACCGGCAGCACGGCGTAGCCTGAGGTATCGAGGAAATCGAAGTCGATCCGCACGGGGGCAATGGTGTCAACCTCGGGACCTTTGGCCTTCAGAAGAAGGTAGGCATACGGAGTGGTTCTCCACCCGGGCTGAGGCATGGCCTTGGAATTGACCTTGGGATCTTGAAAGGTGACAGAGAGCACGTCGAAGTGTTCGCCCAGTGCTTGATTGACGGTGGCCTGAAACTTATCGCGATAGTCTTCCAGCGGGCGACCGAAGTTGTAGTAGTAATAGCCGCCTTGATTCTGGTTCTGCAGGTACTTGCCGAAGCCGCCCGCCTCGCGTTCGATTTCTTTCGTGTGAACCAAATTGACGAACACACCAAACGGCTGATCGTGGCCGACATCGGTCGAGCCATCGACGACCGTCTGAAGCTTGATTTCTGTCACCAGATCTTCGTAATACTCCAGCAGCTTTCTAGCTTCTCGGGCCAGGGGGTGGTCGCCGGCTATTTCGAATCCGTTGCGGAGATAACGAAACTTCAGTTCAGGTTTTGCATTACTTACGTTGGAAAACAGATTGTTTGCGAACTGAGACAAGTGTTGCTCGGCGGTTTCGCCCGGCAGTTGCAGCATCACTTCGCGAATGAGCGGCGGCTGTTTCAGGTCCGTCACGTGCTCGGCTTTGATCCGTTCCAGGTCGACGGCTCCCAGGCTGGCGTAGAACCACTGCTCGAAAGGAAGCTGTGAATGTTTGTCCTCGGGCAGTTCCGCGGCGGCCTTCACATAGGCTTCGGCTGCTTCACGGAACCGTGCCAGTGCCTCATTGCGTCGGGGAACGAAATCACTGCTGTCTTCCAATTGCTGGTGGTACTCGTTCTCGTCATGCAGCACGGCAGCTTCTGCCAACATTAATGCCCAGTTGTCGGGATACTCTTCCAGGGCCTTGGTCAACACGGCCTTCGCGGTGCGATAGCCCCGGAGCACTTCGAGCTGAATGTCGCGCTGCTTCCGGTTAGTGCTGTTTTCTTTTTGTACGTCGGGCATTTGCCACACGGTGGCCAGGTTGCCCCGCATCTGTTGGATCAGTTCGGCGATCGTACGAGGTTCTAATTGGTCCATCGCACCGAATACGTTTTCGATCTCCTCGATTTGGTAGACCTCTGCATTGCTGTGTGCGGTGGTGAATGCCCGGGTAAGCAGGCGCTCGTCGATGCTCTCGATGGGAAGCGTTCGAAGCTTGGCGACCAACTCAGACAGCTCTTCGAGATTGCGCTGCTGCTTCGATCGGGTTAGTGGGATACGGCTCGCTCGCTGTTCATATCCGTAGTAGTACAAGTATGGACTTCGATCGTTCGCCTGATTCGGGTTGTGGTTCGAAGTCCACACCCTGATGAATTCTTCGGCCAGCTCATGCGCCTGTTCACCATGGGTGGCGGCCAACTGTTCGATGATGGGGAATGCGTCGTCCTCGCTGCCGGCCTTCAGGTGCAAGCGGGCCAGCATGATTGAGAACTGCGGGAGTAAGCCCTTTTCAACCAGGGCCAACCATTCCTCACTGGGGGCAACATCCAACAGCTTGTCGAGCTTTACCGCCTGCAATCGTGAGCCATCGACATACATCATGGCTTCATTTGGATCGTCGACGTAGAAATAATTGCCATACCGGTCGCGCTGCCAGCCAGGACGCTGGTATGAATCCCGCGTGAGTCGGTAGCTGGCTTCAGCCTCTTTCAACCAAGCCACGGCTAGCAACGTCATAACGTCCGACCATTGGGCGGCATGTTCAGCCGATCCACGCAGAAGTGCATCGGCGGCCGAGTGCTGAAGTTCCAAGCTCTTCAAACGGAAGTCTGCGTCGTAAGGGTGCGACTGCAGGTTCTTGGTCACCACATCGCCAATGGCAGCCAGGATATCTTGCCCTCGCTCAACCTTTTGAGTGAAGGTGTTTTCAAGCCATGCGGCCCCCAGTTCCTCTGGCAATCGCGGGGCTAGTCGCACTGCACGTTGCAGGGCCTTCTTCTGTTCCGCTTCAAGCTGCTCCTGGGGTGACTTCTTGGCGTCGCCCTCTTCTCCTTCTGCCTCCTCCGCCGAATCGACCTGTTCGTTCGACGGCGAATTCTCCGTCTCGGTTGATTCCTCTGCGGCTGAATCGTCAGGCTCCACCTCGGCGGTCTCGATATCCGCCTCGTCGATCTCCAGCACACCCTGGGTGGCTTGCCATGCCTGCTCCAGCAATGCGGGTTTCTTGTCTTTACCGTGGAGGGCCAAGAAGTGATCGGCCAACAGGTTCAGAGCTTGAGCGTCGTGGCTCTCACGGGCTTCGTCTAATGTTGGCAGAAAGTCACCGATGCGTTGTCGTTGCCCGCCGGCATACAACAAACGGGCGATTTCCCGTTGCGTAATTTGCGGGTCTTCACCCTCGCTTGCGAGAGTGGTTAACCGTTCGAGCAGCAACTGGGGATCGTGCCCCGTGTGAATAGCCAGACGGACGATGGTGCCCAACTTCTGGAACGCTGCATCGTCCAACTCATAAGGGCTGGCCAAGAGGAGCCCCACAATGTCGTCCATCGCCATCAAGTGCTTCTCGGCGTAGGCGGCGCCGGCACCCGCGCCGGAAGCCGAAAGGGCTTGCTGTATGGCGGCCGCGTCCGCCCCGTTGAGGATCAACTGCTGCAACATGCCCGGGTTGGCCTGAGCCTCGGGGTTGGGGTCGGTGCGAAGATTGTCGAGTAAGCGATCGTAGATGAGCTTCGATTCCGAGTCTTTCAACGACGCAAGGTAAGCTTCTACTTCCGACCAGTTGCCCAACGTCACGTTGCGGGTAAGAAGCTTCAGCTCGTAGTCGAATTGCTCGAGATTCTCCTTCAGCTTTTTCTGCTTCTCGGCCTCTTTCTCTTGAGCATCCTTGGCGGCCTTCCCCGCATCCGACTCATCTTTGGCATCGGCCGTCTCTTCCTCGCCTTCGGCTTCCTCGGTTTCTTCTTCCGGGTTGGCATCTTCCTCCGAAGAGTCTGTTGTCTCTTCTTCTGTGGCCTCGCCTTCCGCAGATTCTTCAGCATCATCGGCGGGTTTATCTTCCGCCTCGCCTGCTCCGGCCTTTTCTGCGGCTTGTTTTTCTTCGTCCTGCTTCGCTGGGTTCTTTTCGGCTTCTTCCGTCGTATCAGAATACTGCTTCGGGGCTTCCGGCGGGGGCTCGTTCCACGTCTTGAGAATAACCGAGGGGCGTCGATCGAACTGCAGGGCGTTAATCTTCTCGGTTCGCTTCGCGGTTAACTCAGGATCGGCGTCGTCCTTACCCGCGGCAGCCGTTTCACTTTGAGTTGCCGCGGGGTCGGTGGATGAGTCAGCATTTGCAACGCCGCTCTGTGCGGCCAACTGTGCTCTTACGGCTGGTGAGAGAGTGATATGGGCCCCACCAGCTGACACCTGGGCGTAGGTCAGCGAAGTGCTCAGCGCGAGGAATAGGAAAACCGCGCCGCGAAAGAGAGTTGCCATCGATCTGTTCCCAAGAGTTGCGTTAGAACCTGAGGCCATGTCAGTACAGCGAGCGAATCGATCTGTTCACTGCAGCTTCGAGCCTCAAGCTGTTGGAACTTCCAACCACGGGTCGGAAACTCGCGTAATGGATTGAACCTGCCCCCGCCGTTCAGGCGGCTTATCAAGAACCTCTTCCATCGGGCGGTGGCCCGGAACTGGCTCCACGTGCATCTTCGCCCTCGTTCTTGCCTTTGCCCTTCTTCTTCGACTTACACTTCCCTTTGCATTTGCAATCGCCACTCTTGCAGCCCTTGCATTGACTGGGCATGGCAAGTGCCTGAAGTTCTGACAAGTCGAGTCGGGCCAAACGAATGGCGGCTTCTAAATCTTCTTCGCGGGCCTGAGTTGATTCCGCCACGCTGTCGTCGGGCTGTTCAGCCAAGCGGCGATAGTTCTGTCGAGCGGCTTCAATCTGTGGTTCCCACGCATCCCGCGGTTGGCCTTCCAATCGCATGAGCCAGGTGAGGTAATACTGGGCATTCGCCAGTGCCAGGCGAGCTTGATCTTCAAATTCGGCTGGGGTCTGAGAGTCGTTTTCCAACTCTTCGACCAGCAACGTGAGGTCATCGTATGCAGCCGGCAACTGACCGCAAAGCATTTGCGCCTTACTTCGCTCGAGACGGGCTTGGCGGATGGCGTCGGTTTCGGTTTCTGGCAGCAGTTCGATTGCGAGGGTGTATTGCTCGATCGCACGCGACCAGTTTTCTTCATCTACCCGTGCTTGTGCCTGGCGGAGATGAAAACCGGCATCGTCGGTGACCAGTTGTTCCTGCCCCGGTCCATAGTGGTAGGCCAAGACGGCCGCGGGAAAGAGCAGCCACAGGCAAAGTAATGAACCACGCATGTCGGCCTCCTTAGAGCTGGTTCTCGCTGTCTACGTATTCCAACCGTACCGCCCAATTAGTTTGATGTTACTGCTGTTTCGGGCTCGGGAGCAAATACTTTCGAAACTTTCTTATTAGCAATTCGTGAAACGCCGAACGGTGGTGAATCACCCCCCGCGGGGCCCGGCCTCCAAGCGGTGCCGAAGCGACTGAGCAGCCACGGCAGCAATGCCAGTACTGCGGCGCCCACGGCACAACTCAGAAGTGCATATTCTCGGCGGCTCAATCGATCAATCGCGCTGGCCTCGGTGCGCTGCGTAACGGTACGAAGCATATCAGTGGGAATCTGGTGTTCGTTTCCATTGTGGTACCGACCACCCAATCGGGCCGCAACTTGACGTAAGGTGGACACGTCTTGGCGTGAGTGTCGGCCGTCGACAAAGCCTCCCTTGCGTGAATCGCCCACTCCCACAACCACCACGTGCGAGATTGAAGCTGGCAATTTCGGCATGCCGGTTGCGGGCACCGTGTCGCCGTCGCTGAGTAGAATCAACGTCGCATCACGAGGTTTCCATGCTTGCGACATGTTGGCTGCTTCTTCCAGTCCGTCGAAGAGCTTGGTTTCACCGACTTGGAAGGCGTAGTGCATCGGCAAATCGTCGAGCACGTTCCGCACCACCTCCATATCAAGCGTCTCTTGTACGACTGGCTTTGCACCGTTGTACACGGCCACGATGCTGATCTTCATCGGCTCGCGTGCCCGCTCGAAGAACGAGCCCATGAGGTCCGACACACGATTGAGCCGCGACTGGGTGCCACTCGGGCCGGCGTCTTCTAGCCGCATACTTGGCGAAACATCTAATACCAACAACAGATGTCGCAGTTCGTTCTTGTCCAGGGTCTCCCCACGATGAGTCTTAGGGAGAAGCAGCATCAACGTCACCAATCCCCAGGCCACGGCTCCCAGGCTGAGCGCCCGAAGGATCGGGGCCATTCGAGCCCAGGTGTTCGGCTTTCCAGAGGGGCCAAAGGCCAGCCGCGCAAATCGTTCGACTCGCCGGCGATGGAGTGCCTCGGCACCCAGGGCCACGATGACGACGATCGCTGCTACGGCTTCGGCTACCACGGCGTGTACCTCAACCCGAACAGGCTAAACAGTGCCAGTCCACCAATGCCCAACCCTGCGATGCAGTAGGGCATGAAATAGTCTTGCGGCTCAGGGGCGGTTCGCTCGATGCGTGTATCCTGCAGTTGATCGATATGTCGGAACACCGCGCTGATGCCCGCCATGTCACCCGCTTCGAACACGTCTCCGCCGGTCAAACCGGTGATGTTGGCAATTTCATCCGGAGGATTCCCGCCACCAATATGAACGGCGTAGACCACGATTCCATCGGCAGCTAATTTCTCTGCCAGCGCGATATCGTTGTCTGAGCTTAGATCGAAACTGTAGCCGTCGGAGACCAGTAAGATCATGCGATCGCCTTCTTCGCGCTCACGCAGCACTTTCTGGCAGGCCATCAAGGCTTTGCCGATTTCGGTGCCGCCGAACCAGCCGGGAATCATCTCGGGCCGCATGAACGGAGGACTGCAACGAATGGCAGAGGGGTCGCTGGTCAGCGGAACCCAATGCAGCACGCTATTGCCGAAGAACGTCAGTCCGAAGGCATCGCCCTGGCGATAATCTAGAAATTCGTTGATCGCCTGCATGGCCGCATCGTACCGCGTGCCATCGCCAAACTCGGCCGTCATACTGCCCGAAACATCGAGGCAGAATTCGATATTCGTCATCACGCGGCGGCTCGTAGGGGCCCCATGCTGTTGAGGCACGGCCAAAATCACAATCACCACCGCCAACAGCAGTGCCGGTAACGACTCCGCAACTCTAAGCAACAGCGCCAGCCAGCGGTTACCCGAGGTTTCTGCGTGATCGACAGGTACGTACATGGCCGAACGTTGGCCTCGCCATACCCAAACTAGCAGCCAGATGGGAAAGACGAGCAATAGCAATACAGCGGGGTAAAGGAACGACATCGTTACGCCTTCGCCTCCGTCGTCTCGAAGGCCCGGGTGCTCTCGGACAATTCGCGATATGGCGCTAGGACCGTGGCGATGTCAATTTCACCTGCACCCTGCGGGCTGTGCAGCCAGCGTTCGACGGTTCGCAATAGCTCGCCCGCCTCGGGGTGTTGTCGAATCGTGGACACCGCCTCAACGGGATCAGAATCGTCGAGCTGCAGCCGGTGTCGCCAGTAGTCCAGCAGCAAACGCTCCAATTCGGCCTGTTGCTGAGAAGTGAGCTGGCCTTGCACCGCCTGATTCAACAGTGGACGCAGTCGATCGACCACCGAAACCGGTTCCTCGTGTTCCGCGACTTCAGTAATCTGCCGACGACGACCGACGAGTAGGATGGCCGCTAGTCCGAACGCCCAGAGAATGCCTCCGATAATCAGCCACAACCGGTAGCCGCCGACGCGGGGCGCATCGGCGTGTTCCAGTCCATGAGGCAAGATTTGCCCCTCGGGTAACTGGGAAACGATCTCGACTTGTAGCGACGGGAGCCCTTCCGTTTGCGAACCATCTTTACGCCGCAGGAAATCGCGAAGGTCGTAGGTGCCTGGTTCGAGTCCATAAAACTCCAGGTCGTAACGCACATCGCTACCATGCGGGTAGACATCCACGACTCGCAGCACTAGCGGGGTCCGATCCTCCTGGGGAACGGCTTCCAACTCACTCCCGGGTAGCACGATCTGTTCCAATCGTACGGCAACCCCAACCGGTGAAGATTCAACAGGCTGGGCGGGCTCTTCTGCCTGGAGTACGAATACCGGCATCAGCAGCACGAACACGACTGCCCACGTTCTTCGAGCACCGATCATCGTCCCCTCCCCAATACCCCACGGGCACGAAAGAAATAGCGTAAGCGCGAGACGAATGGCTCGGTCGTGTTGATCATCAGGTGGTCGATCGCCGCCCGTTTTAGATCAGAGGCCACGTCTTCTTTGTCGTGCCACCGTTGCCGCCCGCGGAGGAGGGTTTCGCGGCCGGTTTCGGCCTCGCGGGCATGAATGAATCCAGCCCCGGCCAAGTCGGCTTCGGCCGGATCGTGCAATTGCAGCACCACACAATCGTGCCGGTGGGCCAACTGCTTGAGTCGGGGCACGGCTTCCCGGTCGTGCAGATCGCTGAGCACGATGATCAACGTCCGCTGCGAGAGTTCTGGATCGAGTTCGGTGATCCGCGAAGAAAGCCGGGTGTCCTCGTGATAATCGTACCGCCGCAATTGGAACAACCACCGCAGGGTTTCATCACGCGAAAGGCTGGGCCGAACATGCAGACCGCGACTGCCGATGGCTAACAAACCGACGGGGCTAATTCGGTCCAAGCAGGCCAGTGCGATGCCGCCGGCCATGAACACGGCGAGTTCGTATTTGCTCTGCTGGGTCGAGCGAACCATCATCGAGGCCGAAGTATCGACCAGGATGTAGACCGGCATTCGCCGTGGAGCCTCGTACTCTTTGACGTGCACCTTTTTGGTTCGCGCGGTCACCCGCCAATCAATCGCCCGAATCGGATCGCCAGGCTGGTAAAGTCGCGACTGCACGAATTCGATGCCAGAGCCGAGCATCGCGGAACGATCGGTGCCATAGCCCAGGCTGTCGGCTAGCCGCTTCACGGCAATGTAGAACTGCCGGGAGTTGAGCACCTGATTTTGGGCAATATAACCGTCCAACGCTTCTACCCCGTTCCGAACTGGTTGACTCGTTTCAGCGGCGGTTGGGTACTTCAGACATTCTGGGCCAGATCGCCGTGCAAGACTCCGTTCCCACCGCGCCGTACGCCTCCGAAGTCGTTCAACAGCCACCGCAGCATCTGTTGTCCGGTGATCCCTTCGGCCAGTGCTTCGTAGGTCAAACGCATACGATGCAACATGGTGTCTTCGGCCAACGCGAACAGATCTTCAGGAATCACGTATCCACGTCCATGAATTAACGCTCTGGCTCGCGCGGCCTTAATGAGAGCGATGCCTGCTCGGGGACTGCAGCCCAATTCGATCTGGGGGTGGTTTCTCGTCCGGTCGATCAGTGCTACGACGTGGTCGATGAAGGCCTCGCTGACGTGGATCTCATGTACGGCTTCCATCGCCGCGATGAGCTTCTCCATGTCGGCCACCGGGGCCTGTTCAACGATGTCAAACTCGTTCCGAGCCACCGCTCCTCGCCCTTCGCGACGAATACCGAGCAAGGCATTGCGACGCAGCACTTCTTTCTCTTCATCCAGTGCCGGGTAATCGAGCCGATGGCACAGCATGAAACGATCAAGTTGCGCCTCGGGAAGTTCGAAAGTACCGCTCTGCTCCACCGGGTTTTGAGTCGCAATCACCAAGAACGGGGCCGGCAAGCTATAGGTTGCGTTGCCAATGGTGACTTTGCGTTCCTGCATCGCTTCCAGCAGGGCGCTTTGAACCTTGGGGGCCGCACGGTTGATTTCATCGGCCAGCAATAGATTCGTGAAGATTGGACCCTGATACGTGCGGAACTCGTTCGTACGTTGATCCAGAATCTCCGAGCCGACGATGTCAGACGGCAACAGGTCGACGGTGAATTGAATGCGTTTGAATTCCAAGTCGATCGTACGCGCCAGCGCCGATACCAACAGGGTTTTAGCCAACCCTGGTACCCCTTGGAGCAAGACATGCCCGCTGGTGAGCAGTGCGATCAAGAGTCGCTCGACGACGACATCTTGTCCTACAACCACCTGAGCTACGCGAGCGCGGACCTGTTCGAGGCACTCTTGAATTGCCGGGTCGATTTCACCACCACCAGTGGCACCCGGGGCAGAAACATGAGACGCGTCACCTTCGTGCTTGCCCATCGCTACCTCACTGTTCCAGAAGTGCGCCACCGGTGATCGACCGATTTCGAGCAGTGGCGCAGATATCGCTTCTCTGGCTGCATAGTACGGCTTGCCCTACCGAATGTACACAAAATTATTTCGATGCTGGACACGATGATCATTCCACACGGTCGAACTACGTTGGGACTCTAAGTTCGGGAAGAATATTGCTGCCCATCAGGTTCGCGCGGAACCTCCTGTCAGGTAAGGGGAAAGTGCGTGCGGCGAATCACGGCTGCTTGGTTTCACTCCTCAAGTATGCAGCAGACCCTTCTGCTTGAGACGAGCGGGAGATGACTCCCGGGCCCGGATAAATTCCAGGAACAACGGAAGGCCGTTGGCGGAGAGCAAGAAAGAGTTCTTGTCAAAAGTAACCCTGCAATGCAGCTTGACGAACTGTCAGCAGTCCAAGGAAAGCTGCATGAACAGCCTAGGTGGTCGGCTCGTTACTTCACATCGCCAAGTTCCACAAGACAGGGTTAAATTGCACGTGGTTACCAATCCAATTAGAGTAATCAGTTACTGCTCGCGGTTGTGGCGAATCCAACAATCCATGGCCGGCCCCCGACGAGCGGTTGCTTGATACATGCGACATGTAATGCGTGGGGTTCAACTGTGAGTTCTCTTCAGATTTTACTTACGACCGGCTTTTTATGCTGGCTCGTAATTTGTGGCATTGCGGTTTTCGTACGAAGAAAATCGAGTGGTGCATGGCGGACGATCATTGGGCTTTCACTTGGAATGGCAGCTTTTACCGCATTCCATGCCCGGTTTCAGGCTAGTGAGGAATCCAGTCCGTTGATTACTTTCCTTACGGAAAGCACAGGACTCCCCTTGCTCGTTCTGATGTTCTCGATCGCCGTTGAGTTTTCGGTTGCACGCACTTCGCGTCTCGTATTCTTCGCTTTGGTCGGAGTACTCGGATTGTTCCAATTCGACATGGTCGACATTCTATTGCTCAGCATTGCGCTTGCGATCGATGTAGAACTGCATGAAGAAGATTGGAAGCGGGGCTTCGCCGGGGCCGTGGTTGGGATAGCAACCTTGTGGGCTACCATTTACTTCTTGAATGATGTCTTGGCGTTGACCAATGCCAGCTTAGTGTTCGCCGCGGCGATCTTCTGCTTTGTCCATGGCTTGTGTTTTGTTGGTGAAGAAACGTCCGTCGCGGTGAAGGGAGCCTCTTGAGACGAGGGCAGGGGGGCTGACCAAGATGCGTAGTTCACTCTTGCTACTCTTCGCGCTTTTCGCGGTCGCTACTCTTCTTAGCATCGGCGGCCTTGTCTGGGCGAAAGACGGACAACCGACGGCTGCAGACTCAGGATACGCCGAGATTCTGGTGGTCGATGCCGACACCGGTCGAGGCGTGCCGCTGGTTGAACTGGAAACCGTCAACGGGCTCTTATTCGTTACCGACAATGCAGGGAGGGTGGCCTTTCGCGAACCGGGGCTGATGGGCACCGAGGTCTTCTTCACCGTTAGCAGCCATGGCTACGAAATGAAGAAAGACGGTTTCGGCTTTGCCGGTCTGAAGATAACTCCTCGGGCCGGGCAAATCTCCGAGATCAAGCTCACTCGCGTGAATATAGCAGAACGGCTCTGCAGGCTCACCGGCGAGGGACTCTATCGCGACTCGATCTTGTTGGGCTACGAACCTCCCATCGCCAATCCCTTGATCCGGGCGAGAATCGCCGGCCAGGATTCGATTCAGACGGCCATCTACAACAACAAAGTCTATTGGTTTTGGGGAGACACCCTTCGGATGGAATATCCGTTGGGGTTGTTTCGCATGGCCGGCGCCACCACACCCATTCCCGATGTGAACGATTTCGCTTCAGACCCCGTGGCAGGGATCGACTACCAGTATTTCGTCGATGAGAAATCCGGGTTTGCTCGCCCCATGATGCCCTTGAAGGAACGTCCAGAGGGGGTGATCTGGATAAACTCGCTGTGCGTTGTGCCAGATAAGCATGGGATCGAGCGCCTTCTCGGCTATTATTCCCGTCGCAAAGGTTTGGAGGAGGCCTACGAGCATGGGATCGCCATCTTCGACGATGAAGCGGCCGAGTTTGTTGTTGCCAAGCAACTCCCTCTGAGCGAAAAGTGGCGTTTCCCGGAAGGGCACCCCATTGTTTACGAAGAAGCTGGCACACGATGGTTGTTGTTTGGCAGCCCCAACCCCAACGTTCGGGTTCCCGCTACATATGAAGCGGTGTTAAATCCGAGTCGCTACGAGGCATTCACGTGCGCCAAACACATGACAGATGACTCTGTGGAAATTGATGTCGATTCTCGAGGTGAGCCATTGTGGCGCTGGCAGCGAAGACTTCCTCCGGTGACCTCAACCATGGAACACGAATGGGTTGAGGCTGGAGTGCTTGATCCCAAAGCGGCACGATTCTATCCATCGGATGTTGATCACCCGCTAGATAGTGTCATTCTGCATCGCGGCACCGTCCGCTGGAACGCTTATCGCGGGCGATGGGTTTTGGTCGCGGGACAGGTTTTCGGAAAGCCTTCGATGCTGGGCGAGATCTGGTATTCGGAGGCCGATCTGCCGACCGGACCGTTCGAGAAGGCGGTGAAAATCGTCACCCACGACCGGCAGTCGTTTTACAACGTGTGCCATCACGAATTTCTCGATCGGTCTGCCGGGCGAGAAATCTACTTCGAGGGAACGTACACCGACACGTTCTCTGGCAACCCTCACAAAACACCGCGATACAACTACAACCAGATCCTGTACCGACTCGATCTCGACAGCGACGCGTTGATCCGGGCGTTTCCACGCGAATAATGATGGTCGGTCACCGCCCCGGGAGCTTAGCAGGTCGAACAAGATGAGCATCGCCACTTCTCTAGATCATCGCGCGATGCAACTTACAGGGCGGGACTACATCAGCTATTCGGCTTTGGCCACTTATCGGCAATGCCCTTTGAAGTATCGCTTCCGCTACGTCGACCAATTGCCGGAGCAGTCGGTCTCGGCAAACCTCTTGTTTGGGGCCGCCATTCACAACGCCCTGGAACTATTCTTCACTTCGCAAATGGCCGGCGATGCCGTGCCCGAGGTCGATCGCTTAATTGAGGCTTTTGTTGCGTATTGGAGTTCTCAGTCGGCCAAGAGAGTTATCTATCGGCCAGGAGAAGATCGATCGTCTCACGTTGGCGTGGCGCGAAGGATGTTGCGAGCGTTGAGAAACAGCAGCCATGCGAAGCCCCAGGGAAGAATCGTCGGCGTCGAGGCGGAACTTCGTGCCGCGATACTCGAAGGCTGCCCCACATTGCTCGCGCGACTCGATTTGTTGGTCGAGACCGACGATGCAGTGATCGTGACCGATGTGAAGACCTCTCGTGGGCGGTGGAATGCTGGACAAGCCGAGAAGTGTGGGGATCAATTGCGGCTGTACGGGACACTCGTTCAAGAACGCTTCCCTGAGAAGCCGGTGAAGCTTCAATACTTGGTGATCACCAAGAGCAAATCGCCCTCGATTGAAGTTCACCCGGTAGAGTTCAGCCCGGCACGCGTAGAGCAAACCAAACACCAAGCCCGCAAAACCTGGGAGCGAATCGACGCGGAGTGTTTCGATCCGGCGCCCTCGGAACACAACTGCGCGAGCTGCCCGTTTGAAGAACCATGTCGCCAGAAACGGAATGTGCGTTCCGCCAGCCAAGGGCGAACGGTACGACTTGCCTGAGTTGGCAGGTTGCTTGGAAATCGCTACGGCTGCAGGTGCGATGCTACAAGCTGCATGAGCTTGATGCCGTCGATGGGTTTGGCGAAGTAATCGGTGCAGCCGACTTTCAGGCACGCCTCTCGCTGTCGTTGCATGGCATCGGCTGTCAGCGCGATGATCGGAACATCAATTCCCTTAGCTCGCAATTCTCTGACGGCCTCTTCGCCATTCATGACGGGCATTTGCATGTCCATCAGAATTACCTGAAACGGTTTGCCATCTTCAACAGCGGCCAAGGTGCAATCGAGCGCCTGCCGTCCGTCTTCGGCGATTGCGACTTCAGCTCCGCACCGCTCGAGGAAGTATTTTCCAACCCGCCACACATCTCTACGATCGTCGGCGAGCAAGACGCGAGCATCGATTCGCGGCAGTTTTCCACCCGAACCGCCGGTGGGCCGCTTGGCGATGGGCGTTTTTAGCGGTTGCACCAAATCCTTCAGTTGCTTGTCATTGACCTTGAGCGACAGCGTAAAACAGCTTCCTTTGCCAGGTTCGCTTTGAACGGAGATCGTACCGCCCATGGCCTGGGCCAGTCGCCGGCTAATACTAAGGCCGAGTCCAGCACCGCCGAATTCGCGACCCGTATCGTAAGAAGCTTGCGTAAAGGGTTGGAAAATCTCTTGCAGCTTGTCCGGCGCGATTCCAATCCCGGTATCGATCACGGAGAAATCGAGCGTGGGCACTTCATTCTCTCGATTCAACCGCATTTGGACTATGACTTCGCCCTCGTTCGTAAACTTCAGGGCATTGCTAATCAGGTTGACTAAAATCTGACGCGTACGAATTCGGTCGGCCGTTACCCGCTTCGGGACTTCAGTCAGCCATTCGAACTTCAGGGGAATACCTTCCTGGAAAGCCCGAACGCTCATCAAGGCGCTTACATCTTTGATGAGTGAACGCACGGCCATCGATTCGCGAGCGATCTCGGTTTTGCCAGCCTCGATCTTCGAGAGATCAAGCAGATCGTCGAGCAACGTCAGTAAATACTTTCCGTTGCGTGTGATCGTATCGACTCGCTCCAGCTGCTCCGGGTCGTCCAATTCGATTCGCAGGATATCGGCAAAGCCCAGCACGGCGGTCATCGGGGTCCGCAATTCGTGGCTGATGTTGGCCAGGAACGACGTCTTAGCCTCGTTCGCCCTCTCAGCCCGGTTGATGGCTTGTTCTAATTGTTTCTTCGTTTCAACCTGTTGTGAGATATCCCGCGCAATCTTCGATGCCCCCACGATGTTTCCGTTGCAATCGATAATTGGGGAGATCGCTAAAGAGATATTCACCAACGATCCATCCTTGCGACGGCGGATGGTTTCGAAGTGACTGATCCGCTCGCCCCTGCGAATGCGGCTGAGGATCTCTGGTTCTTCATCCCGGCGGTCTTCCGGGATCAGCATGTTGATTGACTGACCGATTGCCTCTTCAGCTGTGTATCCGAACAGGCGCTCAGCACCCGCGTTCCAACTGGTGATGATGGTGTTCAGGTTCTTGCTGACGATGGCATCTTCCGAAGTTTCAACAATCGCCGCCAACAGGCCCCGATCGCGATCTGCAAGTTTGCTTTCGCTGATATCCCGCGTGAAGCATCGGGTATAGACCAGCTCATCGTTTTCGAAGTAGGCGTTGGAATGAATCAGCACATCCCTGATGCTGCCATCTTTGCAGCGGAGCCGGGCCTGGCGATTGTAGATGTCTTCGCCACTGGTGAGTTGGTCGAGTATTTCCTGGATGACGTCTTGATCGACGTGGAACTCGCGAATGTGATGGCCAACATACTCGTCGTGCTGATAGCCTAGCAGATCGAGTTCTGCTTTATTGGCCCAAAGAATCGATCCGTCGGGCCCAACTTTGTGCAGACATTCCAAGGAGTTGTTGAGGAAGTCTGAATGTTGTTGCTCGATACGGCGATGAGCCGCAACCTCGAGTTCGAGGGCATCAACCTTCTGTTGCAATGCACGGAGGGCGCGAAGATGTTCTTCAGGGGGTTCGGCTTCATGCCGGGAAGAACTTTGCTCGGAATGTGATGCCAACAGGCCCTACCTCGAGTGCATCAAGAATGCCCTTGGGGCAAATCCGATCGCCAAACCCAATCAGGCTACCGATGCTCAACGATGGGGTCAAGCTGATAGGATGCTTTCCAGCAGGTGGGAATCGATGAAGCGAACAGCAAGTAATTCCCTGTGTATTCGACTTACTGCTTAACGATGCCGCTGAGCGGGTGCATCGGGTAGTCGGTTGGCGGTCGGAAATCGGCCAAGTCGAGCGAGCGGAAATACTCGATCGTCTTCGTCAATCCCTCGCGAAGCGCGACCGAGGGCTCCCAGCCCAGCATTTTCTTCGCCCTGGTGATATCGGGACGGCGTTGCTTCGGATCGTCTTCGCGGCTGGGAAGATATTGAATCTTGCTCTCCGAGTTGGAGAGCTCCAAGATCACTTTCGCCAATTCCAGAATGCTAATCTCTTCCGGATTTCCCACATTGACCGGACCGGTTGGAATCTCTTCACACCGCATGAAGCGAATAAGAACCTCGACCAGATCACTCACATAGCAGAAGCTGCGAGTTTGCGAACCGTCGCCGTGAATGTAAATGTCTTCACCAGAGATGGCGGAGACCACCAAGCTGCTGATCACACGACCATCGTGCGGGTGCATGATAGGGCCATAGGTATTGAAGATCCGCACCACGCGAACATCAAGATTGTGCGTTCGTTTGTAATCGAAGCACAGCGTTTCGGCGCATCGCTTCCCTTCGTCGTAACAGGCACGCGGCCCGATTGGGTTGACGTGGCCGACATACGATTCGCTCTGCGGAGACATCTCGGGATCGCCGTACACTTCACTGGTCGAAGTATGCAGCACGCGGGCCCTCATTCGACGAGCCATGCCCAACACGTTGATGATGCCGATGACCGACGTCTTTACTGTCTTGATCGGGTTGTACTGATAGTGCACAGGCGAGGCAGGGCAGGCGAGGTTGTAGATCTCATCCGCTTCCAGCAAGATCGGAACTGTCACGTCGTGGCGGATGAACTCGAAATTCGAGTGTTCCAGCAGCGGAGCGATATTCTCCTTGCGACTGGTGAAGAGATTGTCGAGGCAGATGACATCATGTCCTTCACCAACCAACCGAGCACATAGGTGCGAGCCAATGAAGCCCGCTCCGCCTGTCACGAGAATTCTGCGTTTCATTTAAGTTTCCAAAAAGCACTAAGTGCAGACTGTCAGCATGGAAAGCCCAGTCGAAGGTATCGACGGACGGGGCCTCCCTATAAGCTTAGCATTCGGGCGCGGCCATGAAACGCCGCAAGTGGAAGGCAGGAGCGAACTATCGCGGTTCCCAGAGCACCCCTTCGCCACGACCGTCGCCCATAAAGCGAATGTTTTTCGCCTTTTGGTGCCGATTCAGGCTCTTGATGGTGTCGTGAAGTCTTCGCTTCGGTTCCAGATCGGAGACCGGTGGCAACGGATCATCGACCCGAGTTGGCCAGCCTTCTTCTTGAAAGGCCTGCAGCACCGTCTCTTGATTGGGCGACGGTAAACGAAACTGCTTGACCAGGGTGCCCATCAGGCGAAGTTCTCTGCGTTCCTGGTCCCAGTGCGGAACAGCATCCTCTTCAACGTCTGCCTCCCCACTTGTCAAAGTATTTTGCAGAGTCACGGTGCCATTGCTCGATGTCTTGACGTTGAGCACCGGCAATCCAGAGCGAGACTTCGAGATGGTCTCGTCCTGATCAATCCGAGAGGCGAACTGAACTCCGGCCCGTGTGAGCACAAAGCAAGAACGTTGCGTGAATCCAAGCCCGGGATACGTGCGAAACACGCGATGCCCTTCGTTGGTCTGTTCGAGTTCCTCTCCGTGGTTCACGTACCCATTGCACGCAAGCCAGCGGAGGTCATTGATAGAGACCCCAGCCGCGGAGAGATTTTGGAGCTCAAGTGCGAACTCCCAAACATCGCGATCCAGCGATGAGGCGTATTGATGCGCCTCGGATAAGATCGCAACTGCGGCGGGAATATTGTGTGGTATTAGACCGGAGTCTATCTGTACGGACGTACTGCGAACGTTACCTTCAGACGCGGTTTGATTGGAAGGCAAGTGCGCAGGATTGATCGTTAACTGGCCCATAACGATTCCTTCTCACTCGGTGCCGAATTGTATGATCGGTGTTGTCTAAAATTTCTTAGTGGCTATACGCTCCAACCACCCGAGCGGAGAGATGCTTGCGGACAGTAATGATCCTTGCTTACTTGGTCTCCTACGGTGATGAGACGTGCGCCCCGCACGCCTCCACTCCTTTGCACAACCCCACCAAGCTTTCTCCGCCTATCAGCTGGGCTTCTATCATCAGGGGCAGGCGTCAAATAGGCACTTTGCGAAAAGTACGTTGACGCATCCCGAGGGTTTTACATCGGTCTCACCTCGCACGCAATCGAATACCGCCATTTTTTCTGCGGTAACTCGATTTCTTTGTGTACATCGATTCATCAGCCCACGCGATCACTTCGCGTGGTCCACTAGCAGATTGCAGATTCTGTGCCACTCCGACACTTGCCGAAACTTCTAAACTTGCGCCTCCTACCGATATGGGGGTGCTCAAGGAAGCGTCGATGCGTGCCGAAATTCTGTGCAAGAAGTCTGCATCGGAATTGCTGTACCGAACCAGTGCGACGAACTCATCTCCGCCGTAGCGGGCCACGGTGTCTTCTTCTCGGAAGGCGCTTTTCAGCCGCAGGGCGATTTCCTTCAGCGTATCGTCGCCCGCCATATGGCCGAATTGTTCATTCACCAGGTGAAAGTTGTTCAGGTCGACAAAAAACACTGCAAAATGGTGAACACCTTCCTTTGCTTCGGTAATCGCAGCCTGCAGGAACTGATCGAATGCCCTTCGGTCGGCCAAGCCCGTCAGGGGGTCTGTAAAAGCTGGAGTTCGAGCCATCTGGTCAGCACGATGGCGATCGGAAAGGTCACGTACGGTTACCAATAATTGAGTGCGATCTTGTTCCGCTAATGGACGAATCCGCAACTCAACCGGAACGGAATGCCCTTGGGCATGTTGTTGTAGTGTCAGAATATTCGCCCCGCGACGTGCGGAATTACCAATCTCCCGATGGGTGGTTTCCTGGGTGCTATCGGTGCATAGAGCAGTAAAGCAATAGCCGACAACATCTTTCTGCAGTCGTCCTAACAATTCGCATGCCGCCGGATTGACGTCACGCACGACTAATGTGTCGCCATCGAGAACGTAAACCCCGTCACTGATCATCGCGATCGCATGGCGCAAAGCGGTGGTCGTAAAGGAGGGTTGGTTTCGTGCATCTTCCGACGAGTTGACATTGTTCTCACTGACGGAAGACCAATGCCAGGGATGGTCGAATCGTCGCACGAGCGTCGGGGAAGGGCGGGAAGACATGGTCGTCTTATCTCTTCGCAGTGGAGTGCGCGGCAGGCTACACCCTATGAAGTCCTTTTTCTGCGGCATAGCAATGGGAGGTGTGGGGAAGGTTTGGGGAATTCGTGCTATCCGAACCTTATCTAGCTCTCGGTTCAGAGTTGGTTGCCGTACCACGAAAGCGTGAATGCTAGCCAAATCCGTCGCGAAAAGTTTGAAATGATGACAAAAAATTCGTGAAAGATGAGTTTAGGTGCGCAATGGATAACGCAGCGCACCATTTCTGTTGCTCGCCTGGGATTTAGTATCCCATTGCGCGGATGGGCGCGCTCGTTTGTAGATCGGTTGCGAACGCGCGATGTTCCCTAGTGCATCCCCAACCCGCCTGTTGTTGGGTAGGTGCCTGAATCGTTTACTGGGTGACAGTGCGGCGGACGACTAGTACTCCCCCCAGTTGAAACAGAATCATGACACCAAATTCCGCGAACCTTCTTGAACCGTCTGAAATCGCAGCCGCCTTCTGGCGCTACCGTTGGAGAGTTGCGAGCTTCGTTGTCCTCGTCGCGATGGCAACCGTGGCAGCGGTAGTTTTTGTACCTCGCGAGTATGCGTCTGAATCAAAGCTCTTCGTTCGCGTGGGACGCGAGTCCGTAGGCTTGGACCCCACCGCCACCACGGGGCAGACCATGCCGATTCAAACCAATCGCGAAGTCGAGGTTCAATCGGTACTGCAGCTACTGCAGAGTCAGTCGTTGTTGGAACTGGTGGTCGACCAAATTGGTGCAGAACAACTGCTGGTCGATCCAGACCCCAGTTTTGTCTCCGCTAGCCTGTCGAATCTCAGTGGTCTCAAAAACCAAGTGAAGACGGCCCTGTTGGGCGAAAGTGATCTCTCCCCCGAGCAGATCATGCATGAGGAGGCCCTGGAATTACTTAAAGATAACGTCGGCATGTCAGTGGCCGAAGATTCGACCGTCATCACGGTCAGTGCCAGGGCTCGTTCGCCGCAGTTGGCCCAAGAGATCACCTCGGCCCTGGTCGACGCCTATTTGCAAGAGCACGCCCGCATTCACCGCACAGCAGGCTCCGAGGCGTTCTTTGTCGAACAAACCGATCGGATTGGCACCGAACTGGATGAAACGCTCGCTGAGCTACGTGACGCCAAAAACCAGCACGCTTTCGTCACCATTGAAGGTCAGTTGGAGCTGATCGAAGCCCAAAAGGCAGACATCGAGCAGGAGCAGCTTCGCACTGCCCGACAGTTGGCCGAGTCGCAGTCGACGTACAACGCATTGACCAGTGCTTTGGGCGATCACGACGCGTTGGTTCTCGCAGAACGTGAGGAACGTCCTAGCGAGGCGGCCGACACGATGCGTCATAAGTTGTTTGACTTGGAAATGAAGGAACAAGAGTTCCAGTCCAAGTACACGAAAGACCATCCGCTGATGCAGGCCCTGAGCGCACAGGTAAGCGAAGCTCGCAAGATTCACGAGGGCGTAAAAGAGTTCCGCGAAGAACCGATCTACGCCATCAACCCCACTCGCCAAAAACTGGAGCTGGACTTGGTCGCCGCCAAGTCGCGAGTGGTTTCGTTGCAGGCCCTGGAAGATTCCCTGGAAGATCAGCATGCCGAGATGCTGGCCAAACTACAGGCGGTAAACGAGCAATCAGTTCGCATTGCCGAACTCGAGCGTGAAGCCAATCGGCTCAACGAGAGCTACGACGCCTACGCGGTCAACCTGGAGCAGGCACGCATCGATAGTGCCCTGCAGCGTCAGCACATCACCAACGTCAACATCGCTCAAAACGCCACGCTCAGTCATCGACCGGTCAGCCCGCAGAGCATCATCTTGCTTGCCCTGGGGGCTGTCGTTGCCGTGGGCGGAAGTTTAGGAATTGTTTTAGGCTCCGAACGTGTCAACCGACGGCTCCGATCGGCCGAGGAGATCGAAGCCGACCTATCCATTCCCGTGCTCATGACTTTACCCCGTTCCGTCAACCGAGGTTCCCTCGTAACAGCACTATCGGACAAATAATGATGATTCAGGCAACACAAGTAGCCCCCACATCCAATGGTGCTTCAACACTAGTGGATCAACACTACCAAGCTCTCGCCCGTCGACTGCAAAGTGCCTCGGCCCGCACGGGCGTTGCAGAAAGCAACTGCGGCGAATCGACCCACGGTTCCGTCGGAGCCATTGGAATCACAAGCAGCCGTCGTGGCGAAGGTGTCTCCACGGTCGCCGCGAACCTGGCACTAGCCGCCGCAGAGATGAGCCTGGGGCCGGTTCTTCTCGTGGACGCCAACCTGCCAAACCCCGACATCGCAAGCATGTTTCAGATTGATCCCTCTGCAGGCGAGAAGGGTTTCATCAACGCTCTACTGGGCGAAGACTGGCATGACCTCGTGGTGCCCACTTCGGTATCCAACCTTTCAGTCATGCTGCCGGGTGAAGTTGGACAAAACCGTCAGTTGCTCAACGAACGGGCAACTATCCGACGGACGATCGAACAACTCCGCGAAGATTTCGAATGGGTCATCTTCGACCTGCCACCCGCCACCGAATTGAGCGAATGTTTCGCGCTGTCTGGGCAGCTCGACAGTGTGCTCGTCGTTGTGCAGGCCGATGGGCCTTCACGCGATGAGGTGCGTAAGGCTTGTCGCGAATTGGAAATCGCCGGGGCAAACGTACTTGGTGCCGTATTGAACAAGCACAAGTAGAGGCAAGGAGCCGCAAGATCGCCGCTCCAGGTGTACAGGGAAGAGGGCCAACGTAAGAAGAACTGCCGCTCGCGGGCGGCTATTCAGTTGAGTACAGAATTTTGGGCATCTTAAAGCTATTCGCCGCTGTGTCGGGCCAGGCACGGAGTCGAGTACACCCCGCCACCCACTTTCGCGCCATCATCGAGCGCGAAAGATCGAGGGCTGACCGGAGTGACTCAATGCTTTCCCTGGTCAGAATCAATCACGTAGTCAATGGCAAGTCGCCAAAGGCGCTTGATGAATTGGTTGCGTTCCTCGATCAACGCCTGCGCGTGACCGACGACTTCGGCATGCTCGACGATTCTCGTTTGGGCGTCGTCCTTCCCGATACAAACGACACGGGAGCATGGAAAGTCGCCGACGATATCACCGACTTCATGGTCGGTAAGAAGTTAAGCATCACCTGCGAGGTATTCACTTACCCCGGGCACATGCCTTCAGATGAAGGCGGGACTCACGACGGGAACGGACAAGAATCCAACGGTTCCGCCTTCCATCACAATGGTAGCCCCACGCACAGCTACCGTCCTTCGCGGCCCATGATGGAAATCTTGAGCCAAGGGCTGCCTTGGTGGAAACGCGGGATCGACATCGTTCTCTCGGGCACTGCCCTGATTGTGTTGCTCCCTCTGTTTGCTCTGATCGCGTTGGCAATCAAGCTCACTTCACCAGGGCCAGTCTTCTTCCGCCAGATAAGAAGTGGACGGGGAGGGCGAACCTTCGGCCTCTACAAGTTCCGCTCGATGGTGACCAATGCCGAAGCGTTGCTCGCCGGCCTGGCCGACCAGAACGAAGTTTCAGGGCCCGTTTTCAAGATCAAACGCGATCCGCGGATCACGCCCGTGGGGCACTTTCTGCGACGCTCGAGCTTGGACGAACTCCCCCAACTCTGGAACGTGTTGGTCGGAGATATGTCGCTCGTAGGGCCGCGTCCGCCGATCCCGGCCGAAACTCATGAGTACGATCGCTGGCACCATCGCCGTCTGGAAGTGACACCAGGGATCACCTGCATCTGGCAGGTGTCCGGCCGATCGAACGTGCCGTTCACCGAATGGATGCGGATGGATATTCGCTACACGCAGCGTGTCTCACTTCGTGAAGACTTGCGCATCTTGCTAAAAACTGCCCCCGCCGTACTGACCGGCGATGGCGCTAACTAACTCACCCGGTAATCCCTCAACAACGAGCATGCATCTCCAATGTATAACGACAACGTCGTGGAGCGCCCGCGAGTCGGGTCGTTGATGCTGTACCGAGGGAAAGGTGGTCAGATTGCGCAACGGCTTTTCGGAGCCAGCGGTCGCAATAACATGCTTTCACTCTTCGACCAAGGGTTGGTGAGCGGAGCCAACTTCTTCGCTTCGGTCGTGGTCGGGCGATTCGCAGGGCCCGCCGAACTAGGGCTCTACTTCCTGGGCTTCACACTGATCGCCCTGTTGACGTCGGCCCAAATCTCTTTGATCTCGGTGCCACACACCATCTATGTGCACCGCAGAGAGCAGGGCGATCGCGCGACCTACGACGGAAGTGTGCTGGCCCATCAAATGCTGCTCTCGGCCGTCGTGGTGTTGGCATTAGTGATCACCAGCGCCGTGCTGTGGGCCGAGGGAAGCAACCGCGGAGCTGCCGCCGTGGCCGCGACGCTTGCCATCGCCGTTCCTTTCGTGCTCCTCCGCGAGTTCGGCCGGCGTTATTGCTTTGCCCACATGAAGATTGCCGGCGGCCTGCTGATCGATTTCTGTGCAGTAGCCCTGCAAGTCGTCCTGCTCATCTGGTTGAGCCAAGTCGGACAGCTTACCGCCGTCACCGCCTTGGCCACCTTAGGAGCGTCTTGTGCCGTTTCCAGCGTCGGCTGGCTCTGGGCCTCCCGGGCCCGCTTTCACGTGGTGCTTCGCCAGGCGATCGACGACCTAACACACAATTTCGCGTTGGCGAAATGGGTCTTCGCTTCGGAATGCGGAGCGAGCTTGCTCACACTCTCAGGGCCCTGGCTCACGGCCGCCATGCTCGGCAAAGCCGAGGCCGGTATATACGCCGCCTGCGTCACACTGGCCCAGGCCGTGAACCCCGTCGTATTCGGCACCTGCAACATTCTTGCTCCACGCGCCGCACAGTCCTTTATGGCCGGAGGCATCCAGGAAGTGCGAAGGGTCGTCCTTCAAGTTATGGCCTTTGTCGGCGCCGCCCTGGTGGTCTGGTGCGCCTTCCTACTGCTCTACGGCGAATCCGTCATCGGCGTTCTATACGGAGACGGCTTCGCCAATTCGATGTGGATCGTCACCATGCTGGGCGCCGCCGTAATGGTGCGTTCGCTGGGAATGGTCACCACCCAAGGGCTCCAGACCATCGAGCGTCCGCAGTTCGGCCTGTGGTCGAACCTGGTATCTCTGGTGATGCTCGCTGCGTTTGCCCCGATTTTGATTCCCCGCTGGGGCGTGTTCGGTGCGGCGGCCAGTATTTTCATTGCCGATGGCACCGGCTTCTTGATCCGACTCATCGCATTCTCCCGGCTATCGATGCTTCCAGTCGCCGAAGCCGAATCCAACACTGAGGGGATCTCACAACCTGAGGGGGCACTGGAACCCGAGGGGGCCCTATCATGAGAGCAAACAACCAACAAGTGCGATCGAGCTGGGTCGACTATTTAGTCGTGGTTCTGGTCATTGGGTATCTCACACTCGGCCGCCGCTTCGCCTATGTGGGCGTCTCTCCGTTCTTCATTGGCGAGCTTGGCCTAGGGGGCATTCTTCTGGCCCGCTACCGTGCCTTGATCGGCACCTGGGCTACGGCGCTCGCCCGTCCTTCGCCGATCGGCGCGGTGGCCTGGACGATATTCGCAGGCGGTCTCTACGGACTGATCTCCGCGTTACGTGGAGTCAACTCAGGCTACGACATCGTCGTTATCCTCAAGCTGTTGGTCCTGCATACATACCCCCTGTTTTTCTTCGTAGGGGCCTACGTTGGTCAGCACCAACCCGATCTACTCCGTCGCATGCTGCACTGGCTGGCCTGGATCGTCGGCGTTTATGGGGTCATCTATATCTTCATATTACAGCCAGCCAACATGGGTGCGGTCTCAGCCTCGGCCGAAATCCCTCTGGCCGGACAACCCTATGGCCCCGCCGTTGCTCTGCTGGGACTACTCTGTTTCACGCCCAACTTGAGCAGCGTGTGGCTACCACTATTGCTGAACGCCATCGTGTTGCTAGGTCTGCAGGTGCGTGCCTCGTGGCTCGGTTTCGCGGCGTCGCTTTCGCTGTGGGCCTTACTAAAGGGGCAGGTCAAACGCATCGTGGTGCTTGGCCTAGTGATGGGCTCGCTCCTCCTGGCGGCGGCAGTCACCGATCTCAGCATTCCCGCCCCCGGCCGTCGTGGTGGTGAACTTTCGGCCAAGGGCATTCTGGCCCAAGCCGTTGCTCCAGTGGCCCCCAAGTTGGCCAAGCAAATCGAAAGTGGCGGCGACAAAGAAGTCTACTCCGGCACCGTGAACTTCCGCGTAATGTTCTGGGAAGCCATTTGGGAGAACGTGCATTCGAATCAAATGTGGACGCTGTTCGGCCCCGGCTACGGATTCCCCATTTGGGATCTTGGACCCGCGATGCCGGCTGAAGCCCCGCAGTTGCGTTCACCACACAACGTGTTCATGTACTGCCTCGCCTACACCGGCTGGGTCGGCGCGGGCTTGTTCTACGCCATGCAAATCGCCATCGCCATGGTGCTGTGGCGAGTCTATCGACAAACAGGGCAAGCCTTCGGGCTGTGCTACGTCATCCTCATCAACTTTTGGGCCATGTTCGATCCCTTGATCGGCTCACCGATGGGGGCCATTCCCTACTACCTGCTGGTCGGTCTCGCGGCAGCACCCGCGTTGCTGCCACCGGCCGATCCCACCTCAAATCCCCCCAACTCCAACAGTAGTCAGTCATGAGTTTTGCAGTCGAGAACACCACCGAACACGCCTCCAAAAAAACGACGCCCGGACGGGTGCAGTGGCCAAAGAAGGTCGATCTCTTCGGCCTTGGTGTCACACCCACTACCTACGAAGAAGCCTCGGACACAATCATCGCCGCTGGCAAACTGCGTCAGCCGTCGGTCGTCTCCTGCCATGCGGTCCACGCCATCGTCACGTTCACCAGCGATGATGAGTTACGCAAAAAGGCAAACACCTTCGAGATGATCACCCCCGACGGGCAACCCGTCCGTTGGGCACTCAACACGCTGCACAAAGCAAACCTCACCGATCGAGTCTGTGGGCCGAAGCTCACCTTAGAACTCTGCCGCAAGGCCGCGGAAGAGGGCGTGTCCATCTATCTCTATGGCGGCAGCCCTGCGGTGGTCGAGCAGTTGAAGATCAACCTGGAAGAAGCCTACCCAGGGTTGGTTGTCGCCGGTTACGAGTCACCACCGTTTCGGCCGCTCACCCCAGAAGAAGACGCTGAGATGGTCGAACGCATCAATGCCAGCGGGGCAGGGCTGGTGTTCATCGGCCTCGGATGTCCCAAGCAGGATCTCTTCGCTTACGAACACCGCGGCCGCATCAAGGCCGTGCAACTGTGCGTCGGGGCAGCGTTTGATTTCCATGCGGGTGCCAAAGCTCCGGCACCCGAGTGGATGCAAAAGCGGGGCCTCGAATGGTTCTATCGCCTCATGCAAGAACCACGTCGCCTTGGAGGCCGGTACTTCACAACAAACAGCCTTTACCTGATGAAATGGGCTCGGGCCTCGCTGCGAGGATCGGCCAAAGCTCAGCCGGCGGAGGTGTCGGCAGGGTAACGCCCGAACCGATCACGCGTAACACGTTTTTATTCTCAAGTAATTAAGTACGACATCGATTAGATTTTGGGAGAATATCATGAGTGACAAGACTGTTCTTGTAGCGGGAGGTGGAGGCTTCATCGGCGGCCACTTGGTTGCCAAGTTACGCGAAGAGGGGGTCAAGAAGATCCGCTCGGTTGATATCAAGCCGATGAACGAGTGGTACCAGGTCTTCGACGACGTTGAGAATGTCGTCGCCGACTTGCAAGATGCTCATGCTTGCCGCGGGGCCTGCGAGGATGTCGATGTCGTCTACAATCTGGCTGCCGATATGGGTGGCATGGGATTCATCGAGAACAACAAAGCCCTTTGCATGCTGTCGGTGCTGATCAACACCCACCTGCTGCAAGCCGCCCTCGATAACGGTACCCAGCGGTACTTCTATGCCAGCAGTGCGTGTGTCTACAACGGAGACAAGCAGAAGGACGCCAAGGTCATTCCGCTGAAAGAAGAAGATGCCTATCCCGCCTTGCCCGAAGATGGCTACGGCTGGGAGAAGTTGTTCAGCGAGCGGATGTGCCGCCACTTCCGCGAAGACTTCGGTCTGGAAACCCGCGTGGCCCGTTTCCACAACGTGTACGGTCCCGAAGGTACCTGGGACGGTGGTCGTGAAAAGGCCCCGGCCGCCATGTGCCGCAAGGTGATCGAGGCTAAGACCTCGGGCAATCTCGAAATTGAAATCTGGGGCAACGGCGAACAAACCCGTAGCTTCATGTACATCGACGACTGCACCTACGGCATCGACCAAATCCTGCAAAGCAACATCCTTGAGCCGATCAACCTTGGCTCTTCGGAACTGGTCACCATCAACGGCCTGGTCGACATCGTCGAAGACATCGCCGGCGTGAAGCTGAAGCGGACCTACAACCTCGATGCCCCCAAGGGCGTCAACGGCCGCAATAGCGACAACACCAAGATCCAAGAGTACCTCGGCTGGGAACCCTCCATCGCCCTTCGCGACGGCATGGAACGCACCTACCGCTGGATCTACGACGAGTTCATGGCTCGCGAAAAAGCCGGAGCGGTCGCCTAGTCGCCGCCCGCCATCTGGCTTATTTAAGAAGAAGTCGAAACCGCGCCGGCAGTCATCAATCGCAAAGATGACTGCCGGCGTCGGCATTTCTGGGCTAAAGCCTGGCGCGCATCAAGGTAGATCGCCACCACGGACCAAGCGTTATGCGGTGCAATCGGTTCAGCTCAAGCTACTTCGCATCGTTGTCGCTGCTATAGTAAAGCCAGGCGAACTTACTGATGATGTTGCTTCCCCGTCCGGGATAATCATGGGCGATGAATTCTCCATCTCCATCGATTACCACCATCCACGGCACGTGTTCTATCTGGAACCATTCGAACAGCGACGCCTGTGGATCTCCCTTGCCGTTCGTGTCGATGACGACAGGAAAGCTCCAACCCTGGTCAGCCACGTACTCCTCGACCTTCTTCGGATCTTCTGTGGACCGATGCACAGCGATGATCGCCAGTTTCTGATCACTTAGCTGTTGAAGCCTGTCGAGAGCCTGCAGGGAAGGACCGTATTCCAGGTCCCAAAAGAGGAGTGCAACGCCTCGATCCTTCAGTCCGTCCCACGTGATTGGGTCGCTGCCGATCCAGCCCATCTTGGGTAGAGGGGGCGGCTTTTGCCCAAGCTGTAGATCGATCGACGATTTAACATCTTCCCAATCGCGCTCGCTTTCTTCTAAATAGATTCGCTTATCTTCAGCCATCTTCTGGCGATCTTCCTCGGTCTGGCTCGCATGGTAGACATAGCGAATCCAAGGATCGTACCGATAGTCGGTAGTGACCTTCGCCCCTTCAAGGAGTTCTTGTTCGAAAAGTTCACTGGGGATTTCTGTATTCACTTCGAGTTTGAGAATCTTGGTCTCCGAGTGCACGGAAAGAATCGATTTTTCAGCATCGGTGTGATAAGTGCGGGTTCGCTGCTCGTACGGGAACCAGCAATTTGGGGCGACCTCGCGATAGTCATCGAACAATTCTTCATGCTGTACCAACCCGTCCTTGTGACGTTCTTTCCAATATCGCCGCATGGCTCGAAAGCGTTCTTCTTCCTCAAGAGTTTCTAACCATGCCTGCCACTCGGAGGCCGATGCGATCTCCTCGCCGGCGATCTCCGACTGGAGTTTCAAACCCTCATCTGACGAGAGCCGCGGAAGAACATGAACATCAGCAATCAGACGACGATCGCTGACGCGAATGTAGAACCGATTGCTATACAGCACGTCCACCCGATAGCAGTCGAATTCGCCAAACTTCTCTCGGCCAATCAATTCAACCATCCGCGGCACGACGACCTGCTCGTATTCACCACGATCGAGGGCACGCCACCACGGCTTAGGACCCCCATGCCTCGCGGCGTGACCCCAAAGCAGTTTCATGCTGAAAGCTGTGAGGAACAGCAGGTCGGTCTTGTCGTCAATCACATACGTCACACGCTGGGTTGCTTTGTCTCTGTCGGTCCGGTGAGAGGCAGCAACAGCCAAGTCTCCATCCCATGTGCAGATGATTTGCGAGCTGTCGCCAATCCCGTACTCAGTGACTGCGTGCGTAGGGTCCCATGCCAACAGCGAAGTAATCGTAAGTTCCCGGCTCGAAGGAGCAGAAACTCCGCCCCCAAATAAGGCCGACCGCTCGCGAGGTTTCATTCCTTCATCTGTCCGCGTTTGAACCCGTTCGGAACGCAGCAGAAAGCTATCCACCTCACTTAGCCAAGCCTCATCGTCGTACACCTTCTGAAGGAGCACCTTCGCTGTAGGTGTGTCGCCTTCTTCAGTTGGCTCAATGGCGAAGGCAGAACTCAAACAAAATAGAAACAGAACGATCGGTGCGATGGCCGAAGCTGATAGGAGAGAGGACTGCAGATTTCGCCAGTTGTCTAGCCACACCGCCATGAGAAAGCCCTCTTCATTAAGTTAGCGTTTGTCTATCGAACGTACGCAGGTGGATTCAACTTCATTGTTCAGGCTGCTTTGCTTTCGCGGCTGGCTGCTGACTCAGCTCGACAAATTGCGTGAAGATGGTGCTGGAAAGTCCGGGATGGTCGTGGGCCACGAAGCTCCCGTCTTTGCCTATCGTCACCATCCATGGCATGCCCTGATTTCCAAACCACTCGAACAGCGAAGGGCTTGAATCATCTTCGCCGGAGCCGTCGATTAATACCGGGAAGGTCCAGCCCTGTTCGGCAAGATGCTTCTCAACCATCGAACGGTCGTCGGTTGCTCGGTGCACCGCGATATAAATGCCGTTCTGTTCAGCAGAAGTCTTGTACCCACTCTGGATTCGTCCAAGCGGCCCGTGGCAGGGACCGCACCCCACGTCCCAAAACAGCAGAGCAACCGCTTTGCCCTTTAAGGCGTCCCACGTCAGTGGTTCGCTATGAATCCAGCCTTCTTCAGGCAGCGGGGGAGGCTTCTGTCCGATCTTTCTGTCGATTGCAGCCTTCGCCTCCGCGAGGTACTGGCGGCCTTCTTCGTAAGCCATGCGTTTGGCGGTGGCAAGCTTCTCTCGTTCTTCTTCACTCTGGCTTGCGCTGTAGGTGTACCGAATAGGTGGGTCGTATCGCCAGTCTGTCGTGACGGATGCACCTTCGACAATTTCCTGCTCGAAGAGATCGTCCGACAACTCGCTACCAATCTGAAGATCGAGAATGGTCGTCTCTGAATGTTGGGTGAGAACCGCTTTCTTCGCAATGGTTGTGTACCGGTAGCTTTGTTGATCGTAGGGGAGCCAACAACCAGGGGCGACTTCACGATAGTCGTCGAAGCACTCTTCAAGTCTTACGATTGCGTTCTTGTATGCTTTTTCCCGATATCGATGGTAAGCGTCCAATCGTTCTTTCTCTTCGAGAGTATCAAGCCAAGGTCGCCATTCTCTGCCGGTGATTGGGCGGCCGACAATCTCTGACATGATTTCGAGTCGTTCTTCCGACGACAACGGTGAAGCAACGTACACATTGGCAACCAGGCGACCATCGCCGATGCGAATATAGAATCGATGTGCCTCATCGCTGTCGACGCGGTAACAATCGTGGCCTCGGTAGGTTTCGCGGCCAATTAGCCAAGCGGTGGTTGGCGTTCTTGTTTCTTCTGACTCATAGCGGTCCAAGACCCTCCACCACGTCTTGGGGCCCATCCGTCGGGCCACGCTCCCCCACATAAGTTGTGTCTGCAATTTGTCTCGAAATAAGATGTCTGTCTTGTTGTCCAGCACGTAACTTAGACTTTCTGGATTCCCATCCCTCGCAAATCTGCGGAATGAGCGAACGGCAAGAGTTCCGTTCCAACTAGTCCAACTGCGGGTGTAATCGCCGAGGTGGAAATCGATCACCACCCGTGCTTTGTCCCAGGCTATGAGCGTATTCATCGCGAGCGTGCGCTCAGGCGGGGTAACGGTCTGCTTCTGGCCGGACCCGAGTGTGAATTCCTGGGGCTTCATGCCTTCGTCGGTGTAGGTCCGGAACCGCCGGAGGCGGAGTAAGAGACTGTCGACCTCACCCAGCCAGGCCTCGCCGGCATACACTTTCTCCAAGAGGTCTTGTGCGGTGGGGGGGTCGGTCTCGCTTGCGGGCGCATCGTCACAACTGGGAGATGTTTCAGCAGGTGCATCGGCCACGACCAGGCTAGCACCAGCGACAAAGTAGATGGCGAGCAAGAGAAGAAGAAACCATTGGTTGCTCGCCCGATTAGATCGCCATCCGCTGCCCCGCATCGCCATGAGAGCACTCCCCAATGAAGAGATGTCGACGTGGCCTAAGTCCTGCAAGCCAAATCGTAACCCTAAGGGCAGGCGAGCGTCAAAAAATTAAGCCGGGGGACGATCAACGGGGACTCATCACCTCAAGTGTCCCTCGAGGCGGGATGAAATTACACAAATGCATAGTTTCCAAAAAAGCGAAACTGACATTCAAAAAAGAGAAGGGGTCTAAAGAGACATCCGCCTTGCGAGAAATCTCGCTGGAAGATAGCCATCGCGGCTGGGAAGTCCTGCGCTTCCCAACCGCGATATGATCGTCAGTCTTTACTTATACAAGCTTTTCAGCACGAGGTCGGTAACCCGATTCAGCGAGCTGCGGCTGCGGAGCGTCTTCATGATCGACTTGGCCAGGCTGTCTTCCACGTCGTCGGCTTCAGTCGTCGTGCTCGAAGGTACCGGTCCGACGAACGTGCCCGAAAGCTTGGTTGTGGTCGGCTTGGTCGTCTGCGGTTCTGAGACGATTACTTCTTCTTCATCAATCTCGGCGAAGACCAGGTCGGCTGGCACGGCAGGTTCGCTTGCAACAGCGGTAGGCGTTGGCTCCACACTTAAGGTAGCGAACGCAAGCTCGCTGAAGCTAGTTGTGGGGGCCGCCAGACTAAGGAGCTCCGGTGCGGTAACCCAGTTGCCGACGATCGGGACATTGCCCGGGGTGCCGTAGACGAATGGCCCGATGTCGGGTGCTCCGGAGCCATTCGTATTCCGGAGATAGAACTCGGCACTGGCCGGATTCCAAATGCCGATCGAGTCGACTCCGTCGGCGTTCCAGTCGCCAACCAGCGGCGTCCAGTTCGCTCCGCCGTAGGTGAACGGGGCGATGTCAGGGCTTCCGGCACTGTTGGAATTGCGAAGGAACCACGTGGCGGCCGTAGGTTCGAAGACCCCGATGGTGTCGATGCCGTCACCGTCCCAGTCGCCAACTACCGGCTTCCAGTTTGCCCCGCCGTATGCCAAGGCGATATCCGCGACTCCGCTGTCATTCGAATTTCGCATGAAGAACACGGCGGCATCGGGATAGAACACGCCGATCGTATCGATCCCGTCCCCATCCCAGTCGCCCGCAATCGGAATCCACCCCGGCACACCATAGTTGAAGGCCGGAATATCTGCGGTTCCATCGTGACCATTGTTCAAGTAAAAGGTAGCCGTGGTGGGATTGTACAAGCCCACGGTATCATCCCCGTCCCCATCCCAGTCGCCAACGATGGGGATCCACCCAGGCATACCAAAGTTGAAGCTCGCCACGTCGGCCGGTCCGGCCGAGAACTCGCTTCGCAGGCCAAACATTGCCGTAGCTGGGTCGTAGTAACCCGGGGTGCTCGGCAGAATGCTGGGCACGACGATTTCCGGATTGACGGTGACCGTAATCGTGTCTTCAACAAACAGCCCACCTGAGTCGGTCGCCCGCACGACGATGGTGGCCGTACCCGTTTGGTTGGCCAGATAGTCGAGCGTGAGTGTACCCGAGACGATCGATGCATCGACCAACGTCGGGTTCGAATTACTCTCGACCGTGAACGTCAGATTCGTGCCGTCTTCAACATCGCTGAACACGCTTGTCAGATCGATTGTAGTGCTGGGATCATTCTCGGTGACCTCAATCGAACCGATGGGCGAATCGACCGAGGGCGTGGTATTGCTTGTCGCCTCCACCACCTGCACGGCAAGTGGCGGCGAGAGCGGCCCAGTGTGTCCGTCGGTGTCGCGAATGACCGCCACGAGCGAGTTCAATCCACCGTTGGCGTTCGTGTTCATCAAGGTGACCGGGATATCGACAAATCCGCCGGCACCGATCGTGGCTTGGAACTCTTGTACACCCAACGCGGTGTTGGTTTCGAACGGGTCGATATCGAACCCGCCACCGGGCAGTCCATCGGTGAAGAGCCCGCTTTCAACCATCAACAGAGAAACGCTAGCGCCCACGGGCCCCGTGATGCGGACCGTTTGGTTCACTTCACTGGTTTCCAACGTTGGGCTGTAAGGCGTGCCTACCAATTCGACCGTTGGCTGAGCGAGGGTTTCAGCACGAACGATATTCTCAGAGGCTCCATTGCTTGCTGGAGTGCGATAAACCTGGGCCGTATGAGTCGAACCGTCGTCGAAGACGATCGTCACGGTGGCTCCCACCAGTTCCAGCCCACTGACCGAACCCGACTCTTGAGGACCAGGGCTGGGAACCCCCGTAATGCTTGTTGGATCGACATCGAGGGAGAACTCAAAGCTCTCGCCCGGACCAAAGTCGCTGAAGGGGATCGTCAGAATATCGAACCCGCCATCGTGAGCACCACTGTAGCTGTGCGTGCCAAGCCCCACGAGAGGACCCGACGAATCGGCCGTCAGGTCTTTGAAGGTGAGGTCGCCCGCATTACCAAGCGGATCGAACACCATATCAGGCAGAATAGCCGTCGACAGGTTGAGCTGCACCGAGGTGATGTTCTGGCCATTGGGCGAGAGATTCTCAATGATGAACGAACTCGCCAGGAACGTGCTGCTGTTGATCGCGTTGCCTGGGTTGATTTCAAACAGTGCCGCACTCGTCGAACCGACGGTGTTTGCCAGCCCGCTCAGAGGAATGATCAGCGGCGAGGTCTCGCCGTCGTAGGTGATCGTGAGGTCGGCCGCGGCTGCTCCACCGACGGTGGGGGCGAAAGTCACCGTGATTACCGTCGACTCACCTGGGGCGAGCACAATACCGTTAATGTCGTCGAAATCATCGGTGAAGGCCGTCGATCCGGTGATCACCGTCGAGGCTATCGTGATCGATGGATCGCCAACCTCGCCCAGGTTCGTGAGCGTGATCTGCTGGGTTGGAGTCTGCCCAACTTCAACCCCAACGAAGTCGAGTACCGTGGCCGAAGTGCCCAACTCCGATTCTTCGCTGTCGGTGATCTGAATGATCTCAATACCCTTGAGTGCCGGATTCTCGGTCACTCGGGCGAAGTCGATATCCAGGTTCGTGTCACTGGTGATGATGAACGACTTCATCACACCCGTGAAACCACCGACATCGGCGAACACATCGTAGTTGTCGAGCACAAGCTGGTTCTCGATGAGTACATCGAACACTCGACCACCGATGACGGCATTGCCACCGTAGGTCTCAGCAAAGTAAAGACGTACCTCATACTGACCCGCCGTGACTGGAATATCCCATTGCATCTCTTCCCCAGCGATGAGGTCGTACCGCTCGGTCGAGAAGATACTGGCCGGGGTTCCCACCGGAATCGAAGGATCGGTGACGTTGATCGCTTCACCGGCGGTGTAAGTCAGGCTTTGCGCCGCCGCCACGTTGCTGAATGTCGATGGGGTGGCCGTCGAATCGGCCGACCACTCGGGGGTACCGACCGCGGGGCCACCAACGTTGATGCGAATGAGCGAAGTTCCCACAGACGGCGTTGTGCCGGTGCCTTGCAGTGGGATGCTGATCGGACTGTTCAGCCCCGAGTGGACGACCTGAAGATTGGCGGTTTGTAGGCCCGCTTCCGTCGGATCGAACGAGACCGTAACGACGACCGACTCGCCGGGAGCCAGCACCACACCATTGATATCGTCGAAGTCGTCGGTGAACGCGACCGAACCAGTGATGGCGGTCGACGAAATCGTGATGTCGGGGTCACTCAAGCTGCCCACATGCGTGAGTGTGATTTGCTGGGTGCCCGTCTCTCCAATTTCGACGGTCGAGAAATTGAGTGAAGCGGCCGAACTGCTGAGCGTATCGGTCTCAGCGATCTGGACGATCTCGATACCCTTCAATGCCGGGTTTTCTGTCACGCGGGCGAAGTCGATGTCCAAATTGGCATCGCTGGAGACGATGAACGACTTCATCACGCCCGTGAAGCCACCGACGTCGGCGAACACGTCGTAGTTGTCGAGCACCAACTGGTTTTCAATCAACACGTCGAACACGCGTGCGCCCAACACCGCATTTCCTGCGTACGTTTCAGCAAAGTAAAGCCGCACTTCGTACAGGCCTGCGGTGACCGGAATGTCCCATTGCATCTCCGCTCCGCCAATCAAATCGTAGCGCTCGGTGGCGAAGATGCTTGCGGGTGTTCCCGCGGGAATGGAAGGATCGGAGACATCGATCGCTTCGCCGGCCGTGTAAGCCTGGCTTTGGGCGGCGGTCACATTGCTAAACGATGATGGACTGGCCGTAGAGTCGGCCGACCACTCGGGCGTTCCAACCGCTGGACCGCCGGCATTGATGCGGATGATGGAAGTTCCGCCACTGGAAGCCGTGCCGGTGCCGGTTAGGGCCAAACTGATAGGGGTGTTGACCCCGGAATGAGCGATTTCAATCGTGGCATTCTGCTGACCAACGGTCGTGGGGGCGAAGGCAACGGTAATCACCGTCGACTCGCCTGGCGCCAACACAATGATCGATGCGTCGTTGAAGTCGTCGGTGAATGCCGCCGCTCCTACGATGGTTGTCGTCAGGATAGTGATATCCGCATCGCCAGGATCACCCACGTTGCTGAGCGTAATTTCCTGCGTGCCCGTTGCGCCAACTTCGACGCTGAACGGAGCCACCGTCGCGGGCGTTACCACCAAGCTGCCCGGCTCGGCCACCTCGTCAGACAGAACATTGAGGAAGTCCCATGTCGAAGAGAATGCAGGGGCTGGTCCAACCGATGTCGAAATAACTCCCACCGCCATAGCAGTGGGGCCGTTGAGCCATGCACTGGGAACGCTTAACGGGGTGCCGAGGGTTGTTTGCGGTCCGGTCTCTCCGCCCGAGGTGATCGAGTAACTGGCCTGTACTGTGAGGGCAACGGGATCGACGGTCAGGTAAAGGTCGATATAGCCGATTCCGGCCAGAGACATGGGAGTGAGGGTGCCGCCAGTCACAACACCGCCAACTTCGGAGACTGTTTGCAGTCCGCCTGCACCGCCATTGGCCGAGACGACGAACTTGATGTAGTTGTCCTGGTCACCATTGCCGATGAAGAAGCCCATCGACTGGTCGCCTTCAGGGGTGATGCCTGCAAATGGGGCCAGAATTCTCGTGTGGGCGGTAAAGGGTGTTGTCTCGCCGCTGACGTTCACACCGAACTGGAAGGCTTGTTCCTGCGTGTTGGTCAGGCCAATCGCATCTCCCTCGCTGATCAAGTCCAGGGTGAGCACACCCGCGGCACCACCCGCGGTGAGGTTCTGAATGTTGAAGAGATCTTTGTAATTGTCTTGGCCATTAATCATCAGCCCGGTGAAGCCCAAGTTCAGAAGTCCACCGGGGCTCGCTTCGTCGTTCTCCCAACCGTAAGCCACGCCGAGCGTGGTCGTCAGCCCGTTGTCGGGATCGATGGCGAACGGATCTTCAACATCCAACAACGCGTCATTGTCGTCGTTGTCGTCCAGCAGATCGGAAATGAAATCCAGATCGTTGTCGGCCGGTACATCCGCGGCGCTGTTGGGATTCGTGCCGTTGGCAATTTCGTCGTCATTCGTGTAACCGTCGCCATCAAGATCGTTCAGATCGATGGGTCCGCCACCGCCACCTTCGTAATCATTCGGCTCAAAGGCGATCACATCTCCGGTGAACCAATCCACCACCCAGATCGTGCCAGGGAACGGGCCGTTGTCGCCGATGGCCGTCACGTCCAGCGGGGCTACGCCTACGTTGGAGAACAGAACTTCGTTCAAGTCGAGGGCCGCACCGGTTTCATCGGGACTCAGTCGTGTGATGCTGTTGCCACCGAAGTAGTTCGCGGTGAGCAGATCACCTTGCATCGCACCACCAAAGTTGCTGGCGGTATATTCCGTCAACCCATTGGTCGAAGAGCCAAACACGGCCATCGAACCAGTGTCTGCCTGCGGAACAGCGAAGAAGCTTTCAATCGCATTGCCACCCACCAACGCGATAGGCGACTGGGGATTCGTGGGATTGAACGTGTTGTCGGGGTTCGCACGCGTCGGGTTGGGGTGACCACCGTAATAGCCAGGGCCCGAGATAAAGTGCAGGTTGTCGAGAACCGTTTCGCCCGGCTCGTTAGGTTCGTTGGTCGCCAGCCCCGTTTCCGGATCGATAATCGGCACATCGCCCCAGCCGGCGTTGGCACCATTATCGATGGTGTACAGGTTGCCATTCTGCGTGAGAACAATGTCGTAGGGGTTTCTGTACCCCGGAGAGTAAATCTGTACCGGGCTATTGGGGTCGATATAGGCTTGGTTCTTGCCGTCGTTACCGCCGAAAACATCTTGGTAGCCGTTAGCAAGGTCCTCATCGCTTCCATTGCCATCGAAATCGCGATCTTCGTCGTCTAGAGTCGGCAGGTTGTACTTGTAGACCGTGCCGTTCACGTCAACCAAGTCGGGTAGGGCGTCGATCACATTCATGTCGACCGACAGAATCGCCGTTGAGTAGGCGTACTCAGCAAGGTAGGCAAAGTTGAAGGAAGGGGCACCGTTGTTGGTGTTACCCGAGGACGTGAGGTAGATCGTGTTCGTGCTTTCGTCGAGCACGAGCCCGTTCACATTGTGATTCTCTTCCGAGCGGGGCAAACCGCGAACGAGGTCAACCTTCGACCATTGCGAACCATCCCAGGTAAGCCGCGACAGCGTGCCGGAGTTGGTATCCAGGTTCAGGTCTTCACCGTCAGGACCGGCACCAATCCGCGGATCGCCGGAGGTGGCGTAAATGATCGGGCTCTGCGCTGTCCCTGCGATCATAATTCCGGTGACGAGGCGGTCATTCACATTGGGGTTGGGCGTTCCGTCATCGTCATGGTTCGGAATGTCCTTCACCAGGGTAATCGACTCATCGAGCGTGGACGAGTAGTCATTGCTGCCGTTGCGCACAACGGAGTAGATATTGATCGTGCCGTCTTGGAAGGCCACATAGAGCCGCCCATCGGGACCCCACTGCAACGAAGTCGGGCTATCGGGGGCAGCGACACCACCGAGGATGCTCTTACCAAAGCCCACCGGCGCGATGTCGGTACCGGTGCCAGAGAGGTCAACGGTTACAGGGTTGTTCTGGCCAGAGTGCTGAATCTCCAGCACGCCTTGGAAAGCAGCCTCGGCGTCGGGGGCAAACGTCACCCCGATCACGATCGATTCACCTGGAGCGAGTACCGCCCCGTTCACGTCGTCGAAGTTATCGATGAAGGCCGTCGACCCGGTGATGGTGGTTGAATTGATGGTGATCGAAGGATCGCCCTCAAAACCAGCGTTGGTCACGGTGATGGGGCGAATGGTCGGGCTGGATGTCCAGATAGAGCCAAACTCGATCGCCTGCGCGTCGACGAACAGGGCGTTGGACTCTTGCAGCGAAACGATTTCGATCGCCTTGATCGAGGGCAACTCGACTACCTGACCAAAATCGATATCGAGATTGCCATCACTCGAAACCTGGAACGTCTTCACAACACCCGCGAACGCACCAACGTCTTCGAAGATGTCGTAGTCGTCGAGCACCAATTGATCTTCAATCGAAACATCGAAGATGCGGGCGCCAACCGAGGCGTTCCCTTCGAAGATTTCTGCAAAGTACAGTCGCACTTCATAGGGGCCGGCGGTTACCGGGATGTCCCATTCCATTGGGTCGCCCGGGATCGTGTCCGAACGCTCGGACTGGAAGAGTGCGGCCGGGGTTCCCACCGGAATCGAAGGATCGCTCATGTCGATCGCGGTGCCCGTCGCAAAGGTCTGGCTGATGGCAGCTACGGAATTACTGAGCGGGGAGGGGTTCGATGCCGAATCTTCAGCCCATTCCGGATTACCAATGGCAGGGCCACCCGCATTGATGCGGATGAGCGAGGTGCCAATCTGCGGCTCGGTTCCCTCTCCCGTGAGCGACACATTGATCGGAGAGTTCGCACCCGAGTGAGCGATTTCCAACGTCGCGGCCGCAGCACCTTCCGTCGTAGGCGCGAAGGTAACCGAGATCGTAGTCGACTGGCCGGGAGCCAGCACCACGCCCGCTACATCGTTGAAATCATCGGTGAAAGACGCCGAGCCTGTGATCGTGGTCGAGCTAATGGTGATGGCAGGATCACCGACTCCGCCCAGGTTTGTTAGTGTAATCTGTTGATCGTCGGTTTGATCGATTAGGACATCGCCGAAGCCGAGAGCGGTGGCCGAGGAGTTGAGCACGCTGGGCTCAATGATCTCAAGAATCTCGATTCCCTTAATGGCCGGGTTTTCCGCCACCGAACCGAAGTCGATATCTAAGTTCGCGTCACTGGAGACGATGAACGACTCCATAATGCCCGTTTCTGCACCGGCCTGGGCAAACACGTCGTAGTTGTCGAGCACCAACTGCCCTTCGATCGTCACATCGAACATGCGGGCGCCAACGGCCCAGTTGCCGTCGTAGTTTTCCGAGAAATACAAACGCACTTCGTAGTTGCCGGCGGTGACCGGGAAGTCCCACTCCATAGGAACGCCGCCTACGCCGTAGCGTTCGCTGCTGAAGATCGACGGTGGAATCTCGGCGGCAATGGCCGAAGTGTCAATCGGATTGCCCGTGGTGAACGTCAGGCTGCCGGCCGTCGATTGGTTGGAGTAGATGCTGGGGACAGCCGTCGAATCTTCCTCCCACACCGTCGAGTCGGGGGCGATCACTTCCGGGCCACCCGTGTTCACCGCATAGATGGTGTTGATGGCCAGCAGGGCTCGTACTTCGAGAGGTTCGACATGGCAGGAGGTGTGCCCAAGGGTCGTGCGATTTCGCAGGTTGGAGCGAAGCCGGCTCTGCTTACGTCGAAGGCTACGGCCAAAGTGACGCATGATGGTTCCTTCTCGCCTCGCGTCTGCTTCCAGTCGAGCAATGCAAGGCGTAGTTCATATTGTTTGATTGAACTGGACGCAGTCCATCGCGCCGGCCATGTTCGAACACAGGGTGATCGAGGGCCTGATCAGGACGCGCGTTGCTTCCAAATGCGCGTCAACATGATTCGCGGGCATAAAGCCGTCGCGGCTAATAACAATGCCACTGCACGCACGGGCCGCTTTTCGGTGTGGGCGGCCACTGCTTGTCGTCCAAAGAACCTGCCGGCTGAGTCAATGCGGCGTGTAACTCGGGTGGGAAAGCCTGCAGCATCGTAATTCTTCGAGAACGTCTCCCAGTCGACGGTTTCATTCTTCAGCCGAGCTCGGTTGCGTTCCTCTACAAAACGAGTGACCTTCAAGCCGGCCTCAAAGCGTTGGTTGGTGATGCTTCCGTCGTGCCGACGATAAAGCACCAGGTTGTCGGTCAGGGTCATCACAGGTCCGTGTTCGGCCATGCGATCCCAAAAATCCAAGTCTTCGCATGGCTCAAGCCGGGAATCGAACCCACCGATTTCCAATGCCAGGTCGCGGCGGAAGAGAATCGTCGAGTTCCGCAACACCACCGGTTCGCCATTCTCGCGAAGCTTCTGAAACTCTTCCCGCGAAGTGGGTCCCGACTTGTGCAGCGCACCGCGTTGCCCTTGCGGACCAATGTCTTGTGAATAGCTGCCCCACAGCACAACCTCGGGATCGGCTTCGGCAGCTTCGATTTGCACTTGAAAGCGTTGGGGCAGGGCGACATCATCGGCGTCGAGCACAGCGGCCCAAGGATATTGCGCTTCACGCATACCCGCATTACGGGCGCCGCTTGCTCCGCCATGGTTGATAGTGATCAATCGCACGCGAGAGTCGCGCTGCGAGTATTCGTTGACGATTTCCTTGGTGCGATCTTTCGAACCGTCATCAACAACAAGAAGTTCCCAGTGGGGGTAGGTCTGCTGGAGAACACTATCAATGGCCTCGCCGATGAATTCTTCGGCGTTGTAGGCAGCCATAATAACGCTGATCATATCTCTGCTTCCGTTGGTGCGGTTTGAAAGTCCTCCTCCCGAGCCATGTTGTGTTCTTTCTCCCCACCCGCCGTTTCCGAGACTGCCCAAGGACTTCGAACGTCCACAAACACAGGCTCAGTTTGGCAGCTACCCCTAGGGTGCATAGGGACGCTCTGGGGGACGTACCGTGAACACAGCGCCCATCGAATACGCGCTAAAATACGCGTATTAACGCGTCAAAACCGCACGGCGAAGGTGAGAAAGAGACACACGCTAAGGAACAGCAAGTGTCGCGCAATATTGCAGATTGGAAGGCTCTGTTTACCTTTGCAATCGCACTGAGAGCAGTTCTCGTGGGGCGCACGCGTTGAACTTGTTATGGAATAAGCAGAAACAAGCTACCGCATCCCATTCAAATACCACTCACCAGCCAATCGAGTGCTCGAATAACGGCGTTGATGCCCCTCTGCGGGGGATGTCGAAATGGGCTGATCGCTACTCCAACGCCACTTCCTGCACGTCTTCCCCATTCACATGAAAAGTGCGATCGGTGTGGATCCACCGTTTGCTGTCTTTACGGTAGCGATACTCAACTCGAACTTGCGAGCCATCTCCAGCCGTTAATGGTTCCACGGGATGCCATTGGTTGATCGAGAAGTCATCGGTGTTTTCTGCGATCCACCGTTCAATCGAATGATGCTCAGGAGGCGGTTGCAAGATCACAATCTGGTTGATCGCAGTCACAAATATGCCCACGACCCCGAGCAGCAAAGCCACTTGGGTAGCCGTAACAACCCGATGGAACATCACCGAGCGGTGTGAGACACGACGCCGCAAAAAGACCGACATGAAGTAGTCGCGCCAAAAATTGCGATAGATACCCTGCAGCTCCGAGACATCGTTGACGTGACTCGTGGAGCCGATCTTGCCCACTCTGCCGTGAACGTTGGCTCGTCGCATCTGACTGCTCGCCATCAATTCGGCGACGGCCGTGTCAGTGGTCTCCCATTTCAGCGGAGAGCCACCTCGGTGCCGGCCTGGAAGGGCCCCGGTCTTCATCAGTTGCGCAACGCGATGCAACTGTTGATCGGTGGGCTTTCTAGTGCAGAACAAAACCTGCGCGGCTTGGACAATGGAGACTCGCTTTCCGGCGCATTCCGACATTGGCATCGTCCTCAGAACCAAGACCTTCCTGGTGCATGAAAATGCCGTAGCTGAACCCACGAGACCTCAGGCGATTCGCCGCATACTCATGAGTTCAGCTACGGACATTGAGAGTTCTTCCGTGAAAACTCGGTTTATTGCATGACGGAATTCGGCAACTTCTCGCCACCATCGCGGGTCGATAGAGCCCGCCACACGCCGAGGTTCACGTTATTGGCAATCGTGCGAACCGAGCCATCCATCATGGCCACATTCACGCCACCGGAAAAATAACCCCGGGCAGTGATCGCCGCGTAAGTCGGCGAGTAGTCGGGCGTGGCGGAAAAGTGATTCTTTCCTTCCTGCTTATTCGTCCAGTCCACATCCACGTTGCCAGTGTTGGTTAAGTTCACTGTAGCGGCAGAAGAACTGGTGCGATCGCCAATCATCACCTTGGCATTCGGCGGGAACACGGTGGTAAACCCGGCGTGATGCACGTGCCCGTTGAACCATTCGGTGTGCCCTGTTTCCTTGTACTGGTTGGGGGCGCCAATCACAGCAGCCAGGTCAGCCGGTGTGTCTGGCGGAAACTCGCCCAGCTCAGCGTGAGTTCTGTTCGAATCGCGAAAGTACGGTGCCCAGGCCTTTACTTCCGCGAAGGCCATTGTGGTACCTAGCCCGTCGGTGAATTCCGAATCCTTCAGTTCGCTATTCGGGTATCCCGCCCCGTTCCCACCTTCGCCGGTGATGGGATCCCAGATGAACCAGGTTCCCAGATTCATGACATAGTTAATCGGGTGGTGCTTTTGCTCGCGAATTTCATCCCGCGGTTCGCCGGGCGAAACGTAGGTCGGCACACGCAGGGCACTCAGCGGAATTTGCGATCCATCAGCCAGCGTGAACAGAGGCCGGTCGCTACCGGAGGGGTTATCGAGCGCCAGTTGAACGTAGAAGTTGTACGGCTTCGATAAGTCAACCTCTTCCATGATCAGCTTCTGCTCCAAGAACGGCAAAAGTAGAACGTGGATCGAGTAGCCTTCTAGATGGCTGTACCCGGTGAAATGCTGTTTGGTCGCGTCGATGTAATTGGCCGGGTTGTATTCGTAGGCCAGATAGCTCGGTGGATAATTGCCGTTGGCCGAGTTGAACTGCTGCATGGCCAACGTCATCTGTTTCAAGTTGTTCTTCGACTCCACAGCGCGGGCCGACTCGCGGGCCGCATTCACGGCCGGCAGCAACAGGGCCATTAAGATTCCAATGATCAAGATGACCACTAGCAACTCAATCAGCGTGAAGCCTGATCGATGATGATGCTTTTTCGAAGCGTCATTCCGACGCGTGATAGCAGTAGCCTGGTGTTGCATGAAGAGTCTCCGTAAAGCCGCGGGCTTCCATAGGGTGTGGAAGTGAAGACCCGTCGCCGATACGGAACAAGGCTAGACGTGTTGCCCCCAAGCAATGCGTAAGCCCCTGTCGCGCAAATCATTCATTGCGAGGTCTTCACCAGTGGTGTTAGGCCAATCGGCAGTGGCAATCGATGTGCCACATCGCAGTAGATTGAACCCATATGTCCAAAGGTGAAGCTTGATGGTTACTTATGACGATCGCACAAGTTCTGACGGTTGTTTTGTTGTATCCGCAGATGTCGGTTAATTCGACGCATGCTGATTAGTGGTTCGACATGGGTGTCGAAATAAGTGACGATACCGTTCGGTGGCGCTGTAGTAACTGGTAGCACTGCTGTTGTAAGTGATTCTTGGGCTGAGTCCGGCATCCACTGGGTTCGTCTCGAAACGCGTCGCTCGTTTTGAGAATAAACCGCAGACGCTCACTTAATGCTGCTAAATTTGACAAAACACCACCGTCACATAGATATTCAGTAGTAGTCGGGCCGCATAAAAACGCCACGATCCACTTTTAAAGGAAGACACCATGTCCACCGAACATGCCCACCACGATCATCAGCATGGCGAAAACTGCGGCCACACGGCTGTGAATCACAACGGCCATACCGATTACCTGCACGATGGTCATCTGCATCATCAGAACGCCGACGGTAGCGTGGAAGAGCACGTGATCGAGGTCAGCAAGACAAACGCCGATGAATGCACGAAGGGACATTCCTGCGGAGGCCACGAAGCCGGCCACGTGCATGGCCCCGGTTGTGGACATGAAGCCGTGCCGCATGGCGATCATGTCGACTACTTGGTCGACGGCCACCTGCATCATCCTCACGGCGACCATTGCGACGACCACGGTCCGATCGACGTCGCCTAGTTTCTGCCGCTAAAACAGCGACCGCTGCCCGTCGGGCGATGGTGGCTCGGGCGGTTGAATCCCCAAGTGATCGTACGTCGCCTGTGTGACCCGTCGCCCCCGTGGGCTGCGGATGACCAGGCCTCGCCGTAGAAGGTACGGCTCGACATCGTCAATCAATGTATCGGGCGCGGTGTTGATGGTGTGGGCAATCGCTTCCACCCCCACGGGACCGCCACCGTAGATCGAGATGATCGTCTCCAGGTACCGCCGGTCTTGAGGGTCGAGCCCCTGATTGTCGATGCCCTGCATGTCCAGCGCTGCACAGGCCAGGTCGCGGTTCACGCGGCCGTCGGCCTTGCTGGTCGCATAATCCCGCACCCAACGCAGCCGGTTGTTTGCCAGCCGCGGAGTGCCACGACTGCGGCCGGCAATTTCCTCGGCACCGTCGTCGGTCACATCAACATTCAACTTGCGGGCGTTGCGGCGGACGATTTCCGTTAGTTCCTCAACGCTGTAAAAGTCGAGGTGCTCCCGCATCTGGAAGCGATCACGCATAGGGGCCGACAACAGCCCGGTGCGGGTTGTGGCTCCAATCAACGTGAAATGACGCAACGTCATGTTGATGGTACGGGCGTTCACCCCTTCGCCCAGGGCGATGTCGATGCGAAAGTCTTCCATCGCCGGGTAGAGGAACTCCTCGACCGACTTCGGCAGCCGGTGGATTTCGTCGATGAACAACACCGAACCTTCTTCGGCATTGGTCAGGTAGGGGATGATGTCTTTAGGCGCCGCGAGGGCCGCACCACTGGCGATCTGCAGGCTCACGCCCAAGTCGCGGGGGATCACCGTGGCGAACGTGGTCTTTCCCAGCCCAGGCGGACCGTCGAGCAGAATGTGCCCCAGTGGCTCATTCCGCTTTCGCGAGGCGTCGACGGCAATTTCCAGCCGCTCGAAAACCGCCCGTTGGCCAACCATTTCGCGCATGTGCTGGGGCCGCAGGCTCTGGTCGTCGTCCTTCGCCTCAGGTTTGTTCGAGAGGATCGTTTCTCGCGACATCGCGATCGTTCCACACGGGAAAAGCTGGTGAACGGGTGTTAACTACCTGCGCCCGAATATATCAGAAACGGTCCCCGAGTCAGAAGCCCAAAGCCAGCATCCACGGCCCGGAATCTCCACGAGCACCGCCGGTTCGGGTGGGGTGAGAAGCACTTCGAACCGGAACGAATGCCCGCTGCGTGGCCGAATCAGTACGATCGAGCGGCAAAGTGTGGTTAGACTAAACGCTAGTCAATTCGAGCACCTCTGCGGGCCAGCAGGGCGGTTAACTCATCATCGAGATCTCACCAGGCACAAGCGATGGCCAGGATGCTGCGACACCGAGTTTTGCGTTCATTTCTCCTCATACTTTTCACCTACGGGCTTCTAACCACGGAGTTCGGCTCACTCGCCAGCGCCGAAGAAACCGCCGCTGAACGAGGGTATCAATTGCTGCGGAGCAAGGTGTATTTGCCGACCGATATCCAAGAGTCGGAGTTCACCGATCTCTGGGAAGTTTGGCCCGAGCCACTCCGGTCTGAAGCCGAAGCGGCCACGCCCGAGGAGCGGCGCGAGATGACCTTCTCGCGATACGGCCTCATCAAAGACCCGGCAAACCCCGACGGCGTCCCGCTGGGATACGTGAGCGATGGTAACGGCGGTTGGGTGACCAGTTGCCTGCAATGCCACGGCGGAAAGGTTGCCGGCCGCGTGATCCCCGGGCTGGGCAACACGCACTTCGCTTTCCAAACCTTCGCCGAAGATGCCTTCAAGTTACGCGTCTCGAAAGGCCAGAAACTAACCCAACGGGAACTTACCGCAGTGGCCATTCCCTTGGGCCGCTCCAACGGAACCACCAACGCCCAAGTTTTCAGTGAGGCATTCATTGCCCTGCGCGACGAGCAACTCGAGGTCGTCTCGCTCCCCCGTCTGCCACCGCTGGTGCATCACGACCTCGACCCGCCGCCGCTATGGCTGGCCAATAAGAAAAGCCGGCTCTACATCGATGGGTTCGTCGAGAAGACGCATCGCGTGATCATGCAGTTTGTACTTTCGCCCGAGAACGACGGTGAAACGGTCCGCGGCTGGGAAGACGATTTCCAAGACATCATGGCCTGGATCGAGTCGCTCGAAGCGCCCTCGTATCCGTGGGAGATCGACGAGTCGCTCGCCGCGAAGGGACGCGTTCTGTTCGAAAAGAACTGCGCCGAGTGTCACGGCACTTACGGCGAGAACGAGACCTATCCCGAACGCAGAGTTGCCATCGAAGAAATCGGCACCGACCCCGTCCGCTTGCGTGGCATGCCGGAACAGCACCGCGAGTTTTTCAGTCGCGGCTGGATGAGCGAAGATGGAAAGCGTGACGTCGTCGCCGAACCAGACGGGTACGTGGCCCCACCGCTCGATGGAATTTGGGCCTCTGCACCGTACCTTCACAACGGGTCGGTCCCCACCCTCTGGCATCTGATGCACGCCGACCAGCGTCCCACCGTGTGGTTACGCAGCGAAGACGGTTACGACCGCCAGCGGGTAGGGCTCGAAGTGATGGAGTTCGAAAGCCTCCCCTCCGGCACATCGCGCGGCGACGAGCGCCGCCGCTACTATGACACCCGACTCAAAAGCAAAACCGCCACCGGCCACGAGTACCCAGAGGTGCTCAGCGAAGCCGAAAAGCAAGCCGTGCTCGAGTACCTGAAAACCCTCTAACCCTCGCACGCTACAAACCCGCGGACGAAAAGGCAGCGGCAAACACAACTGCGCAAAGTAAGCACAGAAGTGTGATATCACTCGACAGAATCAAACGCCCGACTAGGTCTTGGCCGGCACCCGGTCGCGATTCCACTGAACCCACATGTCGCGGATTTCGCGCTTGAGGATCTTGCCGGTGGGGCCTTTGGGCAGTTCTTCGATGAACGTGTAGTCGTGCGGCAACTTGTACTTGGCCAGATGCTCGCGAAGATGGGCTTCGGCCTCTTCGGCCGTCAGCTTGGTGTCGGGCTTCGTCGCGATGACGGCCTGCACCTGCTCGCCTTTCACTTCGTCGAACACACCGACCACCGCACATTCGGCCACCTGCGGCAAGCGGTAAAGAACTTCTTCGATCTCGCGGGGATAGATGTTGAACCCACCCTTGATGATCATGTCTTTCTTGCGGTCGACAATGAAGAAGAAGCCATCTTCGTCGCGGTAGCCCATGTCGCCGGTGTGGAACCAGCCGCTCCGCATCGCTTCGGCCGTGTCTTCCTCTTTGTTCAAGTAGCCGCACATCACGTTGGGAGCTTTGACGACCAACTCACCCACTTCGCCATTGGGCACCTCGTTGTCATCGTCGTCGAAGATCTTCATCTCCACGCCTTCGAACGGAGTGCCGATCGAGCCCGGCTTACGATTGTCGGGCCGATTGATGCACACGCTCACCGTGGTCTCGGTCATACCGAAACCTTCGTAAATCGGCACGTCAGTCGCCTTCTCGAACTGGCTCATCACCTCCATCGGCATCGCCGCACCGCCCGAGATGCAGTACCGCAGCGTCTTGGCAACTTCTTTGCCGAACTCTGGATGCTTCAGCAGATAAAAGAACATCGTCGGCACGCCAGCGAATGAGGTAATCCCGTCATTCTTCAGGCTGGCCACGCAGGCATCCACATCGAATCGCGGTTGCAGCACCACGGCCGTGCGGTTGCGAACCGAGCCGTTTAACACGCCGTTCAAAGCGAAGCAGTGGAACAGCGGCAACACGCACAGCGCCTTGTCCTCGGGTTCGACATCGATGATCGATTCCATCATGTCGAGGTTGGCCAGAATGTTGGACCCAGTGATCTGTGCACCCTTGGGCTTGCCCGTGGTGCCCGAGGTGTACAGCGTCATGATCGGCAACGCGGGATCCATCTCGGCCGGGGCGAACGACTCTCCGGCTTCTGCCATCAGTTCCATGTAGTTCTTATGTTCGGCCATCTCAGCCGGCGGTTCGATCTTGCCGCTGGGCAGAACGAAGACAAGCGGCGGATTCTCGAGCTTCGACACGGCCGCGTGTACCGAGGCCAAAAACATGTCGAGCACCACAATGGCTTTGATTTGGCTGTCTTCAATCAGGTACTGCACTTCTTCCGGCTGCAGCATCACGTTCATCGGCACGAAGATAGAGCCGTTCATGAGCGTGCCGTAGTAAGAAGTGACGAACGGCGGCACATTGGGCAGCATCACGCCCACCGATTCACCTTCGCCCACGCCATGTTGCCGGAGCCCTGCGGCAACCATCTTGGCCTGTTCGGCAACCATGAAGAACGGGTATTGCGTCCCATCGTATTCTATGAAAGTACGACCAGGATCTTCCTTGGCGGCGTCGAGCAGAAAATCGTGCAGGCTCATGCAATAAAACTCCCCAACCGTGGCTTCAGAAAAGTATCGAGCGCGGCGAAAAACCGGCCTGCGCTGGTCGCTCGAACGGCTCACCGGCAACGTCGCCCGTGGACGGGGGTGCGCAGCACCGTCGATTGTTCAAAAAAAGAACGCGACGGTCCTGTTGTAATTCGTCGCAACACGGCTGTCAAAGAAAAGCGGTCGGTTCCTCGGCACCAAAACCTCCGCCAAGCCATACGGTTGTGAAGCAAGACGACCTGTGACGGTCGCCCGAGCGCCCGCAGGACCCGGACTCCAATTCCCAGCGGGGCAGGGGAGTCGCCCTGCAATTCGGCTTTTCGAAACGTGTCTCCGCCCGAGAAACTAGGTTGAATGCAACCTGAAACGCCCGCTCTCCCACCCACGGGTGGGTGGATTCCCGGTGTCGGGGCTCTTTCGATGCACGTATTATATGGTCCGCACTCGCGCCCAAAATGCCGGGCAATTCCGTTAATTAGCGAGCCCACTAACGAATCGTAGAGGTCGACTTTCCCATGCAGTACGAGGTTGAGCAGAAATATCCGCTGGAGGGTTTCGACAGCATCCGGGAGCGGCTCGAGGAGTTCGGGGCCTCGTTCGGGCCGCCGCTCGAGCAGGTCGATCGGTACTTTTCCCACCCGGGCCGCGATTTTGCCTCGACCGATGAGGCCCTGCGGATCCGCTCCATCGGCGACGAAAACCGCGTGACCTACAAGGGACCGAAGATCGACCAAACCACGAAAACCCGTCGCGAAATCGAGTTGCCGCTCCCCTCGGGCGAATCGACGCCCGCCGCCTTCGAAGAACTGTTCGAGGCCCTCGGCTTTCTGGCCGTGGCCACCGTGCGGAAAGACCGCCGCACCGCGGTGATCGAATGGTGCGGTCACACGCTGAGCATCGCCCTGGACGACGTCGCCGGGTTAGGGCACTACGTGGAACTTGAAATCGCAGCGACCGAGGCAACCCTCGACTCCGCCCGCAACGCCTTGGCCGAACTCGCCGCGCAACTACAACTCACCAACGACGAACGCCGCGGCTACCTGGATATGTTGCAGCAGAAAATGAACCAGGACGATAACCCCAACATCTGATGGCCCGCCCCGCGGTGGAATATTCCCAATAATATTGCATCCAATGCGAATACCCCTACGCTGCGAGTTTCACTTTCACCACTGACCAGGGGGCCAACTCAGGCTAATGGGCGACGTGTGCTTACCGATTTTTCTCTTCTTCTGTGCCGTCGCCATCATCGGCACCATTGCCTACTTCGCGCACCTGCGTGAAAAGGAACGTCGCCAGGCTCTTGCCGCCTTGGCCGCCAGCCTGGGTTGGCGTTTCGATTCTTCTTACGATCACTCGCACGACGAGCGGTACGCCCATTTCTCGGTCTTCAAGCAAGGGCACTCCCGCTATGCCTTCAACACCATCACCGGCGAGACAACGGTCGAAGGGCTGATCATGCCCCTGCGGATGGGCGACTACCACTACAAGATCACAACCAGCGACGGCAAGAAAAGTTCCACCACGACCTACATGTTCAGCTACTTGATCTTGGAACTGCCGTTTCTAAGAGACCAAGACCTGTTCATTCGCGAAGAGGGCATCTTCGACAAGATCGCCGGGTTCGTTGGCTTCGACGATATCGACTTCGAGTCGGCCGAGTTCAGCAACCGCTTCCACGTCAAAAGCTCGGACAAGAAGTTCGCCTACGACGTCGTGCACCCACGGATGATGGAATACCTGATGGACCACAAGCCACCCACATTCAGCCTCGACCGCCGCAGTTGCTGCCTCTACAAAACCGGCAAACGCTGGACACCCGAGGAGTTCAAGTCCATGCTCCACTGGGCCGAAGGATTCTTCCAACGCTGGCCCAGCCATCTAACGGCAACGTTTGAGAGGTAAGGCACGGGTGGGGGTAACACGCTGAGGAAGGATGAGTCGCGTGTGAATTCCGATGGAGAAGTTACCACTACGGCACAACGACACGACGTATAAATCAATGTGGGGGACTGCCCACTGATATCAACGAAAGCGCTACGGCCATTCATGATTAAGTCACTTTTTGCGTCAAGAGACTCAGGTAGGGGGAGAGCTAGCCCGAAGAATTGAATCTCAAAAGTTTACGTCGTGCCGTTGTGTCGTTGTGGTCCCTTACCTTCCTGAGTTATCACCAACGCCAACATTCACAGCTCATCTGCACTAGAGCATCAACCTGCCCAGCACCGTCCAATGAAGTAATCCACCATGGAAATACTCGTACTCCTCTTCATCATGGGAGCCGTGCTCTTCGCTCCGGTAATCTGGCTCATCGTGAACTACAACCGTTTCGTGCGGGTACGTCAGCACATGAAAGAGAGCTGGTCGGATATCGACGTGGAGATGAAGCGCCGCTACGAGCTGGTGCCGAACCTGGTTGAGACCGTCAAAGGCTACGCGGCCCATGAGAAGGCGGTGCTCGAAGAGGTCGTCGGCCTGCGGAATCGAGCCATGGCCAGTCACGGCTCTGCGGCCGAGCAAGCCGTCGACGAGTCGGCCCTGCAGATCGGCATGAAACACCTCTTCGCCGTGGTCGAGAACTACCCCCAGCTAAAGGCCGACACCCACTTCCTCGCCCTGCAGAAAGAGCTGGCCAACACCGAAGACCGCATCGCCGCCGCCCGCCGCTTCTTCAACGGCAACGTCCGCGACCTCAACAACCTCTGCCAACAATTCCCCACCAACCTCCTCGCCGGCATCTTCAACTTCAAACCCGCCGACTACTTCGAACTAACAAGCGACGCCGAACGAGTGGTCCCCCGCGTAGCAATGGAAGCAGGTTGAAAGACGGCCCCAACGTTCAGGGTGCCACTGGCCTCCAGCCAGTGCTTTGCTTAGGTCTTGTGGCAAAAGCTCATTCCACAGTCAAAGCACCCACTCCACAATCGTCACACCCCGCGGCATTCACGCCCCACTCAATCACGGCGAATGGCTGGCTGGCTTCTCATGTCCTTCCCCCAGCCGAGTGAGTCAAAACAGGCGGCACCTCGCCACTCACTCCAAATACCATCTCCTCTGCCGAGTCACCAATCAAAAACCCCGGGAATCGACCGATCCACGCGAGTGTTCATCCCCTCCACTCCCCACCCCGTTTCTCGACCTAGACTTGAACAACCCTTCCGTCGGCACTTTCGTTCGATTCACCGGAGACAGATTCATGCGTAACCACCTCAGCTCGATGCCCAAGACGTTGATGCTGATCGCCATAGCACTGAGCTGCGGTATCATCGCCGCCACGGCGAACGCTTGCACGGGCATCCGCGTGGTGGCCTCCGACGGATCAGTAATTCAAGCGCGTACGCTCGAATTCGGGATGCCGCTCGACTCGAACGTGATCGTCGTCCCCCGCGAATTCAAACGAACCGGCAGCACGCCGGACGGGGCGCCCGGCATCCAGTGGACGACGAAATATGCCAGCGTCGGCGCGAATGCTTTCGATCTGCCGGTGATGATCAATGGCGTCAACGAGAAAGGTCTGGCCGTCGGGTTGTTCTATTTTCCCGAAGGCGCCGAGTACATGCCGTACGAAAAGCAGGACGCGGAACGAACCCTCTCAGCCATCGAACTGGGTGGCTATCTGCTGGATAACTTTGCCACCGTCGACGAAGCCCGCACTGGCCTCGCCGAACTGGTCGTGCCCGCGGTGGTGCTGCCGCAGATGGGCTTCAGCCCGGGCGTTCACTATCTGGTGATGGACGCGACCGGAAAGAGCATTGTCATCGAGTTCACCGGTGGCCAGCCGCAAGTCTACGAGAACCCCTTGGGCGTGCTCACGAATTGCCCGACGTTCGACTGGCACATGACGAACCTCCGCAACTACGTCAAGATGTCGCCGAACCTGGCACCGCCGCTGAAGATCGACGGGCTAACCCTCGACAGCTTCGGCCAGGGTTCCGGCATGTTGGGCCTCCCCGGCGATTACACCCCGCCTTCGCGATTCGTCCGCGCGGTGGCCATGAGCCAGTCGCTCGACTCCAACGCAACCGGCCGCGACGCCGTGCTCGACGCCTTCCACGTGCTGAACAATTTCGACATCCCCCGCGGCTCGGTCCGCGACGGTGAGAAAGACGCCCACGGCAACGTCGTCTGCGAAACAACACAATGGACCTGCGCCTGCGACCTCAAAGCCCGCACGCTCTACTTCCGCACCTACGACAACAGCCAGCTCCGCTCCGTCGAACTGACCCAAATGGACCTCAACGCCCCAACCATCAAAACCATCTCCATGGCCGGCAACGAAGTCATCCAATCCCTCACCCCCGAAGACAACTCAGAGAACGTCGCAGCGAAGTAAACCCTCGGGCACTCATCCCACACATGCCCCGAGTAGCCCCAAGTAGGGTCCGCTGTGCGGATCGACAACGAACTTATAAGCCGTAGGTCATGCACCCCGTGCATGACAACAGCGGGAGCCTAATCAGCCATCCAACTCCGGGAAGCGGGCGGAAGGAGTCGCCCAGCCCGAACGGGTACCACTGGCCTCCAGCCAGTGCCTTCCTGTGGGCCTGTCGCAAAAGTTCAGTCCACTAACAAAGCACCCGGCTTCGATGGTATAAGGAATAACCATCCAACCTTCTAAACCCATTCGACCAGAGGCAGGACTGGCTTAATGCCTGTCATTCTTAGTGCTGCCGCGATCTTCGGAAAGATGCTCCAACACGGACGATGGTGGCATGCGCTGCTGATCGTCGTCACCTTGATCGCCCTTGGGATTACATTGCGATGGGTTCTTCAATCGCATGCTCTCAAGAAACGACACTCCCAACTTCGGACTGCTGGGCAACCTTTCACTTCGGAAGAACTGGCTGACTACTACGCGATTCCAGAAAGGTTAGGAGACTCCACCGACCTTTGGCAGGAAGCTGTGCAGTTGGCGGAAGAACATGAAGACTATGAGCAAGAAGAGGGGCTGCCCATTGTCGGGGTCATGGACAGTCCTGATTTACCTGCCTTCGGTGAGCCGTGGCTAGATAGGGTTGCGGTTGCTCAATTCTTGGAAGGTCAAGCCGCACCGCTCGCAGCCATCCACAGAGCTGCGCAAATTGACGCTGACGTAAGGTTCCCGCATGACTTCGGCCACGACGGAGACGTAGTCGCTGAACTTACCGATCTATTCGGGTCTTTACGACGTTGTGAACGCTTGCTGCTGTTACAGGCGTACATGCGAGCCCGAGACGGGGACATTGGCGGGAGCGTTCAGTCATTAGGCGAAATGTTCGCCGTCGGGAGAGTCCTGGAGGGATATCCCTTGGCAGTAGCTTTTTGGGTGCGGATTGCCATTAGCGAAAATGCTGTTTACCGATGTGCATCCATTTTGCCATTCGTTAATTCCAGCGACGACAACCTGAAGTCGATTCAAGGTGAGTTGCGACGTCTTGATTACCGTCAAGACCTGCACCGCGCCCTGGCCGGCGAACGCGCTTTCATGCTGAATAATTGTGGTCAGGGCTTAGCAGATGCAACCTCAGTACCGATCCCTGACAGCGCTGCATGGTATTTCGAACCTGGCATTCAATTGCGGATTCTCGAGTATCTGGATAGACTTCCCGAGCTGTCGCAAAAGCCATGGCCAGATGTACTTTCCTACGTTGCGAAGTTCGAGAACCACACGCCAAGCAAATTGAGTTTGACCGACATTGTTGTGGCAGACTCACTGCCCGTGTTGGCCGGTACATTTTCCCGTGCGGCACAGGCGGAAGCACGGGCTGCAACGCTTGACGCGGCGATTGCCACGGAACTCTTTCGTCGAGAGCAACAGCGTTTGCCAACCGCACTGCAAGAATTAGTGCCAGAATACTTGCCTGAAGTGCCAAGCGATCCTTTCGCCGCCGGGCCCGTGCAGTACATCATCGGTGAAGATGAGTTTCTGATATACAGTGTGGGCGAAGACGCAATCGACAATCAGGGCCACGTGGACTACGAACCCGAGGTCGACCCCCAAGACATAGGTGTGCGATGGCCGCTAATGCATGAACAGTGACATCAGGTCAGACGGATGAGCACGCACGGGTGCCACTGGCTTCCAGCCAGTGTTTTCATCTGGGCTTGTCGCAAAAGCTCAATCCACCTTCCAAGCGACCCACTTCGATCAGTGAATACATGGGCACTTAATTCAGCGGCTTGCCCACAAGTGCAGACCCTAGCCATGCTGAAGATTCGAGCTCTCCCGCTGGGGACATTGGAGGACCTGGTGCTCGGTTGAAATAGCACCCGCACCGACCACTGGCGGAGCCAGTGCCACCCAACACAGTTGAGTGGAGTTGCCCTGCAATCTACTCATCGCCATTAATCTGAAATTCTACAGATCTGATGCCAATCGATGAGTTGATAGACTCTGAATCATTGATTACGGCCAACTCAATGTTATGAGCCTCCGGAGGTATTTTGAGCGTCATTTCATATGTAGTCCAATCGGATTCCAGCTCGAATCTCACGCTGTCTGCAGCGAGCACACCATACGTAGGCCCCAGATGGTCTTTGGAGTGACAGGTTATGGATAGCAACATTGGGACTGATGGTGTTGCTGACTTCGCCACTACAGACAGAAAAGCTTTGGTCGCGTGATTGGGGAGTTCGACGTGTTGGAATATCCTGCCTCCATAGACTTTGCGCCGATTTAATCTTAGGAATGTGGAATCACCTTCGCTAATCACTTCAATGTCTTCTGGCAATGTAGATTGCCATGCCCCCAATCCATCGGAAAAATCCGAGCGTCCGGTAACCAAATCTGAGTTCTGAATTGACCGGGAATCGCAACCTGTCAACATGATGGTCACAACCAGAGAAGCCTTGAATGCATAATAGCTGGCGACTGTTACTCGGCTCGTGGCTAGTGATCCACTCCGTGTTTCGTGCAATTACTTTGCCCTTTATTTTTCTTTGATGACGCCTGGGTTGAGCATTCGTGGTTTTAGTAGTCGCAGCATCCGAAGTGGACACTTGATGGAGTTCCAGGCCCGAGTAGCCTCCGCTGGAATGACCCACAATGAACGTAGGAACCTTCCCTCATCCAAACATGGTCTCGCCGAAGCCATGGGTCCGCACAGCGGACATCACCCCACCTCTTACGTCGTGTCGTTGTGCCGTTGTGGTTTAATTCTCTTCTGGATGCCACAGTCGTCTCTACCCTTCACAGCAAACTCTTGAGCCAGCACTTTGTCATTCAGCTTTGCCACAAAACTCTCGCCTCACACAGACGTATTGTTTCAACAACACTCCGTTCCCACCATTCTACAAAACACCCTGGCCTACTTTCCAACCACGTCGAATCCAACCAACGGGTGGCCGAAAACAAACGTTGCGATTCGGCCTTCATCTCGGCATTATGTTCGTGGGTCCTGCGTTTTGCCTGGGGCGTGGGGTCGAGATGGTGGAGCTTGGCTGCGGAGTTGACGGACTGCCGTGGCGGCTCTGGTGATGTGTGTTGCGAGTTGCGGAGGATTTGCGTGATCTGAATTGCGAGCGTCCATGGCGTCACTGCATGAACAAACGACCGGACTGCGCGTCGCATGAGGACATCTGCGATACGTTCGCAGGTGGATACCCGAACCGATGTCCAGGCGATCTGGCGACGGTCTCAATCGCAAACCCACGTGCCGCCACAACCAACCCACAGCACAGTTAACTCGATCATTCCCAAGCAGCGTGGTTCCGGAACCACAATTTTTTCTTCTGCAATCAAGAGAATCGAGCGAAACGAAAGCCAAGTAGCAAAACTTGATGCGCCAAAAATCGTAGGTCATGCACCCCCGTGCATGACAAAACGGGAGCCTAACGGCACAGCCAACATTTTTAGCGTGACGAATTCCATTGGAGTGACTCAGGATGTCAGCCAACTTGGGATCGTGGCGTTGCTATGGTCTGGATTCCGATTTCTCGGTGTAGATCAGCCATTTCCCGTCCTCGTTCTCCCGGACCAACCAACGCATCGGGCTCGAGTACTTCTTCAGATCGGAATAGCGAGTGGCCTTGATGCGAACTCCATCCTCTGTGTTCTTAAAGCTGACTTCAGAGAATTTGTCGGTGTCCCCGCGCTCTTTCGCCAAGGGCATCGCACGCCGAATCAACACCTTCCATTCTTTACCAGTGAAGGAGATTTTCTGAGTGTGCCCATTGGGGTATCGTCTCAAGTTCTTTATTTTCGCCTCGTCCGCATAGAGGTCGGCCACACGTTCGTCGAACCCATTGCTCCGCGTTACATACAGTTTGAAGAGCTCCTCAGCACTTCCCGCGACCTTGTTTTCGTCGATCGCGTCATCTCCGGCAGGCATGGACCACAACACAACGGCAGCAAGCAATACGGTAGAAGTCATCACTCGGCTAACCCTCCAAAGAAACCTAAGTACACAGCCAACTCCTTTGTGCTCGGACTCGCCGAACCTCTACGGCCAAACCACATTCGCACTTTCATCTCCCTCATGTCGAACACCATTCGGCAAACTCACCCCAATCAACCGATTGCCGGTGGCCGACTTCTCAAACACGACATCGCCCTGCGGAGACATTTGCGCGGCCGAAAGCGTCAGCAGGTTGTTCCGCCCAAACACGCGGGCACCAATGGCGTTCTCGATGCCTTGGCTGTCGAGATGGGCTTCGATGCGATTTGCATGTGGGCCGGCGTCCTTCTCATCGCCGAGTTCCAAGTGGGTTTGGCAGAGATGCACCGTGGTGGCCTCCAGCTTGTTGTGCGTGCAAGCCCCGGTCAGGCGAAGCCCGCGACCGCAGCCGACGATTTCGATGACGGAGATATCGTTGGCATCGATCGGCCCCGCCGCCGCGTCGAGCCACAGCCCGGTACCGACCCAGCGGTGTTTTGGATTGAGTTCCGAATCGAAGGCTTCGCCGCCCGGCCAGGCACCGCCCCCGCCTACGAGAGCGTTCACGTGCAGCTCGGTGGTGGTCAGCACCGTGAAGTTGTCGGGGCCCGGCGTAGTGGGGGCCAACCGCAACACCGCCCCGTTGGCGTTGGAGACGATGAGCCCGAAGCGGTAGAAGCAACTCATCTGGCTGTCCATCACCACCGCATCGCCCGAGGTCGGCACGTACTGAATCACGCAGTGCCCGCCGTCGCAGTGGAAGTCTTGCATCCAGGGAATTCGCAACGTCTCGTGCAGCACGTAAACCACGCCATCGACCTTGCCGAGCGTCCAGTTGCCCCCGGAGATGTAGAGGTCTTTCCCACGGGCTTTCGCCGCGTCGAACGCTTCTTGCAGTCCGGAGGTCCGCGTGCCCGGTGTCTTGGGGCCAAAGTCGCCGCCATCCTCAGGGCCATGTGGGGTGACCACAATCCGGTTCAAACGCCACGCCGGAGAAAACTCTTGCGGTTTCGAGTCTTGTGCAAGAAGTAAAGCCGTTGCGCCGGATTGCAGAATCGTTGCTGCCAGTGCGTGCAAGCACAGCGACCGAGAACGAAACCAAAACATGGGAGGGCCTCGCAAAGCGTTGAGGATCGGGGAGGGCGTTCAGCTGGCAGCCACATGGCTCCGCGGTTCAGTTTATACCGGCAATACCGATTATGGGGGCTGTTTCCTGGCCATTCGAGCCGGACGATCGTCGCGACCGATAGGACACACACGGGAGCAACTTCCCGCATTTCCCGCACGAACGGAATGACCCTTCCCCCCAGGTTCCCGTCCCGTCTTTCCCGCTTGAGCCCCCTCCCGGTCGAATTCTTAGCCTTCATCAGGAGCTTGTCATGCGCCGCTTCGGCAACCTGCTGGCAATCGCGCTGGTCGCCATCTCACTCGCTGGCTGCAGCACCACGAAGCAACATTGCAAGCAGTCGAGCACCTGCTGTAACGCGTGCGAACACCGTTGCAATTGCTCGCAGCAGAAATGCAAGCAAACCTGTGAGGGAACATCGACCCACGAAACTGCCCCCAGCGCCGAAAGTGTGCCAGAGCGACTACCGGAAGTTCCCCCGCCGACCGATTCGAACCACGACCCCAGCGCGCCACTTCCACCGCCCCCGATGGAATGGCCCTCGCCACGACGGCCTTAGCCGCAGTTGAGATAGAGACCTAAACCTTAGGCTCCCAACCGTCGCGGTACTCTCGCTTCCACAGTTCTTCGCCGGCCGGGTTGTTGATGATGTGGCGTTCGGTCGGGTTGAAGTCGACGGTGCTGCCGGTGCGGTAGGCGATGTTGCCCAGATGGCAGAGCAGGGTACTGTCGACGCCGATCTGCACGTCGGCGTTGGGCTTGCGGTCGCTACGCACGGCGTCGAGGTAATCGTGCAGGTGTTCGAACTCACCTCGCGTGATCGACTGCCGGTCGAGTTCTTTACCCTGCATGTCGAACACCCGGTAGTCGTTCGAGGCGATCAGCAGCGAGCCCTGGTCGCCATAGAACTGAATGCCGAAGGTCTCGCCCTCGAACCCGCGGCGGTGCCAGGTGCGATGCTCCCAGTGAATCGCCCGATCGAGCGGGGCCCCGGCCGCTTCATCGGCCGAGTACACAAACGTGGCGATCTGGGTGTCGGGCGTTTGCTGATCGTCATCGAAGAACAGCTTGCCACCGCTGCACGTCACGCGATTCGGCAGGCCGACGTCCAACCCCCAGCGGCAAACATCCAAGGCGTGAATGCCATTGTTGCCAATCTCGCCCGTGCCCCAGTTCCAAAACCAGTGCCAGTTGTAGTGAATGACGTTATCGCGATACGCCTCTTCCGGCGCAGGCCCTTGCCACAGTGCGTAGTCCAACCATCCGGGCACGGGTGCTTCTTTACCATGACCGATGTTGGGGCGTTGGCTGTTGATCCAAGCTCGGGCGAATCGCACGGTACCGATCTCGCCATCACGAACACGCTTCACACCTTCGGCCACGCCTGGCGAACTGCGCCGTTGGGTGCCCACTTGCACAACTCGATTGTGCTTCCGTGCCGCGTCGATGAGTAACTCACCTTCGTGCGGATTATGCGAAACCGGTTTCTCGACATACACATGCTTCCCTGCGGCGCAGGCCATGATGGCGGCCGGGGCATGCCAATGGTCGGGTGCGGCAATCACCACACCATCGATCGCATCGTCGTCGAGAATCTTCCGCAGGTCGCCCACTTGCTCGGGCGTTCGCGATTGTTTCTCCGCAGTCGCCGAAGCGGCTTCCGCCATTCGCTTGCTGTCAACGTCGCAAACGTACGCCACCTCCGCGCCTGGCAACCCGGCGAATTCTTTGGCCAGCGTGGTACCGCGACCTCCGGTGCCAATGATCCCGAGCACTACCGTATCGGCCGCAGAGGGGTTCTCGTTGTCTTCTGCAAAGGTTTGTGGCGTGCGCCAGGTTCCCACGGCCGCGGCGCCGGCGGTGAAGAGGGCCGCATCTTGCAAGAATCGACGGCGGTTAACGTCTCGCGTCATGTCGAGGAACTCCAGGGCTGCATCAATGAGGTTGTATCGCTGGCGGCGAGCACGAAAGCGTGACTTCATGCCGGGGGGAATCTCATGCCTGCCCCCGCAGGCCGGGGGCGAACCCACTTATTATGACCGCTGACAGCGTGCAGGGAAACGTATACCAGCACGGCGTTTGTGGTTTTCTCGCGAAGCCCGGGGCCGGGGGTTGCCCTCGTCGCGCGGTGGCTGGCGGCCTAGAATTCATTTTTACCCACCCTAGACGGAGCCAGCGGTGACGTTTCACCCCACCAACCGCAGATCGCGTTCGCAAGTTCTAACCCGGCAGATCAAGGCCGATCGAAGGCCGGCCCGATGAATCCCCACGGAGTGCGAGCTCCCGACGACGCCTCACATATCGACGAGCATGCCATTTCAGAAGCCGAAGGCGGTGACATGCTCGCCCGACAGGCCCTGCTGGAAGAGCAGCAGACGCCCGCCGAAGAAGATGTCGACTTCGAGATTCACGAGCCGCGCAATCTTGCCACGCTCGCGCTGCACCAAATCATTCTTCGCATCGGTTGGGTATTCAAAACCGAGACGGTCATCATGCCGGCCTTCTTGGACTCCGTTGGCGGCGACGGCTGGATGCGTGGCCTGTTGCCGGTGCTCAATCGCTTCGGGCAAAGCATTCCCCCGGCCATCTTCTCCCGCCAGCTTAAAGTCATGCGGCATAAGAAGCGGGGCCTGATCGCCTGCACGTTTTTGATGGCCGTTCCGTTTCTGGTGCTGTCGATTGCCTGTAGCTTCTCCGGCTATCGCGAGCATCTGTGGATGGCCCCTTTGTTTCTTGCCATGTACGGAACGTTCTTCGTTCTCAACGGGCTGAACAATCTTTCGTACGATACGGTGCAGGGAAAGCTCATTCGCCCGGAACGTCGCGGACGGTTGGTGAGCCTCTCCGTTGGGTTGGGATCGATTCCGGCCATCTTCATGGCGTGGTGGTTCTTGGGCTCTTGGCTGGCGTGGCCGGAGGGAAGCGGCTACGCGATGATCTACGGCTTCATTGCCTGCTGCTTTCTGATCGGCGGCTTCGTTGCCATCACGGTGCACGAACCACCAGACGAACACACGCTGGCTCGCGACACCGTCTCGCAACACTTCGCTGGCTCGTGGCGCATTCTCCGCGAAGATGCAAACTTTCGTCGGTTGGCCACCTCGACCGTGTTGTTCGCAACCGTACTTTTGCTGTTCCCTCATTACCAAGCACTTGGGCGGCAACGATTCGGTTTGGGCGGTACCGAGATGATGACTTGGGTGGTGGTGCAGAACGTGAGCCTGGGTTTCGCCAGCCTGGTGGCCGGCAACTTTGCCGACCGGCTGGGCAACCGGCTGGTGCTGCGTTCGTTGTTCTTTCTGGCCGCCCTGACGCCGATCTTCGCCATTGTGCTCACGCAGATTGACCGCGAAGTGGGGCGGTTGGCCTTCCCCATCATCTTCGTCGTGCTAGGGCTCACTCCGGTCACGCAACGTACGCTGATCAACTACACGCTCGAAATCAGTCCCACGGTCGAACACCCGCGGTACCTCAGCACGCTCAGCGTTTGCGCCGCCATGCCCATCATCTTCGGCCCGTTGGTCGGTTGGCTGATCGACTTGACCAGCTTCGAACTCGTATTCAGCATCGGAGCCCTGCTCATCACCGGCTCCGGCATCCTCACCTTCACGCTCATCGAGCCCCGCCACGAACCCGCCAGCGAAGAGTGCATTGCCCGGGAGTAGGGAGACGGGGTCTGAGGACAGCATCATAAGGTTGCATCAGGGTTAGTTGATTGCCACTCGATCCTGGTTCGTGATATCGTTATGGCATGGAAATCAATCTGTCAGACGAAACGAAACAACTGATCGATCGCTGGATCGCTGCTGGTGTATTTCGCTCGCCGGAAGAGGTCATTCAGGCGGGTGTCGAGCACCTTGGTCCCGTTGATGAACGGGCAACGACGGCTTCCTTGCGGGAGAAGATCCTAGAGGGTATGCGCGATATCGAAGCCGGCCGATGCCGAGAGCTCGATATTGAATCGTTCATTCGTGAGTGCGAAAGAAATCACACCGAGACTTTAGGATCGTAGATGGGTCGCGTCATCTACACCGAAGGCGCCCGAGAGTAGGGGGCTGAGAAAGGAAAGTAGCGGCGAAGCATGGCAGCCATCAAACTGTGTATGTTTTGGCAGAACCACTCGGCAACTCAAGGTTCTGCTGCCTAATCCGTCGCAATCTCAGCGATCTTACGGGTGAAGCCTTTGGAAAGCCGGTCGTCTTTATTACTACCGCTGAATCGCTCAGTCGGTTTTCTGCCATTCAATCGCTGGTCGCGAGTTGTTCGGATTGCGGCCCTCCTCACGGTGTGTCTGGTTGAACTCATCACGTGGTGGAGCCTCGAGTCGATCGGTTGGATTCGCACATTGGAAGTGGGGGCACTCACTTCTATGGTTCTGCTTACGATCCTGGTCCTGGGTTCGATTTCGTGGTGCCTACTCTTGTGGTCACGACACCGTTTTCGGATTAGCACCAAATACGCGCTGCTGGCCATGTTCGCAATAAGCGTTCCGATGGCAATGTACGGAGGGAGGCTGCGAATATATCTGGATGACACACTTCTGATGCGCTCACTTCGCAGCAGTGGCGTGGCCTCGGTAGCCATTGGTGAAGACTACGGAATCGGGTTACAGACACTACGCGAACACCAATCGAGTCTACCCATAGCACTTAGAATCACGGAACTTGATCTGCAAGACGATCAGGCCATCAAAAGACTTTCCGAAGTTCTCGCTAAGATGCCCAATTGCCACGAGATTAGCCTAGGAGGAATGGTTACCGATGCAGGCTTAGCTCGTTTGGCTGCCATACCAGAATTCTCCCAGATAACATCCCTCAGCCTCTTCGACACAAAAGTTTCGGACAACGGTCTAATCGCCTTAGCAGACATGACACAATTGGAAGTGCTCTGGCTAAACGAGCACCGCGTTACTGACGCAGGTCTGATTCATGTTGGAAAACTCAAGCGGCTGAAACGTTTGGGGCTTCTCGAAGAAGGGGGTATGGGAAACTCTGCAAGGATTACTGGAACTGGTCTTCGTCACCTTGAAGGTCTTACCGACTTAGAAAGTGTCTTGATTGTTGGCCTTCGACTCTCTGACGAAGGTGCGCGTCACCTTGCAAAAATAGAAGGCTTAAGGAGATTGATACTGACTCGCAGTACCACGATCACAAACGCTGGTGTCGAAGCCTTGACGGGCTTGAGCCATCTTGAGAGCTTGTCATTCGACAGTTCAAAAGTCGATGACTCCTGCCTTGTTCACTTGGAGAAGATGTCCTCACTGGAGTCGCTCTGGGTTTCAGGAACGAGCATCACCCCGGCCGGGTTGACGCGGCTCTCGGCAGTACTGCCCAATTGCGACATTAACCTCAACGATTAGCGGCGTTCTGCGACGGGGCGAGTTGACAGGTGGGTGGTGGTAATCGCCGAAACGCTGCGACAGTACACCGAAGGTTCCAGCAATTCAGGTAGTCGCATCTTGTTATCCCCCACGCTAAGATGGCGGTTAATGCTAGGGCGCTAACCGAATGGGTTGGGCACGGCCCGAGGAATTAACTTCTTGTACGTGAGGGGTGCGGCTCTCCCCCTTGCGATAGAAAATATCCGAGACACCTACCGAGGAGTATCTTGATGGCGGTCGATCAGCAAAGTGACAGTACGATTTTCACGGAAGAGCATCAGGCCTTCCGACAATCGTTGCGGCGGTTTGTCGATAAGGAAGTCAACCCTAACGTCGACAAGTGGGAAGAGGAGCGGAATTTCCCCGCGCACGAGCTGTTCAAGAAGATGGGCGACCTCGGCTTTCTTGGTGTCTCATACCCCGAAGAGTACGGCGGGCAGGGGCTCGACTATTGGTACACCTTGGTCTTCATGGAAGAGATGGCCCGCATCAACTGCGGCGGGATCCCCATGGCCATCGCCGTGCAGACCGATATGGCCACGCCTTCGCTGTGCGACTTTGGTTCGCACGAGTTAAAGAAGAAATACCTGGAGCCGACACTCAAGGGCGACTTGGTTTGTTCCATCGGGGTCACCGAACCGGGAGCTGGCTCGGACGTGGCTTCGATTCAAACCCGCGCGGTGAGCGACGGCGACGATTATGTGATCAACGGCAGCAAGCTTTACATCACCAACGGCACCCAGGCCGATTGGGTGTGCCTGCTCGCACGGACTTCCGAAGGCACCGGATTCCAGGGTATGTCGCTCATCGTCGTGCCGACCGACACGCCCGGTTTTATTGTCAGCCGCAAGCTCGAAAAGATGGGCAACCACGCCAGCGACACGGCCGAGCTGGCCTTCGACAATGTTCGCGTGCCTAAGAGCAACTGCATTGGCGAGGAAGGGCAGGGGTTCATTCTGCAAATGATGCAGTTCCAAAAAGAACGCCTTGCCAGTGCGATCATGGCTTACGTCGGTGCTGAGAAGTGCATTCGCATGACAATCGAATACTGCCGCGAACGCAAGACATTTGGCAAGCCGCTCATCGACAACCAATGGGTTCACTTCCGCATCGTCGAACTGATCACCGAAATCGAGCACCTGCGGCAGATGTGTTATCACTGCGCCCGCAAAGTGGTCGACGGTCAGGACATGACCCGCGAGGCTTCGATGGCCAAGTTGAAGGCGGGCCGTCTTGTCAGAGAAACCGCCGACTGGTGCATGCAATTCCACGGCGGCATGGGTTATATGGAAGAATACCCGATGGCCCGATACTTCCGCGATTCGCGTCTGCTTTCGATTGGTGCGGGTGCGGACGAAATCATGATGGGCATCATCGCCAAGTACGAAGGCATCTTGCCCAAGCGGTAACGAGCCGCCGTAAAGAAAATATCCGCCCGGGTGGCCTCGCTTCTCGAAGCGGGGTCGCCTCAGGCAAGACGAGGTTTTCGTCAACGACCTGCACCTTGTGCCTGCTCAACTATGAAGCGGGCATAGCTTCTCGACCTCTCGTGGCCAAACGAAGCCATGTCCACAGCAGCCAAGCGGAACAAACGAGCTATCACCCCCGCCACAGCCTGGACGCTGCTGGCGATCATGGCGGGCGCGATGTTGATCTTTACGATCTTTCGTCCGCTGGACCTATTGCGCACTACCGGTGTAGAAGATCCAGCGGTCGGGTTGCCGTTGCCCCTGTTGCAGCTCGATCCGTTGACCGGCGACGGGAAGCCGGTTGACCTGCAGGCCACGAAAGGACGAGTCACCCTGCTCAACTTCTGGGGCACGTGGTGTCCACCTTGCCGGCGAGAGTTCCCGCACATTGTCGAGTTGTACGAAGAGCATCGAGCGAACGAAAACTTCCTGTTGCTGGCCGTGTCCTGTCCGGGGCAAGGCACTGAAGACATGGATGAGCTTCGCGAAGCGACGCAGGAGTTTGTTGCTCACCACGAGACTTCCATGCCTACCTACGCCGACCCGGAATCGGCCACGCAGTTTGCGGTGAATGCGGTGGTGGGGCTTCAGGGCATTCCCACCACCATCGTTCTCGACCGCAGCGGCACCATCCGCGGTGTGTGGCGAGGGTACTCACCTGCGGATGTTCCGAGAATCGAAAAGCTGGTTGCGCAATTGCTGGCCGAAACCTAGTTCAGTGAATTGCGATCACTCAACGGACGGTCGCGGCGGTTAGCATCGCCGCCAGTTCTCGTGCGGCACTTTCCGGATTGGGAGCCGAGGAAATCGCCCCGCTGACGGCCACGCGTGAAAACCCAGCGTCCAACACCTGTGAAAGCTTGCCGGCATTAATTCCGCCAATGGCGAACGCCGGCAGACGAATCTCTGCGGCGACCGCCTTGAGGAGTTCCACGCCGGTGAAGCGGTCAAACGTTTTCGTGGTCGAAGGGAACGTCGGCCCTACTCCGATGTAGTTGGCCCCATCCAGTACCGCATCGCGGGCTTGTTCGATACTGTGCGTCGAAACGCCGATCAGCGATGTGGGGCCCACAATCTTGCGGGCGTCCATCACGCTTAACTCATCCTGACCAACGTGGACGCCATCGGCGTCACTCAGCCGCGCGAGATCGGCCCGATCGTTGAAGATGAACAGCGTCTTTGTGTTGCGAGTGAGCTCTCGCAACCGTTGGGCACGGGCGAGCAACTGCCGATCGTCGAGTTGCTTGTCGCGGAGTTGTATGACATCCACGCCCGCGGCGATCAGCGACTGTACCTTTACGGTGAATTCCTGTTCGGAGGAAGCTCCATCAAGCAGGACATAAAGTTGAGCCCCTGCGAGCCGTGCGATGCTGCTGTCGGTGGTGTGCAAGGCTCGGTGGAGCGTGTAGCTGCGATAGCGCAGTGCCTCGAAGCTGCCACCCAACGTCGGGTCGATCACCTTGCCGTATTCTTCAAGCGTGCGAAGGGCTTCCTGGGCGCGATGGATGTTAGCGGTGACCACGGCCCGGGGATCTTTTCGCTGCTGCTCGGAGTCGGTCGAGATATTTGTTCCCACATCGCGAAGAGTTTCTCGCGCTGCCAGTAGACTGTCTTGGTCGATCCGCGACATGGCCGCGGTCAGTTCGTGCCGCATCTGCTTGAACTGCTCGGTGAGGTAGTGATCGTCGAGCACGAATCGGGCGTAATCGTCGACCACCCGCAGGGCTTCCGCCGCTCGGTTCGCCGCGGCATCGAGAATTCGCAGCACGGCCAAGTCGACGGAAGGGGGTGAGTAAATTGTCTTCCCTACGACTTCGCTGTTGTGTGTGCTGGCATTGCTTGCTACTTCAGGCGGTCCGTTGCAACTCGCTTCCGCGATCACCTCGGGCGAGGGGGGCTCGGGTTCCTCGTCTTCGAATTCCAACGGCTCGTTCGAGTGGCCGTACAATTCGCAGATGGTTGTCTCAATCGCGGAGGTTTCCACTCCACAATGCTCGAGCCAACGGGCGACATCGTTTTCAGCCTGGAGCAGCCCCAGAAGTAGATGCTCGGTTGCTAGCGGAATCGTGTCGGAGTATTCGGCCAGCCACGATTGGGCCAAGGCGACCGAGTTGCGAACCTCGTCGGACCAGGGGCGTTCGGGTGGGGCATGTGGGGGGGCCGATTCCACATCGGGCCACTGCTGGCGGATTTCGCGAGCGTCGATCCCCGCCTGGGCCAATATGCCGGCCGCCCGACATTCGGGTTCGTCTAGCAGTCCCAGCAGCAGCTCGACGGGCCCCATCGATTCGACGGCACCGCCACGCTGCCACCGGTTTGCGGCCAAAATCGCTCGTTTTACGCCTGGGGTCGGTTCGGGATGCATGATGCAATTTTATGCGGATGAGATTCGGGTGAGAAACAAAACCGCCTTGGTTCGATTTGTGCTTCTGGTTTAGTCTTCAGGCGGTTGCCACTCGTCGGGCCGCATTTCTCATGCGGCAGAGTGTCGCCGAGCGATCGCAGGTGGCGGCTGCCCGCGCTGCTACCGCAATGGCTATTTTAACTTAACTTTATGTGCCATATATAGTTGCCTTGCCCCATCAGGTATCCGGAGCTAGAATTCCGATGCCGTGGTTGGGGGTATTTGCCCGCGCTTTCATGGATGGGAGCCAACAATCGGATGCATCTAAGCCGATGGGTTAGTGTGGCGTGGCCCGGATTGCCTCAATTGTGGCTGCGAGGCGATCCTGTGGCGTTGGTTCTTGCGGTGGCATTCGCCGTCCTTCTGAACTTGGCCCTGGTCACCTCGTTGGTGTGGACAGAACTGCTGGATCCGTTTCAGCGGAATGTCCTCTGGGCGGTGGTGGGGCTTGTCTGGACAATCTCGGCGGTAGTTTCCCTACGATGGTGGCAATCACGCGAGTCGCCACAACCGGATGCCGCGGAGGACTTGTTTCGCCACAGTTTAAATCAATACTTACAGGGGAATTGGCTCGAAACCGAGCGGATGCTGCGACGACTGCTGCGGCGCAATGGCCACGACGTCGACGCGCGACTGCTGCTGGTCGGGGTGATGCGACGTACCAAGCGGTTTGACGAAGCCCACCGGCAGCTCGATCGCCTGGTGGCTTCCGAAGGCTCGGATAAGTGGCACACCGAGATTGACCGCGAGTATGAGTTGCTCGAGCGAGCCGAAGACAGCGCATTGGAAACCAGCGAATTAGATAACGGCAACTCTGAAGTAGATGAACCGCGACAACTGTCAAGCCCGCAGGGCGACATCGCGGATGCAGCTTGAACGACCCGCCCTCGTTAACAAGTTGGGCGACAGAATACTAAATCACTAGCGAACCGGAGAAGGCGTCCCAAGCGAACCGAAGTCTCACCCCGAGGCACTAGGACGCCGCAGACGGAGAAACCGCCATGTATGAACGCTTCACAGACCGCGCACGCAAAGTCATGCAATTGGCTAATCAGGAAGCGCAGCGCTTTAACCACGAGTACATCGGTACCGAGCACATCCTGCTTGGTCTGATCAAAGAAGGTTCTGGTGTTGCCGCCAATGTGCTGAAGAATCTCGACGTCGATCTGCGAAAGATCCGACTTGAAGTCGAGAAGCTGGTGCAAAGTGGTCCTGATATGGTCACCATGGGCAAACTGCCCCAGACCCCACGAGCCAAGAAGGTCATCGAGTACTCGATGGAAGAGGCTCGCAACTTGAGCCACAACTATGTGGGCACCGAGCACATTCTGCTGGGCTTGCTGCGAGAGCAAGAAGGCGTTGCCGCCCAGGTGCTGATGAACCTCGGCCTGAAGTTGGAAGAAGTCCGCGACGAAGTGCTCAACCTGTTGGGTCACGACATCGGATCGGAATCGAGCGAACGCAACCCCGGCGGTGGCGGTGGTTCTTCGGAATCGTCCAGCCGCAGTGGTCGTTCGAAGACGCCGGCGTTGGACAGCTTTGGTCGCGATCTGACCGAACTAGCCAAGCAAGGCAAGCTCGACCCGGTGATCGGTCGCGAGAAAGAAATCGAACGAGCCATTCAGATTCTCTGCCGTCGCACGAAGAACAACCCCGTGCTGCTCGGCGAAGCGGGCGTTGGTAAAACGGCCATCGTCGAAGGGTTCGCCCAACGCGTGGTTGATGGCGATGTGCCCGAGTTGCTGGCCGAGCGACGTATCGTCGTGCTCGACCTGGCGATGATGGTCGCTGGTACCAAGTACCGCGGTCAGTTCGAAGAACGTATCAAGGCCGTGATGAACGAAGTGCGTCGTGCGAAGAACACGATTCTGTTCATCGACGAATTGCACACCCTGGTCGGTGCCGGTGGTGCCGAGGGTGCCATCGACGCTTCGAACGTGCTGAAGCCCGCGTTGGCCCGCGGCGAAATCCAGTGCATCGGGGCCACAACGCTGGACGAGTATCGCAAGTACATCGAGAAGGACAGCGCCCTGGATCGTCGATTCCAGCTCATCATTGTCGAGCCCGCGACGAAGTCGGAAGCGATCGAAATTCTCAAAGGTCTCCGCGACCGTTACGAGACTCATCACCGCGTGCAAATCACCGACGATGCGATTTCGGCCGCGGTCGAACTTTCGAGCCGGTACATCACCGGACGTTGCCTGCCCGATAAGGCGATCGACGTGATCGACGAGGCGGGAGCCCGAGTCCGGTTGCGTACGATGACTCGTCCGCCGGATTTGAAAGAGATCGACGAAGAGGTCGAACGGCTGAACAAAGAGAAGGAAGAGGCCGTTGCCGATCAAGACTTTGAGAAGGCTGCCTCGCTGAGGGATTCGGCCGACAAGCTGAAGAAGAAAAAGCAGCAGATCACCCGCGAGTGGCGTGACAAGTCGCGCGAAGCCGATGGCGTGGTCGACGAAGAAGTCATCGCCGAGGTGATCTCGAAGATGACCGGCATCCCGCTCACGCGGATGACGACCGAAGATTCGCTGCGTTTGATGGAGATGGAAAAAGATCTCCACAAACGGGTTGTCAGCCAGGACGAGGCCGTGAAATCGATCGCCAAGGCCGTGCGGCGTAGCCGTAGCGGTTTGAAAGATCCGAAGCGGCCCACAGGGTGCTTTATCTTCGCCGGTCCGACTGGTGTGGGTAAAACGCTGCTGGCAAAGGCCCTGGCCGAATTCATGTTCGGTGACGACGACGCGCTGATCCAAATCGACATGAGCGAGTACATGGAGAAGCACAACGTCAGCCGTTTGATTGGTGCGCCTCCAGGCTATGTCGGCTTCGAAGAAGGCGGTCAGTTGACCGAGAAGATTCGACGTCGCCCGTACGCCGTGGTGTTGCTCGACGAAATCGAGAAGGCCCACTCCGACGTGTTCAACATGTTGTTGCAGGTGATGGAAGAAGGACGACTGACCGACAGCTTCGGTCGCAACGTCGACTTCCGCAACGCAATCCTCATCATGACAACGAACGCCGGTGCCGAGGCCATCAAGAACGAATCGGCCTTCGGGTTCCAAAAGCCCGATGACGATGCGTCGTACGACAACATGAAGGAACGCGTGCACGAGCAGATCGAAAAGGTGTTCCGACCCGAGTTCCTCAACCGTGTCGACGACGTGATTATCTTCCGTCACCTCACGGTCGAGAACCTGAAGTCGGTCGTCCACATCGAACTGTCGAAGGTTCGCGAACGCCTCCAAGAGCGTGGCTTGAATCTGATCCTGACCGAGGGAGCCACCCAGTTCCTGGTGAAGAAGGGTTCGAACACCGATTTCGGTGCCCGCCCGTTGCGACGTGCCATTGAGAACTACGTCGAAGATCCGCTCTCCGAAGAGCTGCTCAAGGGCGAGTTCCAAGGCATGGACACCATTACCGTCGACGTACGCGAAGTGGGCGGTAAGAAGCAACTGAAGTTTGACGGTTCGACCGCACATCCAGAGGAACCTCTGGCCGGTGCAACCGTTGGCGAGGAAGGCGAGTCGTCCGACAAGGATTCTTCGAACGACGACGAATCGTAAGCTCGTTCGCCTGAACTAAACGCTTGATAGATCCAACCGCCCTCGTGAGGTCATTCTCACGAGGGCGGTTTTCTTTTGCGCTTGGGGAGGTTGGTGCAAGCAATGCAATGAAGCGCATTCCAGCTGGTCTTCTGTAGGGAACGCCCTCCGTGACGTTCCGGGCGCTATGGCAATTTTCGCAACGCCACGGAGGGCGTTCCCTACAGAACGTTTTCACTCAGCTAGCTTCTTTCGGAGGCTTCTCCTGCCGCGATGCATTTTTTCGCGATCCACCTAGCCGTTAAAGTCGTACTGATCGGCAAAGTTTGTTCAAGCCGGGAAAGCAGCCAGTCGAATCTTAGGAACGGTGAAGTGCGCCGATCCGGGAGCGTTGTTCCCTGGCAGTGCTGGCAGCACTATCACCCGGTAGCTTCTCGAACCGGCAACCTCGTCCCTCGCTAACGACAACGATTGTTCATGGCCACGATTCATCAGGAAGAACCACTCCGACGTTGGCGCCCCATCGGCGCCACCATCGACTGGATCGCCAATCTAGGCGAACTGGTGATTAGCTGGATTATGGCCCTGGGCGATATCAGCCTATTCACCTTCCGCACCATCTCCTGGATGCTCACGCGGCTGCCCAAGTGGGAGACGATGCTGCCCAGCTTCTATCAGATCGGCGTGCTCAGCCTGCCGGTGGTGGCCCTCACGGGTACCTTCATCGGAATGGTGCTCGCCGTGCAGAGCTACGATCAGTTTCGCGTGCTCGGGCTGGAGACTAGGCTGGGTGCGGTGATCAATATGTCGCTGGTGCGCGAACTTGGCCCCGTGCTGGCAGCCACCATGCTGGCAGGTCGGGTTGGTAGCTCGATGGCCGCCGAACTTGGCACCATGCGAGTTACCGAGCAGATTGATGCCTTGGCCAGCATGGGTTCGAACCCTATTCACTATCTGGTGGTGCCGCGGTTCATCGGCTGTGTGATGCTGATTCCCATGCTCACGATCATGGCCGACTTCATGGGCGTGGTCGGCGGCCACTTCTACAGTGTGGTGCTTCTTGGCATCGACTCGCACCATTACTGGAGCAACACCCAGAAGCTGGTCGGCGTGTTTGACCTGAGTGCCGGCGTCTTCAAAAGCTTCTTCTTTGGTGGCACCATTGGCTTGATCAGTTGTCACCGCGGATTCAATTGCAACCCGGGGGCCGAAGGTGTCGGTCAGGCGGCCACGGGGGCTTTTGTATACTCATTCGTGGTCATCCTGATCATCGACCTGATTCTCGGCATCCTCATCAACACCGTGTACTACACGCTGTGGCCCGATGCAGGAAAGCTGATTTAGCAACGCGGGCAGACGTACTTAACTTGCACAACTAGCTATCGCAACCATGGTTCAAGCAACCCCCAACGATGAACGTGTCGCAGACGACCGGCCGCTGGTCGATGTCTCCGACATGCATGTGAAGTTCGGCAGCCAGCATGTGCTGCGCGATATCAACCTCACGATTCCGCGGGGGCAAACGCTGGTCATCATTGGCGAAAGCGGTTGCGGCAAAACCGTATTGCTGAAAACGCTCATCGCCCTGATGCACCCCACGCGGGGCAAAGTGCACTTCGACGGGCAGAACCTGGCCAAACTCAGCGATCGCAAACTCACGGCTCAGCGGATTCGTTTCGGATTCTTGTTTCAAATGGCCGCCTTGTTTGACAGCATGACGGTGGCCGAAAACGTGGCCTTTCCCTTGCGTCAGCACACACGCAAGAAGAACGACGAGATTGCGAAGATCGTGCTCGATCGCCTGGCCGAAGTTGGCTTGCCGCCCACCGTGCGTTCGAAGAAGCCGGCCGAACTTTCCGGTGGTATGCGAAAACGGGTGGGCCTGGCCCGAGCCTTGGCGCTCGATCCCGAGATCATGCTCTACGACGAACCCACCACGGGGCTCGACCCGATTATGAGCGACGTGATCAACGAGTTGATCATGCGGACAAGAGATAAATCGTCGGTTACCAGCATCGTCGTCACGCACGATATGAAGACAGCCCGCAAGGTGGCCGATCGAGTGGTGATGCTCTACCCGGTGTCGCGATTGAAGCCGAAAGAGCCGCAAATCATCTTCGACGATGTGCCAGCAGCAATCGACAGTTGTTCCGACTCACGCGTATCGCAATTTGTCGAAGGCGAAGCCGGCGACCGAATCATGGAAATGCGGGAAGAACACGCGATGTCTTAGAACTCGCCCACGAAACTCAACGAATCTTGCGAGCAGAAGGCGATTGCCAAACTGCTTGTTGAGAACACTTAAAGCGTACGAACAAGGAACAGGTCATGGACGATCGCCGTATTCAGTTTCGAGTGGGAGTGCTGGTCTTATCGACCATCATCCTCACGGCGATTCTCGTAGTTGTGCTCAGTGGTCCCGCCACCATCGGGCTGGGAACCTACACGATCTATCTCAGCTTTCAAGACGCCCCGGGCATCACGGCCGACACTCCCGTGCGCAAGAGCGGGATCTTGATCGGCCGCGTGACCGATGTTCGTTTCGCCGATGATGGAAGCGTGCTGGTTACGGCCGGCATCCAGGAGAACATTCGTCTCAGGGCCAACGAGCGCCCTCGCATCAGTAGCGGGCTACTCGGCGATGGCGTGTTGGAATTCTATCGTGGTCCCCAGCCCGCACCCGAGGGCGACTACATCCAGCCCGGCGACATTCTGGTTGGCGATGTGGTGGCCGATCCGTTGCGCATTCTAGGGAACATCGAGGGCGATCTCTCGCAAACCATTGTCTCAGTAGCTCAAACCAGTGACGACATTGGGCGACTCGCCCGCGAGGTCACTTCACTGCTGTCGAACAACGAGGAGCAGTTCGCCCGGATTATCGTGAAGTCTGAGACGTTAATCGAATCGCTGCAATCGGCCGCCGCGGGGGCCGACAGCATCTTGGGCGATCCGGTGATGCGAGAAAACCTCACCCGTTCGCTCAATGGCCTGCCGGTAGTGATCGAAGATTTCCACACTCTCATGGCTAACCTCGAGGGAACCCTGCAGTCGGCCGACCGCAACCTCAACAACCTCGAGCAATTCACCCAGCCCCTGGGCGAACGGGGTGAGAATATCATCGACCGCATCGACAACACCGTCACGAATTTGGACGTGATGCTCGGCGAAATCGGCCAATTCGCCAAGGCCCTGCGAAATCCCGATGGCACATTGGGGCAGTTCCTCAATAACCCCGATCTGTACCACAACCTGAACCAGGCCGCGCTTGATTTGGATCGTCTACTAAAAGATGCCCGACCAGTGATCTACAACACGCGGGTCTTCACCGACACGCTTGCTCGCGAAGGGTTGCGAGGCCAGCTCAAACATCGTCCGCCGATCAAGTAGCCACGTTCCGAAGGCCTAGTGTCTAAGCAGGGCCAACGAATCCGCTTACGCCCCGCCTTGTCACGGTTGTGAGCTACGCGACTCACCCTAACGAGTTATGCGAGCCGAATCGCGCTCAGGAACGATGCTGATCGCCGGCTATCTGTGGTGCGTCAATCTGTGCACAGCACCGGTATATCATTTGCGGGATCTTCAATAGGGCGGAATTCCAGTTCGTTCATTGAGGAGAAGCAAGATGAAACACAAGATAAGTGCCGGTGTCGTGGCGGCCGCCATTGTGGCGGTCGCGGTGATCGGGTCGCATGTGAATGCGAGTTCGTCGGCGGTGAAATCGCAAAACGCGGTGGTGCACCTGTCCAACATGACCAACGACTTGCACAGCGCTTTCATGGCTGTGAAGCTCGGCTCACTCATGCAGTCTGGGCCAGCACAGGTCACATTGTTTCTAGACCTTGAAGGAGTGCGATTGGTTGACAACCGCCAGCCGCTCGATCTTCGATGGGGTCCGGGGCATAAGGGGCTGAACGAATACTACGAAGGGTTCGTTGCCTCTGGCGGGAAAGTGCTCGTCTGTCCCCACTGTGCCCAGGCGGCAGGGATCGATAGCGATTCGCTTCGAGAGGGAGCTCAAATCGCCACCGAAAGCCAGGTAGCAGAAATGCTCGCCTCTGCGGATAAGATTCTCGATTACTAAGTCGGCCACGACGAATTGCACGACGACCACAGGAATGCCAGTAAGGTGTTTCTGTGGTCGTTTGTTCTGCAAGGCAATGGGTTCGACGCAACGATCGTGACGCAGCCTGCTAATCAATACCGCCCAGGCAAGGGCAGGGGATTGGGCGAGGGGCCTTGAAACTGGGGCTGGAACAAGGGGCCTTGTCCCGGGGCCGGTGGCGGAAGTGGGCCCGGTACCGTGGGGCCCGGTGGAACATACATGGGCGTGCCCATCGTTCCGCCCGGTGCGACCCCACCAGGCGCGGTGTATAGCCCGGCCGTGGCTTGGGTTTGATTTCGCAACTGTTCGGCTCGTGCCATCAACTGATCTTGAGGCACCACCACTTGCGGGACCAGTTGGAAATCGAGCACGCGCTCGTCTCGGATTTCCCAGGGGATGATGTTTTCGGAGACAAACTCCAGCGGGAACACTTCGTACCACGGCGGAGGTATGTCGTACTTGGGAACATTCATGATCTCGTAGCCGTCTTTCACCAGGCGGATCTTCCGCTTGCCGTAGTAAATGAAATCGGTCGAGACCGGCGTGGTGCCGATGTAGTAGTCGTCGACGTAGACCAACGCCCCGGGTGGGTTCGAGCGGATGGTCATTCGCCGCTGCACGCAGCCGCCGCTGAACAATGCGACAACCGTCACCAACACCGTTGCAAGGTGCAGGAGAGTACGGGGGCAGACCGAAGCGGGCTTGTTTACGGAGATTCCCTGAGGCACGCGTAGGCTCTCGCGCTGAGGGTCAAAATCGGTTTTTTCCGGCGGGATTTGCCGTCTGAGATAAGGTCGCCGACCGACCACACTGCTGTGTGGCTAATCTGCGAGGGGCGGAGTATAGCCACACCCCGCGCGCTGCCGCTAGGCCGAATTCGCCTAGTTCCCGCGTTCCACGCAAGAATTGAGAAATTGTCTCACTGGCACGAGGCGTGCTGTAATTGCTTTCGAGGCGACCTGGGCATCATTGTCCGAAAACAAAATCGGGCCGACGAGGCCTAGGGCGCAGGGAACCGTGAAGAGCAAGGCGGGGCCGGAACGGCGAAGGCAACGGGCACAGTAGCAGTAAGTGCTCTGCAATACGAGAGTTGCACCGCGTCGAGTTACTACCGTCGCCCTCCGCTAGCGATTAGAATAGGAGCGCGAGACCATGGCGACCGCGACACTCGCAGCCCGGGGCGTGAATATGCAGAAAAAGACCGAGCACGACAGCACACCTGGCCTGCAGATAGCAGCGCTGTCGGATATCGGTCTGCGCCGAACGAATAACCAAGACGCGTACGGCGTGCTCACCGCCCCAGATGAGCATATTTGGCACCAGCGTGGACATCTCTTCCTGGTAGCCGATGGAATGGGGGCCCATGCCGCGGGTGAGCTGGCCAGCGAATTGGCCGCCGAGAAGATCCCCCACAATTACTGCAAACTCATCGATCAAACGCCGCCAGAAGCTCTGCGGCAGGCCGTCGTTGAAGCGAACCACGAAATCCACAGCCGTGGTCAGGCGAACATCGAATTCCACGGCATGGGCACAACGGCCAGTGCCCTGGTGCTACTCCCGCAGGGGGCCGTTGTAGCACACGTGGGCGATAGCCGAGTGTATCGCCTTCGCTCGCATCAGCTCGAGCAGCTAACGTTCGATCACAGTTTGGTTTGGGAGATGATCGCCGAAGGGCAGTTCGCGGAAGAGGACGTGCCGAACTACGTCCCCCGCAACGTGATCACGCGATCGCTCGGGCCGAATTCCGAGGTGAAGGTCGACCTCGAAGGTCCCTTCCCGTTGGAGGTGGGCGATAAGTTCCTGCTGTGCAGTGACGGTTTGACTGGCCAAGTTGAGGACACCGAACTCGGCATCATCCTCGATTGCCTTCCCCCCGACGATGCGGTTCGCACACTGGTTGATTTGGCCAATCTGCGTGGTGGGCCGGACAACATTACGATCGTCATCGCGGAAGTGACCGGAGAGCACTCGATCGGTCGCACCGACAGCGGGTGGCATTCGGTACCGGGCCGCAAGAAAAACACGCCCCGTGTTCCTGTTGGCGTATGGGTCGCATTAGGCGTTTTTGCTCTGCTGGCACTGGTCTTAGTCGGCCTCGGGCAATTGCTTCCCGCGGCTCTGGCAGGGGCAGCCGCATTGGTGGCCGCCATCGTGGTCATGGTTCGGGTTCTTGAGAGTGATGAGAATTCGACTTCCGCTGTTCCGGCAGAGGGGCGGCTGGGCCAGGGGCCGCACCGTTCGCGTGCCTGTAAGGCGGATAAGTCATTCGTGCAGAAGCTGAGCCAGATTACGGCACAGCTTCAGCAGGCGGCGGATGAAGAGCAGTGGCCCATCGACTGGCAGCAGTTCAACGATCTGCGCGAAGTGGCCGAAAATGCCGCCAAACAAGGCAAGTATGCCTCATCGGTTCGCGAGTATTCGCATGCCATCAGCTTCATGATGGCCCAGCTTCGCAAACACGGCACGAAAAAGGCCCGCGGCCAGATCGACTCGGGTACGCCCTCGAGCGAAGAGCGTTAAGCATAGCCGCTGAATGATCTTTCGGCTCTGCCAGCGGTGCAGTGCTCTTTTCGCAGTAACATTCAAGCACCCACGCTCGTTGTTTACGCAATCTGCCCTGTCTTCCAAAGCGTGGGCTGGGCCTCAGTCCCGTATTGCTTGGTTTCGGGGGCCGGTGATACACTCCGCGGCCCGAACGTTTCTCCGGCAGGATGCCAGCCGCGGATGTGCGGCGAGAAACGGACCTAGTCTTATCGAACTCTCGCGTGACACGGAGGTCACGGTTGCTCGCACGTTGGCCCATTCGCGACAAGCTGCTTGTCGGTCTGGCATTGCTCGTGGTGATCGTCATGGGGTTGGCGGTTAGCGGCTTTGTCGGGCTGTACTCCTATCGTGCGCTGGTGCGAAGCATAAGCTGGCGCGTGTCGGAATTGCCGTTGGCGACCGAACTGAACAAACGTGTCGGCGATCTGCGGGTCAGTCATCGCGAATGTTTGCCGATTAGTGAGTTCCCGTCGGCAAGCGGCACTCAGCCGGCCAGCATGCAGATGGCTCGAACTGATTTCCAAGTGAGCCGCATGGGGGTTGAGCAGGCCCTGTCCGAGTACCGGGCCCAGTTGGCTCACAACGAAAAGCAAAAGACGCGCATCGGCGACAGTTCCAAAGAGTGGCGAACCGTGCGCGAGATTGAGGCTACGCTTGACCGCATTGCAGTGGCCGAACGTGAAGGCGATTGGATTCTTGAACCGGCGACCGCCAAAAGCATTGGCAAAGAGTTGGAAGACCTTCAGGCCCTTACAGTCGAGTTGCCCGGCTACTTGCAACACAACCTGCTCGACTTCAAGTACCAGGCCCGAGCTCAATACCGAACGCTAATTGTGCTCACCTGGCTCACCACTCTACTTACCGCTCTGATGCTCACACTGTTGGTACAACTCTTCTATCGTTGGGTGTTCCGCCCATTGCGGAAGTTGATCAAGGGTTCACGTCGCGTGGCCGACGGGCAGTTCGAATACCGCATCCGGCTCGATTCGCACGACGAAATGGCCGAGCTGGCTGAGTCGATGAACAGCATGACCGAGCAGTTCCTGCTCATTCGCGACGATCTCGATCGCCAAGTGAAGCAGCGCACCCGCGAGGTGATTCGCAACGAACAGTTGGCCAGCGTCGGCTTCTTGGCCGCCGGCGTTTCGCACGAGATCAACAACCCCTTGGCTTCGATCGCCATGTGTAGCGAGGCCTTGGAAAGCCGGATGATGGCCTTCGAGGGCGGCGACGAAGAAGAGCGGAACGAAGCCGTGCATTACCTGCGGTTGATCCAGGATGAAGCGTTCCGCTGCAAAGAAATCACCGAGAAGTTGCTCGACTTCTCCCGAATGAACGACATCCAGCGGATTCGCACCGACCTGCACGAACTGGTGCAGGGGGTGATCGACATGATCAGCCACCTGGGCCGGTATCGCGAGAAGAATATTGAACTCATCTGTGAGGAGGCCGTCTTTGCCGAGGTTTGCCCTCAAGAGATTAAACAGGTGGTGCTGAACTTGCTGACCAACGCCCTGGACAGCATCGCCAACGACGACCCCCACGGCAAAGTGTGCGTGGAACTAAGGACCGCCGCGGGTGAGGCGATCATCGAGGTGACCGACAACGGTTGCGGCATGACGGAAGAAGTGCTGGAACACATCTTCGAGCCCTTCTACACCAACAAGTTGATCAAGGGGCAGCAGGGCACCGGTTTGGGGCTGCCGATTTCGTACCGCATCGTGGCCGAACACCACGGCAAGGTCGAAGTTAGCAGCGGCGGGCCGAACCGCGGTTCGCGATTCCTGGTTCGCATCCCGCTGATCGCTCCGCAAAACGCCGACGGCAACGCGCCCGACTCGGACAACGAACTGCCCGCTGTGAAAATCGCCTGAACGACCGAACAAGCGTCGACACCGACAACTTACGACAGGGACACCAAGGAGGTGTGACATCGCCAGCGAAAAGCCAAAACGCAAAATGAAGTTGCTCTTTGCCGACGATGAGAAGTCGCTGCAAGACGTGATGAGCCGCGAACTGCCCCGCATGGGACACGAAGTAACAGTCTGCCCCGACGGGCTGAAAGCCGTGGCCGCGCTCGAACGCAACACCTACGACTGCATCCTGGTCGATCTCGACATGCCGGGGATGAACGGTATCGAGGTGATCGGTAAAGCCAAAGAGCTTTCTCCCGAAACCGAGGCCGTCGTCCTCACCGGCAAGTCTTCGATGGATTCGGCCGTCGCAGCGCTGCGGCATGGGGCGTTCGACTATCTCACCAAGCCGTGTCGCCTGGTCGAAATCGAAGCCCTGTTGGGTCGCGTTGCCGACAAGCTTGAGTTGACCAAGAAGTTTCGCGCCGTGAAGCGGCAGCTCGATCGCCTCGAAGGTAGCTCGGACCTGATTGGCGAGAGCGAAGCGATGGGTCACGTGCGGAACCTCATCTCGAAGGTGGCCCCCACGAACTCCACCGTGCTGATCCTCGGCGAGACCGGCACCGGTAAGGAACTGGTCGCTAGGGCTGTCCACCGCCAAAGCCTGCGGGCCGATGCCCCGTTCGTGGCGATTAACTGTGGGGCTTTGCCCGAGAACTTGATCGAAAGCGAACTGTTCGGACACCGCAAGGGTGCCTTCACCGGGGCCGACGAGCAGCGTGTCGGGCTGTTCGAAGTGGCCGACGGCGGAACGCTGTTCCTCGATGAAATCGGCGAGCTACCCAAGTCGCTGCAATCGAAGCTGCTGCGGGTGCTGGAAAGTGGCGACATTCGCCGGGTGGGGGAGAACGAAGCATTCAAAGTCGACGTGCGCGTGGTTTGTGCGACCCACCGCGACCTGGAAGAGATGGTCGCCGAAGGTGAGTTTCGCGAAGACTTGATGTTCCGCATCAACACTTTCGAGATTCGCCTGGCACCGCTTCGCGAGCGGTTGGAAGACATCGAACCGCTGGCTCAGCACTTGTTGAGCCGGTTTCGCAAAGATGGGCGAGGTGATAACCAGTTCACCCCCGAAACGGTGGAAGCCCTCACGACTCATTCCTGGCCGGGCAATGTGCGTGAGTTGGCCAACGTGGTCGAGCACGCCGTGATCCTCTGCCCCGAGGGGCCCATCTCCGAGGAACATCTGCCGCGAAACTTTAGCGCCCGCAAACTTCGCGGCCCGCACTTCAAGATGGTTCGCCCCCAATCGCTGCGTGAGATCGAGCTGCAGGTAATCCAGCAGACCCTCGAACGCAACAGCGGTAACAAGCCGAAGACTGCCGAAGAACTCGGCGTGAGTCTGAAGACGCTCTACAACAAGCTCAATCAGTTGAGTGAGTTAGAGAAGTCGGCGTAGGGTTCGTAGATGCTCCCACTTGGGTGGCCCGGCCGCATCGGCCGGGTCGGCGACGCCGACAAGATGCCTCAAGTGGGGTTGGAGCTATTTACCGAGTTGATCTGGCATAAAGTTTCGGGCTCACGTCAACAGGATAGTGTTCGACATCGCTGGTCAGCAGGCTTTTGCTTAATGCATCCTCTCGCTTTCAGCGACCCGGCCGGTGCGGCCGGGCCACCCGCGGTTGGTGTCATTTACCGGGTTGATTTGGCATCGAGTTTCGGGCTCACGCCAGCAGGATTGATTCGACATCGCTGGTCAGCAGGCTTTTGCTTAATGCATCCTGTCGCTTTCAGCGACCCGGCCGGTGCGGCCGGGCCACCCGCTAGGTGGCAGTCCTACTTTGCGGCCCTTTTTCTGCGTGGAACGCGTGGCGGTTCGTCTTTCCACCAGTCGGGGCCTTCGGCTAGCACTTCGGCATCTTGCTTGATGAGTTTCTGCTTCATCTGAGCGAAGACCTCCGGATGGTCGCTTGAGAGGTCGCGGGTTTCTTCTCGATCTTCGCGGATGTTGTAGAGTTCGAACTTCGTCAAATCGCTCGAACCGATGATCTTCCAGGGCCCATCTCGCAGAGCGACCACATACGGTTCGGGAGCCAGGTGGTTCCGCCAGTAAAGCGGTTCGCTACGTTCGATCTCACCGCCCTCGAACACCGGTAGGAAGCTGGCCCCGTCGATTGGGCGATCTTCCGGAAGCGGGATGTCGACGATCTCGCAGATGGTGGTGAAGACGTCCGACCCGATGATGGGCTCGTTGCAGACGCTGTCCGCGGGAATGTGACCCGGCCACCGCATGATGCCGGGCACGCGGATCCCGCCTTCGTGCGAATGCCGCTTCCGGCCCCGCAGCCCTCCGGTTGAACCACGCGTGCGGGCGCGAATACCGTCCCCCTCGGGGCCATTGTCTGAAGTGAACATCACCAGCGTGTTATCGTGATAGCCCAGCTCGTCGAGCGCCGCCATCAGTTGGCCGAAGGCGTAATCGACCTGCGTGATGTTGCCATGATGCTGCCGCAAGTCGGGGTCTTTGAGGCCTGCGTAGGGCTCCATGAACTTCGGCAGGCTCTCGATCGGCTTGTGGGGGTCATGCGTCCACACGTTCAAATAGAACGGTCGCTCGCCATCCTCTCGATTTTTCAACCAGCCGATCGCCTCTTCGACGACGAGCCCCGAGCTGGCTCCTTGCATTTTGCCGACCGGTTCACCGTTGCGGACGAAGTTGTCGGGGTTCACGTGGTTGGGTGCGGCGTTGTTCTGCGTGGCCAGCCAGTGATCGAAGCCGTGGTCATTCGGCTGCGGATGCTGGGGGCTGTTGAAGAACCCGTTGAGGTGCCACTTGCCGACGTGGCAGGTGTCGTAACCGCGGTCCTTCAGCAACGAGGCGATGGTGATTTCGCTAGTCCGCAGATGCACCTGGTGACCCTCGGGTATCCATCGCCACACGCCGTTGCGATAGGGGGTGCGCCCGGTGAGGATTGCCGACCGCGACGGAGAACAAACCGAGCAGGCCGAATAGCACTCGGTGAACCGCATCCCCTCGGCCGCAAAGCGATCGAGGTTCGGCGACTGAATCAACGGATGCCCATAGCAGCCCAAGTCGCCGTAACCCATGTCGTCGACCAGGAACACCACAAAATTCGGCGTCTCTCCCGCAGAGGCAGGTCCCGTGCAACTGGCAATCCACAGCCCCAGAACGACGGCAGCAGTTTTGAAAAGATTCCCCACTGGAAGACCCTCGATGCAAAGTTCGTTGAGCGAGCAGCAATCAACCTCGCCCGATTGAACAACGCCCGAGGGGCGGTTGCAAGTTTTTGGGTGGACCGAACCCCCGGGTGGCACCGGTTCTTGAACCGGTGGGCGAAGCCCAGGAGGGTTTCTTAGTGGATCGGGGCTTCTTATCGCGACAATACCCGAGTATTCGAGTTGGCACTGTAGGCAAATGGCAGAGCACTAGCTCGACAAGCTAGGGGGCACTGGCTGCGGGGAACCGTGGGGGATGGAGACAACACTCGAAGGCCTCTCGGGGCTGCGCCCCACCGGATCAAGATCCAGTGCCACCCAAGGTGAGTTTCGCCCAAGAACCGCCGCTTACAGCGGCTCGCCCTTCCAGCGGACGAAACCTTCCATCGCGTAATACTCTGGCAGCCCCATGCGGTTGTAGGCGTCGGCGGTGCCGCGGTTGCGGTCTTCGGCCCGTTGCCAGAACTCGCGGGGATCGTCGGGGCCGGGGAAGAGGGCACTGTCCTTCTGCGACTCGTGCCTGAAAATGGCGGCCCGTTTTTGTTCCAGGTCGCTGGGGCTGAGGGGCACCGCGATCTCGATCTCGTCGGCCGGCCATTCTTGCCAGGCCCCGCGGTACAAGAGCACCTCAGGGCGGGTGTTGCCGTCTGCTTCGTAACGTTGCAGGGCAGCGAAGATCGCTTCGGCACAAACGCGGTGTGTTCCGTGCGGGTCTGAAAGGTCGCCGGCCACGTAGATCTGGTCGGGGGTCAAACGCGAGATCAGTTCGTGAATGATCCGCACGTCTTCTTCGCCCACTGGGTTTTTGGCGATGGTTCCCGTGCGATAGAACGGCAAGTCGAGGAAGTGCAGGTGCTCTTCCTTGCAGTCGCAAACGATGGCCGCCGCCTTGGCCTCGCTCCAACGGATGAGGGCCTTGATGTTCAGCACCTCTTCGCTGTCGGGTTCGCCGGGCGATTTGCTGGCCAGCGACTGTGTGACCCGCGATTCAAGCTCGGGCGATTTCTCGGTATCGATGCCGAACAGGCGGTTGTACTCGGTCACCAAGTCGGCCAAGCGTCGCGCGTCGTGGTCGAACACGGCGATGTTGCCGCTGGTGAGATAGGCCACATGCACTTCGTGACCATCTTGGGTGAGGCGAATCAGCGTTCCGCCCATGCTGATCACGTCGTCGTCGGGGTGGGGACTGAAGCAGATCACCCGCTTCGGGCCATCTTGCCCGGCCGGGTGATATTCGATCGTGTCTTGCAGCCAGCGGAACACATGATGGGCCACCTTCTGGGCGGGGCCATGATGTCTCAGCAACTGGTGCAGGTTGTGGTTCCGGAAGTCGTTGTCGTCCAGCTTCAACAGCGCCTTGCCCGTTTGTTCGCCTAACCACAGCACGGCACGTTTGATCAGCGGATCGGTCCAGGTGACATTGCCGAATACCCAGGGGGTCAATTCGCCGGTGAGTTGTGATGCGGCCGCCGTGTCGAGCAGCAGAGAAGCGTCGGGATGCCCATGCAGGAAGCTGGCCGGCACGCGATCGGTCGTGGGCTCTTCGGCGGTTTCTCGAATGATCGAGGCTTTGTGCTCGCCCAGGGCGATGAGGATGATCTTGCGGGCGTCTAAGATCGTGCCGATGCCCATCGTGATGGCGTTGGTCGGCACGTTCTCTCCGCTGAAGAAATCGCTGGCCGCATCTTTTCGCGTGAGTGGGTCGAGCGTGCAGAGCCGGGTGCGGCTGTTCACCACGCTGAAGGGCTCGTTGAACCCGATGTGCCCGTTACGGCCAATTCCCAGCAGTTGCAGGTCGATACCACCGGCGCGGGCGATGGCTGCTTCATATCGTCGGCAGAAGTCTTCCACTTCTTCCGGGGCCACGGTTCCGTCGGGGATGTGGATGTTCTCCCGTGGAATGTTCACGTGGTTGAAGAAGTTCTCGAACATCCAGCGATGGAAGCTTTGGAGCTGGTCGGGCTGGATGCCGAAGTACTCGTCGAGATTGAATGTGACAACCCGGGAGAGGTCGAGCCCCTCTTCGCGGTGCATGCGAGCCAACTCGCGATAGACGCCCAAGGGGGTCGACCCAGTGGGGAGCCCCAGCACGGCGTTCTGCCCGATGGCGTTTCGCTCGCGGACCAAGGCGGCGATGGTTTCGGCCACGTGCGAGGCCAAGTCGGTGTTGTTATCAAAGGCGTAACAGGGAATGCGGGTTCCCGGCACAACCCGGGCAGATTGCTGCGTGGTGGGGGCTTGGGTGGTTGCCATGTTCTAAGCCATGCTCGATATTGCTAGACCTTGTTGACGCTTTAGCGATGACCGAACACGGAATTATCGCAAAAACGGGCGCCGAGTTCCATGCCCCGCCGAACAGCCCCCTGGGAGCAAGTGATTCATGGCGAAATCATCAAACCCTGCCGCATCGTCCTTGCGGATACTGGCCATTCATGCCCACCCGGACGATGTGGAGTTTCAATGTGCCGGCACGCTGGCCTTGTTGGTTGAGGCAGGCCATCAGGTAGCCATCGCCTCGATGACGCCCGGCGATTGTGGGAGTCGGGAGATGGGGCCCGAGGAAATTGCCCAAGTGCGGCGGGGAGAAGGGCAGAAGGCGGCCGAACTGCTGGGGGCCAGTTATGAGTGCCTGGAGTTTCGCGACCTGAGTATCGTCGTCGACAACGACTCGAAGCGACGCGTAACGGAGGCCATCCGCCGCAACCGGCCCGACATTGTGATCACCGCCCCGCCGGTCGATTACATGGACGACCACGAAGCCACCAGTCGCCTGGTTCGCGATGCCTGCTTCAACGCGAGTTGCCCTAACTACGCCACGCAGCAATGGGACCCCGCGGGGGCGACCGAGAAGATTCCGCACTTGTACTACGTCGATCCGATCGAGGGTGTCGACTACTGGGGCGAGCCGGTAGTGCCGCACTTCTATGTCGACATCAGCAAGACCTTCGAAAAGAAACGCGACATGCTGGCCTGTCACGATAGCCAACGCACCTGGCTGCGGGCGCAGCACGGTGTGGATGAGTACCTGGAATCGCAACGCCGCTGGAGTGCCGGCCGGGGAAGCGAGATCGGTGTGGATTACGCCGAAGCCTTCCGCCAACACCGCGGGCACCCGTACCCAGGCGATAATCTTTTGGAGCAGTTGCTGGGAGCGTTGGTGAAGACACGAAGTTAAGGGCGGGGGGCCAGCGCTACGATGTCACCAGCAGATTGTCGCGGTGGATCACTTCTTCGTAGGGGCAGCTTCCGAGGACGTCGGCGATGGCGTCGGTTTGCAGCCCTTTGATTCTTCGCATGTCGGCCAGCGGGTAGTTAATCATCCCGCGGGCGAACTCGTTGCCTTGGGCGTCTTTGAGCGCCACCACGTCGCCAGTTTGGAAGTCGCCCCCGCAGTCGGTCACGCCGATCGGTAACAGGCTTCGACCCTGGCGTTCGACTGCACGGCGGGCGCCGTCGTCGAGTACGAGGAACCCCCGGGGTTGCACGGTGTAGCCGATCCAGCGTTTCCGCGGTGAAACCGATCCGCCTTGGGCGAGAAACAGCGTGCCGACGGGCTCGGCGGCCAGAATGCGTTGCAGGGTGTCGGGGCGTCGACCACTGGCGATGATCACGTTCTCACCGGCTCGCGTGGCGATGTTGGCGGCCTGGAGTTTGCTCGCCATGCCGCCTTTGCTTTGGGCTCGGCGGACGTCGTTCACGAAGGCCCAGGTTGAATCGTTGAACTCGGTTACCGTGGGGATCACCTTCGAGCCCGCGTCTGAGGGGTCGCCGTCATACAGTCCGTCGACATCGGAAAGGATGATGAGCAGGGGGGCCCGCAGCAGATTGGTCACCAGGGCAGCCAGCCGGTCGTTGTCGCCAAAGGTGGTGCGGAATTCTTCAACGCTGACCGTGTCGTTCTCGTTGATGATCGGGACCGCGCCGCATTCGAAGAGGGCCAGCAGCGTGTTGCGTACGTTTAAATATCGGGTGCGATCGTCGAGGTCGGACGCGGTGAGCAGCACCTGGGCCGCGTGATGCCCGTGGGCGCGAAGATGCCGCTCGTAGGCCTGCACGAGGAAACTTTGACCGATGGCCGCCACGGCCTGCAGTTGGGGTAACCGTTGCGGTCGGGATGTCATCCCGAGTTGCCCCATGCCGGCCCCAACCGCACCAGAGCTGACGAGCGTAACCCGCCGGTTGGCCTTCACCATATGGCTGAGTTGTTCGGCCAGGTTGGCAATCTGCCCGTCGTCGAGTGTGCCGTCGGCGCAGGTGAGCACGCGGGTGCCGACCTTCACGACGATCGTTTCGGCGGCGGTGACGATTTCTTGACGGAGCAGGTCGGTCATTTGCGACAATTCTGCGAGGTCGACTCGGGACGGATCAACGCCAATGGATTACTCTAAGCACCTTCACCGAGGGCTTTCAGGTAGACTTGTGGAACTGGTGTTGGGTTCACGACCAGAAAAACTTGTCGTTCGTCGCCAGAATAACGTGAGTACTGAAGCGGCGGAAGACACGTGGAGTGAAGCTCGCGGGTAGATGGAACGGCGAAATATGCAGTTGTCGCGGTGGCGAACTGTACCGGTGGTGGGGGATTTTGCGGATTGTGGCCCCTTGGTTGTCGTCAAGCGAGAGGCTTCGTAGAATGCATGGGTAAGGTCCATCCGGCGCAGTTCGGATCGCGGTGACGGGACGTTGCCGGGGTTCTTTACAGGTTGCTGCTCACCCAATGCCCTCCACACAACGTGCCCCACAGCGACGCATTGCTCTCGAGCAACGGACTGCCGAAATGGGGCCGCAACTCCTGATGCCCGTACCGAGGCCACGATGAGCGGACCCAATCATGAATGCGGTGTCGCGGCAATTTACCACCTGCCCGGCGAAGCGAGCCCGATGTGCCCGAAGCAGGGCCCCGAGCAAGTTTCACGCTTGATGCCGCGGATGCTGCTCGATATCCAGAATCGCGGTCAACTCTCGGCCGGGTTCACCACGTACAGCGCTAAGCGGAATCAGTTGATCGACACCCATAAGCGGTTGGGGTCGGTTAGCGAAGCATTCCGCATGAACCATCGGGCCAAGCACGAAAGCCTGATGAAGGAATACGCCGGCCGTGCGGCCATCGGCCATGTGCGTTACGCCACCTGCGGGGCTGAAGACCGCAGCTACGCCCAGCCGTTTGAGCGGCATCATCTTCAGAAGCATAAGTGGTTCAGTTTCGCCTTCAACGGGCAACTGGCCAACTACGATCTGCTGCGTGACGAATTGCTGACCGATAGCGACAACGTATTGGCCCGCGAGACCGATACCGAAATCATCATGCACCACATCAGTCAGGTGCTCTCGGGCGATGCTCGACCTGCACTGATTGACTTGTGCACCGAAGTATTCAAGCGGTTCGACGGCGCTTACAGCCTGGTGATGCTCAACGCCCTGGGCGAAATGATTGTGGCTCGCGACCCGTTGGGAATGAAGCCGCTGTGCTACGCCCGCGAGGGTTCGCTGTTCGCGGCGGCCAGCGAAAGTGTGGCCCTGCTGAACCTCGGTTTTTCAGCCGAAAGCATCCATTCGCTCAAGCCCGGGCAAGCGATCACTATCACCGACGGGCGTTTTGAGATCCGTCAGTTTGCCCGAAGTTCCGGCTCGTCTCATTGCTTCTTCGAGTGGGTTTACTTCGCCAACGTGGCCAGCACGATGGACAACCGCAGCGTCTACCTGTCGCGTAAGGCCCTGGGCGAAGAGTTGGCCCGGCTGGAAGACGTCGAGATCGACGACGACACGATCGTGGTCCCCGTGCCCGACACCAGCAAAGCCGCGGCCGACGCGATGGCCTACAAACTGGGTATCCCGTCGTTGGAAGGGCTGATTCGCAATCGCTACACGGGCCGGTCGTTTATCGAGGGGGCTTCGAACCGCTACGCGAAGGCGAAGTTGAAGTACACCCCGTTGCGGCACGTGCTCGAAGGCAAACGGGTGTTGCTGGTCGAAGATTCGATCGTTCGTTCAACGACGATGAATGTGCTGGTCGAGCGAATTCGCGAACTGGGCGGGGCCCGAGAGATACACGTCCGCGTGGCTTGCCCGCCGATCATCGCCCCCTGTTTCTACGGCATCGATATGTCGACCGTCAGCGAGCTGTTCGCCCCGCGGTTCTTGAATGGCGAACCACTGACCGAAGAAATTCAGGCCGACATGGCGGCCGAACTCAAGGCCGACTCGTTGCGTTACCTGCCGGTCGAGTCGATCGCCCGGGCGATTGGCTTCGACAGCGATCAACTCTGCCAAGCCTGCATCACGGGCCGGTACCCCACGCCGCGTGGTCAAGAACTCTACCAGTTAGATCAAGTAGAGTGGCGGAAGAACAAAGGCCAACCGGCCATGGGCCGCACTTACGAACGCAGCGGCACCACCAACGGCAACGGTCACAACACTTCCTGCTCAGAAGCCGCTGAAGCAGCCACCAAAGCTTCGTAAAGCGTCAGTTCGATCAGGCGGCGAAATCGACGGAGCCTGGCTCGGCTCCTTCGGCGACTCGGGCGAACTTTTCGAGCCATTCCAGTGTGTCGCGTGAGGTGGCTAGCGCTGCCGTGGTGTCGGCCGGCGGGAGTCCTTCACTGGCGGCGCGTTCGTTCATCTGTTTGATCTCGGCGGAGTACTGCTCGAGTCGTTCTGAGAAGAACTGCACCAGGTCGAGCGGTTCGTCTAGCGGCAGGTTGGCCTCGTCAAGTTCGAGCCGCACCAGCGACAACAGCCGTAGCTGTTCATCGTCGATGGCACCGCTGCTCCGCAACTCGCTGAGCATGGCCGTGTATTCGCGGGGCGTGATCGACCGCACATCGTACCGGCTGAGCACCTCGCGGAAGGCCTCACTGGTACCATCCGGAGGCCCTCCAACTCGCGAGGACCCTCCACCATCGCCGGCAGTTCCGATCAGGCTCGCCGCGCTACGCGGGGCCGCAAACCCTGCCGTGCCTGAGTTGCTGGCAAAAAGACTTCCAATTTGCATGCGTCGCTTCCTTACGTTTCAGCGTTGGCAAGTTCTTGCGTGGAGTGTTGTTTGCAAGATCGATGCCATGCCCGCAAGCGGGGAGGGAAATTCGCAGACAGGGTGCGAAATCCCCTTGAAACCCAGGCGGTTACGCACTTCGGCTACCTGAAGGTTGGGGCAGCGTGGTACCGCTATCAATCGGCGAATACTGCCCGTGGTGACTTCGAAGTGGCAGACTTTGCCAGTTCGAACAGTCGCCGAGAAGTCGCTGCAGCTTTGCTAGCTCACCAGCGTCTCGCCCGCTTCCACAGGCACTGCGGCTGGTTGGGGGACGCTGGCCTCTTGTGGCTTGATCAGCCCGGGTACAAGTCCGCGGTAGTAGGTAACCACGCCGGTGAACTCGCCGCGGTAGATCCAGAGCCAGCCTGTGAGCATGACGAACGAGGCCGCCATCAGCGGGGCGACGGCTTTCCACTCGGCTAGCGACTCGCCTCCGATCAGCCCCGCCCGCCAAGCGACGCAGCCGGCTGTGGAGACGCAGAGCCGCAGCATCTCACTCACTAGCGCCCAACGTCGCCGTTCGTAGATGCCGCCGATGTTAGTGAGCGACCAGATGATCCACCCGGCCAAGGCCACTAACAGGCCGAAGGTGAGTTGGCGGTAGCTGGCCAGGAAGTACACCGAGATGACCAGGGTGAGCGTGAATTGGGTGATGACCAGCGCGGTCAGCCCTTTGGGGATTTCGGTGTCGTACTTGATCACCGTTTCGCGAGTGACCTGCGGGCCGTGCGGGTTCGGTTCCAATCCATCTGGGCGCCAGCCCGGGGGCATGACCCAAATCTTGAACTTGTCGGTCCACTTCGGGGCGAGGTACGCGTCGCGGAACAACTCTTGCCACACGTGCCAGTTGGCCCACAGCGGGTTCCAACTGTTCAACGGCTTGGTCAGCCCGTAGACCGGCTCTTCCTCTTCGGCGATGAACGTGCCGAACATCTTGTCCCAAATGATGAGCGTGCCGGCGTAGTTCTTATCGAGGTACTTCGGGTTCCGCGCGTGGTGCACCCGATGGTGCGAAGGTGTGTTCAGAATGTGTTCGAGCGGACCGAGCCTGTCGATCGCCCGGGTGTGAATCCAAAACTGGTACAGCGTGTCGAACGACATCACGGCGGCCAACCACAGCGGCGGAAAGCCGATCAGCAACAGCGGGGTGTAGAACACCCATGAGAACACGCCCTGAAAAGTTCCCTGCCGCAAGGCGACGGCCAGGTTGTACTCTTCGCTTTGATGGTGCACCACGTGCGTGGCCCAGGGGGCGTTCCATTCGTGAGCCAGCCGGTGGAACCAGTAATAGGCGAAGTCGACCTCAAGGAAGAGCACGATCGCGGCGGCCCACTTCCCGGCTGCGGAGAAGTTCTGCACGTCGAACAGATGGTAGTAGTCGTAAATGGCCAGGTAGCCCAGGAACATGGTGGCCTTCATGAACACGCCGACCACTTGTTGCAACACGCCGCAACTCAGGTCGTTGATCGAGTCGTTCACTCGATAGAGCCGCCGCCGGGCCAGAATGCCGACGAGCACCTCGACACCAATCAGCAGAAAGAAGATGGGCACCGCATAGGTGATGTAAGGGATGCCGCTTCCGAGTACACGATCGATTACCGTCAGATCCATACTACCGCTCGCTGAAGAGTACGCCGTTTCGACCAAACCTTCAGTATATCGCGACTAGCAGGTGGGTGAACAACAAGGTCCAAGATAGGGGGCGTGTGAAGCACAGAGCGTGCGTTTTGGCCACAGATTTACGTTCTGTCGGTTCGGCCAAGCTGAGGAAGTCGAGGCCGCTATGCCCTAGACTTACTCTTCAGAAACACGCTGCGATAGACAGGCAGGTCATTCATGCGGCTGCGGCGTTCGAAGTGGGTTTGATAGTCGAGATCGTGCTCGGCAGCGCGGGGGACGACTTCCATGGGGCCTTCGAGATTTGTTATCTCGGAGACCAGCTCGCAGCCCGAGTCGAAGTATTCCTGCACGTCGGTCCAGAAGTGAAACCGGCCCTCGGGTTCGAGCACCCGTTCGATATTGCGAACGAAAGTTTCGTTGAGTACCCGGCGTTTCTTGTGACGGGCCTTCCACCAAGGATCGGGGAAGTACACATGCACATCGGCCACACTGGCTGGCTTTAATATCTCCGAGAATATGCGACCGGCGTCTCCAGCGATAACGATGGCGTTGTCCAATTCGCGCTTGGCGACGCGAGCTGCCGAGAAGTGTGCGTAACGCTTGGCCATCTCAATGCCGAGATAGTTTCGCTCGGGACGTGCCACAGCGGCGGAGGCGACGAAGAGCCCCTTGCCACAGCCGACATCGATCTCCAACGGAGCGACGTTTTTAAACAGCTCGGCCGGCTCCCACGTCTCCGGCATCTCGTCGAGAACTTTGAAGTGGTACGAAAGATCCAACTCGGGATCGACTCTACGTAACGTGCGACGGCCCATGCAGTACAAAACTCTTTCGGAAAGGTGAGAAATACGAATGCTGGATTGGCGAAGCGAGCCTGCCTCAGAAGCGGGGGCCCGGCATCGGGGGTGGACCACTATCTTGTTCGGCCGCATCCCGGACAAAACGCTCGTCCTCGAAATTGAGCCACGAGTCGTCGTCTTCGTCAACCAGTCGGGCGAAGGTAAGCAGCGGCATCAGCAGTGCTCCGGCGGCAAAGCCTCCCACGTGTGCCCACCACGCCACGCCACCATTCAGGTTGCCGGGAATTACGTTCTTCGCTTCCAGCACCTGGCCCACGAACCAAAAACCCAGCACCAAGAAGGCCGGCAGATCGAGAATCGTGAAAAAGATGATGACGAACAGAAAGGTGCGGATCTTTGCCATCGGGTACGTGATGGCGTAGGCACCCAGCACGGCTGCCACCGCACCACTGGCACCGATGACCGGCACGGGGCTCATCGGGTCGCTGTACCAATGGCAGGCTGTGGCGAGTAAGCCTCCGGCTAAATAGAAGAACGCGTAACCCACGTGGCCCAGGCGGTCTTCGATGTTGTTTCCGAAGATGAGCAGGAACCACATGTTCGAAATGAAATGCAACAGGCCCGCGTGCATGAAGATGGACGACACGGCCGAGAAGGCAATCTCTCGGGCTTCAGCTTCGAGGCGATGTTCTTGCTGAAAGCCGTCTGGGACACCGCCGGGGGGGATTTGCCTCGGGTCGACCTGCGGGCGGATCACGAGCGGTTTATTGTTTTTGAGCTGCTGGATTCGCGCAGGGATGAATCCTCGCTCTACCAGAAGTTTTTCAGTCTTGTTGTCTGGCAGGGTCATCATCCACGCCAGCACGGCGAGATTGATCAGGATGATGGAGTAATTGACCCAACTGGTGCGATGCGTGGGGTTTTCGTCGTAGAGGGGAAACAGCACCGCAGCACCAACTGGCTAAACTTCACGGCGTGTCTGCACTGTTCTTAACAAGCCGATCGTGAGGAAGTGGAACACCTTTGAGCTTGCCTTCGAACACCAGCTCGTTGTTGACGAACCCCTGAAACTGGCAGGTAATCATCACACGCGAACGGAACCGCAACTGCTTGACCATCATTAGCAGTCGGTCGCCCGGATGAACGGTGCCACGGAAATGCACATCGTCCAATCCAGCAAACCCAAGGACACTATCGTCGAAGATCTTATGCTTGCCGACGAGGTAGGCTGCCAACTGGGCGGCCGACTCGCACATGATCACCCCCGGCATCAACGGCATGCCTGGCATGTGACCTCGCACCCAGAAGTCTTCGTCGGTCACATCCTTATAGCCGATGCAAATACGGTCCTCCAAGTCGGCGACGAGGATGGCCGTCAACTGTTCCATCTCGAACCGTTGCGGAATGCACCGTCGGATCTCCTCGATGTCGGCAATCACGTTGTCGAAATCGACCGTCGAAGGATCGACGATGGGTTCGCGACCGGGCAAGGGAAGCTCCTCTCGCAGGCGACATGAAGCGGTTATGGGCCGACATTTTATCGTCGTGGCCCAGCACCATCAACGCGAAGATTCGCCCGAAACTGCGGCATTTAGAAGCGATTTTCGATCGCAGGCACAGAAGTACCAACGGACCCGGGAGTCCACCGCTGCAGAAACGATCGTGGGGCCGCGCTTAGGTGCGGATGTTCTTCCGCTTTTCCTTGCGAGCCTTGCTGCTCGCAGGTCGCCGCCCGTGGTTCGCTTTTTTCAGTTTTCGTTGTGGCTTGGCCATGATGGGGTTCTCGCACTGCAGGTAGTTTGGAAAGATCCGCAAACTGCGGACTTATCTTCAAAGGTGCTGCCCATGCTTAACCGGGTCAGCCCTGTGGGGAACTTTGCAAGGGACTAATTCTATCCGCAACAGCCCCCTTGGGAAAGGCGGGCAAATTGAGGCATCTTCCGCTCAAATAAGCCGCCTGAGTCGAGGATGAGTGAAATCTGCATTTCGACCCGGGGGGCAGGCAGCTTGCCTATTTCAACGGGCGAAATCAGTCGATCAGAGGGCTGCGGCGATGCCGAATCTGCGTCTGCGGGATTCTCGTGTCGACCTCCATCCGCCGCGAGCCCTCGTGCGACGGGTCGGTCCGCGTGTGCGGCTTGTCGCCTCCTAGGTCGACGCGGCGGGGAGTTTCCGGCTTGTCGCCACCGGGCAACTCTTCTTCGGGGGCATCCTCGCGATTGCGAGTTAGTACCCGGAGCAGGGCGGGCAGCATCAAGATGGTGGTGAATAGGCAGCAGGTCACACCAATCGTCAGAATTCGTCCCAGGCTCTGCAGCCCCTGGTGATTGGCAATCATCAAAGCCCCAAAGCCCACAATCGTGGTCAACGCATCGACCATGAGTGCCAAGGCCGTAGAGGCCGATAGCCGATATTTCCCTGACTGCTCACGGAACTCATGAATGAGGTGTACCCCGTAGTCGACGCCGATTCCCAAGATGAGTGGTAGCGCGATCAAGTTGGCGGGGTTCAACGGAATCGACAACAGTCCCAACAGCCCGAACATCTGGGCCACACCAAGCCCGATGGGGGCCGCCGCCAGCAGGGCCATGGGGATGCTGCGGAAGTCGATCAGCAGCACGGTCAGAATGACGAGGGCCGCATAGATCGATGCCTGCTGATAACTGCCCACCATTTCTTGCGAGGCTTCGTAGGCCTGTAGCGGATTGCCGGTCACACGGGCGTCGATCGAACGAATGTCTTCGACGAACCCTGATAGGGCATCCATATCCCAGATGTCGCCCTTGCCGTAGATCTTCAGCAGGTGTTTTCCGTGTTCGCCCACAAAGCGATCGACCAAACTGGCGGGCAGGTCGTCCAACTTCGGAGGTTCCGGGTTGGCCATCGCCCGTAATACATGCAGCCGGCTGAGTAAGTCGCCAGCGAGCTGCTGTTGGTAGTGCGAGAGAACCGAATAGCACTCCGACAGCGGCAGTCGTCGCAGATGATCGCGAACTTGCTCCAAGTTGTTGGCGATGTCGTCGGCCTGGGGCAAGCGATCGCAAAGGGCTTGCGCCTCGGAGAGAACCAGGCCCAAGTTCTCAGGACGGTCGACTCCCAGCAGGGGAGGGCGTTCGGGCAGTTGATCGAGCTGTTTGCGAATACGAGTGATCGTCGGCGTCTTCACATTGTCTTTCGCCGGCAGCAACGAGACGATCTCTTCGCAGCGATCGACGGTGTCGAGCTGTAGGAACTTCTCCTTGCGGGCCAGCAGCTCTTCGCGATTGTCGGCAATCGACAGGGCGAACCACACACTCTGGTTGCATTCTTCCAGCAGCTTGTGTTCCAACTCGACGCTCTCGAGCCCTTCGGCCTGCAGGTTCAGCAGGTTGTGGTCGTAATACAGTTGCGAGATACCCAGCGAAACAAGCAGGGTGAAGGCCAGCCCGCCGCCGAGGACGATCTTCGGGAATCGCAAGATCGGTTCGACCCAACGATGCACCGCCACCGGTTCGGTGCGGTTCCAGTTAATTCGCCCCCGATCCACGGTGGCAACCATGGCGGGAAGCACCGTCAGCGTGGCCAGGGCACAAAGCAAGATGCCACCGCCGGCAATAACGCCCATCTCGGCAACGCCAGTGAACTTCGTCAGGCTCGCGGCGAAGAACGCAATCGAAGTCGTCACGGCACCCGTGACAATCGCCGGACCGATCGCCGACGCAGCGCAGATGATCGCCTCATCGCAGTTACGTGCTTCGCCACGAAGCTGCATGTAGCGGGCGATGTAGTGAATGCCGTAGTCGATCCCGATGCCGATCAGGGTGACGGTGAAGGCTACGCTGATGATGTTCAGGTGACCGACCGAAAGCGTGACGTAGCCAAACGACCACACCATCGCCACCAGCAACACAAAGCTGGCCAGCAAGGCATGTCGAATACCGCCGAACCCGGCTACGAACAGGCAGGAAACGCCAATTAGCGAGAGGATGCTGGCCCAGGTCATTGAGGTCTGCCCGGAACGCATCTCGTCGTTTTCCATCACCGGCAATCCGGTAAGCCCGATGGAGACGTCGGGGTGGCGGGCTTCCATCTGCGACAGCAAATCGCGAAGGGCATCGACCGCTTCGGTGCCGGGCACAAAACTATCGTGGGTGTCGTCGGCCAGACGTAGTAGCACGATGCCGAGTTGGCCCTCGTTCATCAGCAGATAGTTGGTTCGCATGTTGCTCAGCACCGACAACGACTGCGGCATCGAGTGCCAGGGTGAGCGGTAGGTCTGCGATTGCGCAAGCGCCCCTAAGATGCTCTCGGAAAGTCGGCGAGCATCGGCCGTGATTGCGGCCGCATGCGGAGAGTTCGGCTGTTGCGACACGGCCCGAAGCCGCACACACAGGTCGGCCGTCATATTGCCCAGGTTCAATCGCGACCAATCGCCGCCGAGCACCGGTTGCAACTCGTGCAGGAATTGCTCAACCCCGGCCAGTTGCTCGGGCTCGAGATAGTGCAGGCCCTTGGCGCGAATCTTTTCCAGGTCGACTTCGTGCAGCACCGAGTGGAAAAGCTGGTCGTGCTTGTCCAGCACATCGGTTAGCTCTTCGAGCACTGGAACCAGAACTTCGCGGCTGGGGCCTTCGACCACCACCACGGCGTCATCGTCGTCGCCAAACTCGCGGATGTATTCCAGCCAGAGTTGGCTGTACTCGCTGTTGGGGTTCAGCAAGTCTTGGCGGCTGGTGCGATAGCCCAACCGAGTCATCGACAGATAGACGGAGAACACGCTGATCACGGCGGCCAGCGCCAACACGAAGTGCGGCGATTGCAGCACCCACCGCGTCAGATATTCGATGGGTACCGATAACAGCGCGCGTCGGTTCGCTGCGCGCGGGTTCTTTTGGCTGCGTCGCGAGGACATCCACTCGTCCTTGAGGGGCTGCGCGTCGATCGAGTCGTTCCGTCTTGCGCCCCGGCACCCGGAGATGAAAGGTCGCAACCAGAGGCGGGATTCTATCTGCGGTGGCAGAACCTCACAAGGCGAGTTGCCGTCTGTCAGTCAACTGTAACGGCTATTTGTGAAAAGGTTTGCGTCGCTGCTGCCAGTCGAGTGCCGCTGCCAAAATGGTGCCCGTGGCGGCAAACAGGGCCAAGGTGAGATAAGCCCCGCCGTTGCCATATCGTTCGAGCAGAAAGCCCATCGACCCGGCCCCGAAGCTGCCAAAGCCGAAGGTCAGCACGTTGCTGAAGCCGTATCCCACGCTGCGACGATCGTGCGGAATGTACTTGGCCACCAGGCTGTTATAGACCGGCTGATGCATGAACAGCACCAGTGATAGCAGGCCGGCCGAGATGATGCTGCCCCATCCGCTGGAGTTCGACATCCAGTAAAGGAACGGAACGTTGGCTGCCAGCACTACTGCCAGCATGCGCTCCAGCGATCTTCCGCGGGCGAACCACCCGGCCAGTAATTGACCGATCACGCCGACTAACAGTACAGCGCCGGCTAGCCACGCCCCGACGGCCTCTGGCGGAGCGGAACCGGAGGGCGACAGCGATGTCCAGGCCTCGCTGAGATAGCGGGGCAAGAATTGCAGCACGCCGGCATACACAAATCCGGTCAATGCCCCGGAGGTGACCAAGATAAGAAACGGAACCCAGTGCAACGTGTCTTCGGCTTCGTAAATCTTCACATCGCTGGGGCCGGGTTTTTCAGCCGGGGCTCTTTCTTCGATCAACCACTTGTACAACACGGCTGCCAGCACCAGGCCCGGTACGCTGAGCCACAAGTAGCAATCGCGCCAGGTGGCGCCTTGATCCAAGGCCACCCCGATCAACGCGGGTGATGCCGCGATGCCGATCGAGCCAAACACACCGTGGATGCCCAACGCCCAGGGACGCTGATCGGGCGGAGTGGCTCTGGAAATGATCGCCAACCCTGCCGGGTGATAGATGCTGGCGAAACATCCCATCGCGAACATGGTGATGAACAGCATCGTGAGATCGGTCGCCGCCCAAGTGATGATCGACGTAACGCCACAGCCGACCAAAAATACAATCAGCAGCGGCTTCGATCCAAACCGGTCGGCCAACCATCCGGCGGCCAGGGCGCCCAGCCCGAAGGGTAACCGCCAAACATTGCCCAGCAGTCCGGTGGTTTTCTCCGTCACATCGAACGCTTGGGCGATCGACTGTTCCGTCGAAGGCAGCGCAAGCTCGTAGACGTGCACTAAGGCATGGGCACAAGAAACCAGTAGAACGACTCGCAGGGCGACCGAGTTCATGCGTTGCTTCGCTCGGCCAACCGTTCCAAGAGTTGTTCGGCAGACTTGCTGTCGATCGCCTCGGCGGCCCGGGCGGCGCAAGCCTTCAAGTCGTCGGAGAAGCCCGTGGTCCACAGGGCGGCTGCCGCGTTCATCACCACAATGTCTCTAGCAGGTGAGGCTTCGCCGGCGAGAACGCTACGAATCATCTGGGCGCTGGCCTGGGGGCCATCGACCAGCAAAGGGTCGAGGCTCGATTTCTCCATTCCAAAATCGTAAGGGTCCCAGTGCAACTCCTCTGGAGGACCTTCGCCCAAGTGGCTGACGAGTGTGCGACCCGAGATAGTCACTTCGTCCAGTCCGTCTTCACCGCAGACAAGCGTGGCTCGCGTAGTACCAAGAATGGCCAGGGCTTCGGCCATCAGGGTGCGATACTCGCTGAACCCGACCCCCAGCAAATGAAACTCCGCCCCGGCTGGATTCGAAAGTGGACCGAGCAGGTTGAAGATGGTTGGGAAGCCCAGCAGTTTTCGCACGTTGGCCACGTGCTTCATCGAGGGGTGAAACAACGGGGCATAGCAGAAGCAGATGCCCAACTCGTCCAGGCAGGCCTCGACCACGGGGAGTTCGGCTTCGACGTTCACCCCGAGTTCCGTCAGAACTTCCGAGGAGCCGGTGCTTCCGCTTGCGCTGCGGTTGCCATGCTTGGCGACGGGCACTCCGGCGGCTGCCGTGACCAGGGCGGCGGCGGTGCTGACGTTGAAGGTGCCCTTGCCGTCTCCGCCGGTTCCGCAGGTATCGAGCAGGCCGGTTCGCGAGGTTTTCAGCGGGGTCATGTGGCGCCGCAGAACCTGAGCGGCCCCGGCGATTTCTTCGACCGTTTCGCCTTTCATCCTCAGCCCGGTGAGCAAGAGACCAATCTCCTGGTCTTTGCACCCGCCCGACATGATGGCCTCGATCGCGTCGGACATCTCCTCGACCGAGAGGTTTTCGCCCCCGGCGATACGCCCAATCGTGGTTTCAATCAAACTTTCACTCCCGGCCTGCGTTAAGACTGCGTTAGTCCCACGAATTGTAATCCGCAGGCCGCCGCCACGGTACCGGGCAATAGATATACCCCACCGATGACTGATTAAGCCGCTGTTGTAAGTTGTCCGTTGGGCGCTTGTTGAGCACGCCCATCGTCTCAGGCTCGCCCAAACCCTCGGGTTGTTGTGTTAGCCCAGGCTCCCTACAATTCCCGATATTGGCATCCTTTTCTACGACGCCGACACGGAAGATTCATGGCGCGCAAAGTTATTCTCGACGTGGACCCTGGCATCGACGATGCCCTGGCGCTGACCCTGGCCCTGTTCGACCCTCGGTTGGAAGTTGTGGCCGTCACTGCCGTGGCGGGCAACGTTACGGCCCAACAGGCTACGCGAAACGTTCAGGCGATCATCGAGCAGCTTGATCCGCCGCGTTGGCCACGAATTGGCACCGCCACGCCGCGGGCGATTCCTACCGACGAGCGATACCTGCACGGTTCCGACGGGCTGGGCGAAAACTTCTACCAAGTGGCCGAGCTGCACCACCAGCACTCGTCCGACAAGGTGATCTTCGACGAGGTTCGCGCGGCACCGCACGACGTCACGATCATCACTATGGGGCCGCTTACCAACCTGGCGTTGGCCTTCCAGCGTGATGTCGATCTGGCCAAAAGCGTGCGGCAGATCATCATCATGGGCGGAACCTACCAAGGCCATGGCAACATTACGGCCACCGCCGAGTACAACTTCTTCTGCGATCCCGAGTCGGCCCGCGCGGTGCTGCGTTCGCCGGCCACCAAGACGCTGGTTCCCGTCGATGTCGCCCGCCGGGCGATGATGACCTACGACCAGTTGAGCAAAGTGCCCTCGGAGGGTACTTCGAAAGCCGCTCGATTCTTACAGCAGATTCTTCCGTTTGCCTTCCAGTCGTACCGTCAGCAGTTGGGGCTCGAAGGCATCCACGTGAACGATGCTGTGGCGTTGATGGCCGCTGTGCAACCGGAGTTGTTCCGCACCGAGATGGTCGCTTGCGATGTCGAAACGCAGGGTGAGCTGACCACAGGAATGTGTGTGATCGATCGCCGCCCCAATCAAGAAGAAGCCCATAACGTGGCGGTTGCCGTCGAAGTGGATGAACTGGCCGTGATGGACAGTATCATGCGCGGGATCGAACAGGCGGCACGGTCGAAATAGCCGTCTCCTCGCGATAAGCTTGGCCTACCTGAGTATCCCGCACCCGCGAGCCCCGACCTTCGAACGATGGCTATTGAGATCCGCGTCTGCCAGGAATCCGATGTCGCCGCTTTGGATTGGTCTGCGGAACAAATCTATCGCGAACACTTCGCCAACCAGTTCGCCCGCCAAGAGGCTGGCGATGCGACGGTGTTCATCGCCCTTGAAGACGACCATGTCGTGGGGCGAATCGTTGCCGATGTGGAATATGGCGAAAGCGACGAAGTGTGGGTGCTAGGGCTCGAGGTTCGCTCAACCCATCGCCGGCTGGGCATTGCCAGCTCGCTTATGCAGACCGTCGAGAAGCTGGCCCGCCAGCGGGAAGCAGTGCGAATTCGGCTCAACGTGGCCAAAACCAACGCAGGCGCCCAAAAGCTCTACGAGCGGCTGGGCTATTGTCAGGTGGGTGAAGATCTCAGCCCCGGCCTGAAGGACCGGCAAGGCAATTACCTGGCCAAGCCGGAACCTCGGTGGATCTTGGAGAGAAAGCTCACCTACGGCCCGGGGTAATCGGGGGTTCAGCTTTTAGCGAACCACCGACTCCTCACCCATGTTGGGCACCAGGGTCACGATTCGCGACATGTTTCGCAGTGACGACGAACGATTGTTGTTCGCCACCTGGATGCGAAGCTGACGCGACATATCGGTCTTCGTCATGATCCGTTCCAGGTCGTCGATCGTGCGAATCGGCTGATTGTTGATGCGTTGGATGATCTCACCCGGGGAAACATGTTCGCCCGCGGGACCGGAACCGGCGACACGCAGCACGATTAGCCCCGGCAGGTTCGCACTCAGCTTCATGCGGGCTGCAATGTCCTCGTTGTTCTCGGTCACCGTGACACCAAGCACGTCGATGTCCCAGGCCTCGTAATCTTCGATCAGCGTATCCCAGGGATTCTGCGGTGGGCGTTGCGGCAGTAAGCTCTGCATATTGACGAAGTCCTCGCGGTCGCCCAATGTCACCATCAGCGTTTGAACTTCGCCATCGCGGAAGATTACCACCGGTACCTCGCGGTCCACTTCGGTGAGATTCACGAGGTTGATCAGGTGATCGATGTCGTCGACGATCACGTTGTTGTATCGCAGAATCACATCGTCGACGCGGAGCCCGGCATCGGCAGCGGGGGTGTCCTCGGTGACGAAGGTGACCCGTGCTCCTTGCAGTCGCGGCAAGCCCAGTCGAGCGGCACTAGTCGCATCGAACTGGGTATCCAGCTTCACGCCCAGATAGGCCCGGCGAAGTTCGCCCCGTTCGACAAGTTGCTTCGCCACCAGCATCACCATGTTGATGGGAATGCTGAAGCCGATCCCCTCGTTGCCACCGGAGTTACTGGCGATCGCGGTGTTGATGCCCACCACTTCGCCCCGCAAGTTGATCAGCGGACCCCCGCTATTGCCCGGGTTGATGGCCGTATCGGTTTGAATGAAGTCCTGCAGCTCGACCCCGTCTTCGCCCAGCTTCAACGAGCGACGTCCTTTCGCACTGACAATGCCGAAGGTCACAGAGTGGCTAAGCCCGAACGGACTACCAACGGCCAGCACGAAGTCGCCGATTTCGACCGTGGCGCTATCGCCAATGCGGGCGGGAACAAGGGCTTCGCCCTCGATTTCCATCACCGCGACATCGGTCACAGGATCAGCCCAGACCTGTTTGGGATGGATGCTGCGGCGGTCGTTGAGATTGATATCGATCCGCTCGTTGGCGGCATCTTTGATCACGTGCCGGTTGGTGAGCACGTAGAACTTGCCGTTCAGCTCGATCAGCACGCCGGAGCCGGCCTCCTCGACCAGCCGGCTGCCAAAGCGTTCGCTGAGTCGCTCGTCTTTCTTGGCCTCGATGTGCACCACGGTGGGGGCCACGAACTTGGCAATCCGCCGCAGCAGCAGGCCTTGTTGCTCGAGCAGGGCCACGTCGCGGCCCAATTCTTCGAACACTTGCTGACGTTCCTCGGGCGAGTAGGTGAACCCACGGGGTTCGACTTGCGCACTCACCGTTTGCAAAAAGAACTGCGCAGCCGTGGCTCCGAGAGCAACTCCGACCACCACCAAGAGGGCGCTCCACGCAGGGGAACGTAACCGGCCCATCGATATCCTCCTTGACGATGGCGTAACGAGCGAGATGCCGTGTTCAGAAGCAAGCGTTCTGTGCGGCGATGCGATTCCTAGAAAAGGCGTTTGGGAATCGCTGCGGAGCCCAGTCCTTCGGGCTCCGCGCTATGGTTATTGGCTGACGCTTCGCGAGAACGTGCGTGCATCCGAGGGCGAGCCTCAACTTCGCTTGAGACGCACCATCTTCGGAAGACACGAACGGGCGTGTTACGAAACGTCCATTTCGATATCGTTGATCGTCAGATCGTTGTCGTTTGAGCTGTCGAGAACGCGACCCCAGTCGGCCTCGGCACCACTGGCACCGCCGGTCCGCTCGTATTCACGCTGACACTCGATGCACATGGTGGCGTACGGCAGGGCGTTCAAACGCGCCATCGGGATCTTGCCGAGGCAAGTCTCGCATTGGCCGTACTGTCCCGAGCGCATCCGCTCCAGAGCGTTTTCGATTGAGGCCAACTCGCGGCTTTCCACTTCGGCCAACTGCGAGTTGATTTCGTCCTGTGCAGAATCCAGCGCGAAGTCGACGACATCGCCGCCGCTTTGCTCGCGGAGTTCCTTCAACAGGCTGAGATCGCCGGCCAGAGCCTTGCGAAGTGCGTCACGCCGACGCACGAGCGTTTGCTGCATGTTCAGAATTGAGTCTTTTCGTGCCATCGATGCTATTCCCTAGTCGTTCGATCGTGGCTGCACCGAAGGCAATCTCTCCCCCCTCAGTAAGCCGTAGAACGAACTCCCTTCTCTAGAACCCGTTGCCTATTCCACAGTTAGAAGTCACCAACAACACTCGCAAACCGGGCTGCCGGTCTGGTGCGCGGTAACCAAAATATAGTACGCAGATCAATCCAGACGGGTCGCGAAAATGCGCCCAAGTTCGTGGTTTGAGCTGTGAACGGTTTCACAAAGCGCAACTGCTTCTCAAACATTAAGTTACGATTGGTCACTCGTGGCATTTGACAAGCCAAAATCGCCAAAAAGCGATTCAGAGGTGCCAAAGGACACTTATTAGGTCGCAACTTGGTCAATCGGGTTTACCCTTCGATCGCCCTGGTTTCGACTGCTAACGGATAATCGACAAAACCGGCAAAGATGTGCAGCCGTTTTTCGGAATACCGGCAGACTCTGCCGATTTCCCTCCACTTACCGACGCATGGGGGCTCTCGGAAGTTCCCAATAAGTATGGAAGAAAACGCGGACCCCCGAAGTCGAACTACCGCGAAGTGGGGGCTCCATGCGTGGCGATGACCCTGGCCCGTTGGGAGGTCAGGTCGCGACGCAGATAGATATAGAACGACGGCGGGCCATCGTAGATCCACTGCTCGATGATCGAAGTACCACTCACCGTGCGGGCGACCCGGTCGGGAGAAGGGAATCGCCGTAAGACTTCGGCCTCGCTATCTCCCACGCCCAACTCACCGCGGCGTTGTTGCCGCTCTTCCCGCATTGCCGCAGAATCGATCGCGGAAACAAGCTGCCACCGTCCGTCGATGTAGTCGTATCCAATCGCCCGAAGCCCCTCCCGGGCTTCGGCCAGGTCGGGCGAAATGCTCAACGCATGTTGATACATCTCAGCCGCGGCCGCTGTGTCGCCCTCCAACGCTCTATAGTCGGAAGCTAGTTGCAGATGGGCGTCGGCATCGTCTCCGGGCAAGGCGACCCGTTGTTCCGCGAGCCAGCGGACCACCACATCCGCGGCTTTCTCAGGCAGTTCCAGTTCACGGTATCCGTCCCGAACGGCAATCATCTTGCCCCGCGTGAGCCTGCTGGGGCGAGCCGCCTGGAGATCGAGTTCCTCCAGGCGGAACCGTCGCCAAAGATCCGGCAACTCGGGCAAGAACCGCTGGGTTCGCATGGCGAGTTCCCCAGGGGGCGTTCCGCTGGCGGCGTACAACTCCATGGCTTGGGCCATCAGGTCGACCCACAACGCGCGGTGTAGCTGCGGGATCTGCTCGGCATCCGCCTCGGCATAAGTAGCGACGGGGTCCTGCAGGTACTTCTCGCGCGAGTTGAACTGCTCGGGAGTCAGTTCCATGTCGGTTTCAGGCAACAGCCGGGCCACGCGGGTGGCCAGGTCCTCGGTGGCCTCGGGGTCGTCTTTCGGCAGGGTTCGCCGCGCGACCCATAATGCGCGGTGGCGGATCTGCAATACTTCGGCCTCAGGGCGTTCCATCTCATCGGCCCGATCGGCCAGGGCAAGCATCTCTTTCACATTGTTTCTTTTCTCCGCCCGATCCACTTCCCAATCGAACGCCTGCAGGTCCGCCTCGCGGGCGAGTTTCTCGAGGGCCTTGTCGTCGTACCACTGACCACGCTCACGAGCCCATTGGGCCAGCTCGTACAGTTCTTCAAACTGGCCCTGGCCGATACGCTTTCGCCGCTCGCGAAAATCCTTCGCTTCCGAGGGCAGTTCGCGCATCGACGTGACATTAAAAATAAGATTGTTTCCCCGTCGGCTCAGGGTGCCGACCATCTCCAGGCGTTCGGTACCGCTGTGAATACGGCGGCTGGCCCGATCCAAGCGAAAGTCGATGTCGGAGTTGGCTAACCGCACTCGATCGGCCGAAGCCGATTCGAATCGTCCGGTGACATGCACCTGTTGCGAAAGCCACTTCTCGGCAGCCTCTTCGAGCTGATGCCCCTCCATGCGGTTGCCCTGCTGCATAGCGCCGCAACACACCGCCAGCACACAAGCCAGCCACATTGCTAAGCCGCGGGAGTACTTGCTCATCGGTCGTACTCCACTTCCGCTTCATCCGACTGACGGGTGATTAGCGATTGCAATTGGTCGTCGTTCGGCCAGCCCAGGTGTAGAAGTGGGTCCGGCAGTGTGAGCGGGGTGCAGCTTTCCGGTTCGAGCTGCAGCCACCACAGGCCCGGTTCGGTAGGCGAGGGAACCAGCCTCGTCATGCGTGCCCCGAACAATACCGGTCGCGATTCGCCCAGCTTGATCGAAGCAAACTCGGGAGTTTCGGGCACGATGACTTCAATCCGAGCCTCTGGACCGACGGCCGCCCATTCGAGCTGTAAGCCTGTGGGTACCGCTTTCGATTGAGGGGGTTCGATTTCTTGAGGCTCGACTGAGTCCTTGTCCACTTCCAGCGAAGTTGAGTACAGCGCAACCCGCGACAGTCGGGCGTCGAAGATCAGGCTGCGGCCCATGAAACGTTCGTTGAATTGCTCGGGCCACTGTTGCGGTTCGGGCGGTGGGGCGTCGAATGTTCCTGAAGTGAGTCGATGTACCGAACCCATAGCCAGCGTCGACCACACTACGGCTTCTCGATAAAGCTGCTGCGCCGCCCGTTGGCGAGGGCTCTCTCCGCGTAGCCCCCGCGCAGCCCGATCGGCATGGTAAAGTTCATCCCGCGCTTTGGTGAATTCGCCGGCGGCCAACGACTCGATGCCGGCCTCGGTGTACGCCACCAGGTCTTTGGCAAACTGCCGCTGCCGATATCGATCCCACTGCCACGCGGCGGTTGCTACCACCAGCAGAGTTACGGCAGCCATCGTGATTTGCAGTCGCGAAAAGTGCGGAGGGCGAATGGCCTTCACCCGGGTGAGCGCTCTTTCCCACACCGCACGTCCGCGCAAATAGAGATGATGCCGCACGCGGGCAAGAGTGTCGGTCGGCGCCGGCTCCAGTTGTTCCTCGTGCGTTTCGATCATCACACGCCGCTTGGGTTCGACTTCCCGGCGTGGGGCGACCGTGGTCGGTGGCCATTCGGTTTGTCGTTTGCCTCGCCGCGGTTTCGGAGGGCGGCGGGGGTTGAGCGGCTGGATGTATACCGGCTCCCGGCAGTTGGGGCATTGCAACGTAGCAGACCGCCGGCGACGCAAACCGCTGAGTGTCGTGCCGCACGGGCAATCGACTTCGAACGGTTCATCTCCGTCCGCCGGCGAGCGTTTCAGCCGCCGCGGGTGAAGCGCCGAATCGACGATGTCACGCATCTTCCCCATCAAATTCTCGCAGAGTCAGCGGTGGCCCTGATTCCGAGGCATGGCCACCGTACCCGATTGCACTGCCCACGGTCATTCTATTCGCCGCAAGGCGGTCGAGCTTGGGCGAGCGATGTCGCCGTATTTACGCCCAACAGAACCTCCGGCGGCGTTCGTCGCAACCCGGGCGTCTGGATGTGCCGAGCTCCGCGGAATTCCCCCAACGCCGACTCAGGGCTGCGTTCTCGCCCCCAAAGGTGGGATTTGGCGGTGGGATATGACGGTCGCGATGGTTGCTCGGCCCCGAGTTTTGACCGTGCGGGTGCCACAACCTATATGCCTAAGGCAGATTCCGACAGCTACGTACATCCCGGCAGCCCGGGCTCGGTCGGTTTCTGTTCGGCCTTCCTGTATAGAAACTCCCGCCGAACTGAAGTGCGCAACATGGTTCTCTTGGCTTCCACGTCTGAAAGTCGGTTGTTGGGAATTCCCCGCGGTTCGCTTTGCCTGCGAATTATCGAGGGCCCTCAAGCCGGCGAGTTAATTCGTCTGAACGCAGCGAAGTGCACGCTCGGAACCGACCCGAGCTGCACCGTGCAGGTGGTCGCCGAAGGCATTGCCTCGGTCGGCTGTATTATCCTCCGCGGCGCTTCGCGAACCATGGTCCGCAGTTGGCAGGGAACCGTGAAGCTGAACGGTCGTCGATTGGCAACCGCTCAGCTAAACGTCGGCGATCGACTGGTAATTGGTCCGCTGGCCCTGGAAGTCGTCTCGCTGAACGAAGCTGGTTCGACTGAGGAGGGGACACCCCCGAGCGACGAACGGATCACCCAAGACGCTCCGTCCTCCAGTGCAAGTCCTCGCATTCGTACCACCGATCAACTAGTCGAACGCTTCCGTCAACGAGAACAACTGCAACGACAACGAGCGCGCCGCATGGTTTCGGCCCTGCGTGAAACTCGCGGGCGCTTGAACGATTTGGAATTCCAACGTCTGCAAGACGAGCAAGAGCTGACTGACCTTCGCCTGGCCGGCCACCATCAGAGCGATCGACTGCAGCAGTTGGACGACGACGCACAACGCTTGGCAAGCCAAGAAAGCGAATTCGAAGCTCGCCGGACTGAAGTCGAAGAGCGACTCCAACGCCAGGAACAGAAGCTCAACGAGCTTCGTCTTAAGTACGAACAACAATCGTCTGCACTTCGAATGCAGCAAACTGCGTGGGAAGATACCCGAAGCGACAGCGAGCAGAGTCTGTATCAACAGCAGACGCAACTCGATCGACGGGAAGCCGAGTTCGAAAGCAAGCAGCGAACCCTGGAAGCTCGCAGCGAACAACTCGAACAGCAACAGGCCGGTATCGATCAACAGCTCATCGATCTGGCCAACGTCAAGCGACAGGTGAACGAGGCTGAGGAATCGCTGGCCTCGCGCCGAGAGATTCTGGATACCGATCGACAACGGTGGCAGCAGACTGAAACCAACCGCCGGCATCAGCTCGACGCCTGGCAAAAGAACGTGGCCGATCGCGAACGGGAGATTGGCGCCCAGCGGGAAACAATCGAGCAGCGCGAAGCAGAGATTCAACGCCAAGCCGATGAGATTGCCCGTCAGCAGTCCGCACTCGAGCAGCGGCAACAAGAACTCGACGCTCGCCAGCAAACGCTGGAGGTGCGCGAGACGGAAGTTGCCGAAAACCGCAAGGCGATCGAACAGCAACGGGAATCGGTAGGTTCTCAACGCCAAGAATTCGAGAAGGCCGACGCCGCCTGGCGAGAGGAGCACCGCGCCGAACGGCACCGCCTGGAACAATGGGCCGCAGGGCTCGAAAGCCGTGAACGTGAAGCCTCGATGCAGCGGGACGAGACCGACCGTCGTCAGACTGATCTTGATGAATGGGGTAACGCGCTTACCGAACAGCAAGCCGCACTCGACGCCCAACGTCGCGAGCACGAGACGCAGGTGCAACAGCTCGAACACCGCCGCAGCGAGTTCGATCAGGAATTCGATCGCCGCGACGCCGAACTTCACAAAGCCCACGAACAGCGTCAGCGGGAGATTGATGAACTCCGCAGTTCGCTCGAAGCCCATCGGGCCGAGCTGGACAAGAAAGCCGAACTGCTGGCCAACAATCAGCAAGAGGCTCAGCGTCGTCAGCAAGAGCTTTCCGCTGAGTGGGAAAAGCTGCAGCGGCAACAGCATGCCTGGAACACCCAGCAGCAGGAACAGAGCACATGTCTGACCGAGTGGAATCAGGCACTAGAAGCTCGCGAACAAGAAATCGCCGCTCGGCTGGAGTCGGTCGAGCACCGCCAGGCCGAGCTGGAACGTCAGGCCAGCGAAATTGCCGCCGAGAAAGCGGCACTCGACGAGCAAAAGCACTCGCTCGATTCCGACGATCACCAACTTCACCAGCGTCGCCAAGAACTGGAACAGGAGTTCCAGCGTCGCAGTGAAGAACTGACTCAATCGATCGAAACGCGGGAGCGCGAACTTAGCGAAGCCCAGTCGGCGTTCGAATCACACCAGCAGGAGGTGAATGAAAAAGCCAAGTCGCTCGCCCGGCAGCATCAGGAACTCGAGGGCCGTTGGAACCAACTGCAGTGCGAGGCCGACGAACTTCAACTGCAGCAATCCACCTGGACCCACGAGTGCCACGCCGAACAGCAGCGGCTCGAGCAGTGGAAGGAAGGGCTGACCAAGCGTGAACGCGAGGTCTCCGTCCAGCGAGAATCGTTCGACCGCCGGCAAGAAGACCTCGACGCCTGGGGCAACACGCTCGCTGAACAGCAGCAGGGATTCGAAGAGCAACAAGCCAAGCTGCAGAGCGAACGCGAGTTGCTGGAAATCGAACAGCGTAAGAGCCGGGAACAACGTGAGCAGCTTCAGAGTCAGTCCAGCGAAGAACTGACGGCTCGTGAGCAGGAATTGTCCCGACGTGGCGAAGAACTCGAGCGTCGCGAGAGCGAGCTGAACGCAAAGCTAAAGTCAGTCGAAGACCGGCACGGCGAGCTGGCCCAGCGCGGCGAAGAACTCGATGCCCGACATGCGGAGATCGAGCAAGCCCGCGAGCGACTAGAGGCCGATCGCGCGAAGATTGAGGCACAAGCCCGCGAGGCCGCCGCTGCGGAAACTCAGGATAGCCAGCAGCGTTTGCAGGAACTTGAGGCCGGTCAGCAAGAAATCGACGAGCTGCGAGAGTCGCTCATCAAGTCGCGGCAGGAACTCGATCAACGCGCCAACGCCATCTCCACGGAACGCGATGCCGTTCAAGCCGCTCGTGAGAAGGTCGAACGCGACCGGGAATCCTGCGAAGCCCGCGCCCGCGAGTTGGAGCGGACCCAACTTGAGGTGGCCGAGCAACGCACCGAGCTTGAATCGCGACAGCAGGAAATTGAAGAGCTGCGCAATCAGACCCAAGCCCGGGAAGACGCGCTTGAGGCCCGTGCTCAAGAACTCGAAGCGCAAGCCACGCAACTTGAAGAGGCCAAGCGAGAGGGCCAACAGCTTCAAGTTGAGCAGGGCAATGAAGCGATTCGCGATCTTCAAGAACAAGTTGAAGCTGGTGAACGCGAGCTGAGCGAAAGAACCAGCGAACTCGCGGCCCAACGAGACGAAATCACACGGCTGAAGACCGACTTCGAAGATCTGACGGCCGAGTTGACCCGTCAGCGGGAGGAGTCGTCGCGGTTGCAGCGCGAACTTGACGAGGTTCAAGCCGAGGCGACACAGACCGTCCAGATGGATGAGATCCGTCGCGCGAGAGCCCTCGACTTCAGCGAGCAGGAGCAGATTCTGACCGAGTGGAATGCCGCGGTCGGGCAACGCGAAGAGACGGTGTCTGAGCGCGAAGCTGAACTTACCCACTTACAACAAGAGATCGAGATTACTCAGCAGAAGATCGAACAGGGCAAAGCCGATCTCCAGACATCGTGCGACGAACTCGAACAGCAACGCTCCGAGTTGGAGCAGCAACGGCGACAGTTGCGTGAGCAGCAAGAAGCCCTTGAGGCATCCAACACAGCGGCGTCCGCAGCTTCTGAGCCGCAAGCTTACGACCCGCGGCAGACACAAGTGCTCGACGAGGACGAATCCGCATTCACTCACGCGGTACCCGACGACGAAGATACGCCCAACGGTGAAATGGAGTTCACGCAGCCCAGTTCGGAAGCCCCCACCGATACGGCCAGTGTTCTGGCCAAGTTTGGCTACTCGAACGAAGGCGACCAAGAGGAGAAGCCGAGCACGCAAATACCGCAGCGTCAGCCGCAGTCTGTCGAAACTCCGGCCGGCGAGTCGAAGCCGGAAGCTGAAGCTGGCGAAGACGACGAGTCGATCGATGATTACATGGCCCGACTGCTGGAGCGGATGCGGGAGAAGAGCGGTTCGTCGGCCGCCAGCACCCCGGTGGTTAAGCCGCAGCCGGCTCAGGAAGCCGCCAGCGATGAGCCTAAAGAGAAGCGAGTACCGCGAGTGGAACGCCGTACGCGTCCCCGACCGCGACGATCGGTGGAAGAGAGCCGCAACGAACTCAAGGCGATGCGCGAGCTGGCCAATCTCAGCGCACAATCGGCCATCACCAGTTACACGCAACGCTCGCTGCGGCAAAGCGTGTTCAGTAAGGCGGCCGTTTCCCTCGTCGCGTTGGTTTGCGCCGGAACTCTCATGCTTTGGGCCGAAGGAATCAACACGCTCACCTTCTATAGCGGGTTGTTCGCTCTCGGTATCGCCCTCATCTGGGGCTTCCAGTACGCCATGAATGCCGGCACGCTGGCCAGCTCGAACAAAAGTTCGAAGCAAAAGCTCGCGCAGGATCCCTCGGACGAGGAAGTCGCATCCGAGGAAGATTCAGACGAGTAGCGGCTGCCGGGGCCTAAAACCCTCGGGCAACACAAATGTCGTCGAAGTCTCGCAGGTGGTAGTCGATCGCGGTGTAATCGAGCACCTTGCAAAGCCCCCGCAACGCAACGCCCATTCCGTCGGGTCCGCTGAACCCGCCAAACTGTCCGCCGCCTTTCACGTGGGGTTCCAGGTCGAGGAACACGCCGGGAATGCCCCGCCGCTTCAGCTTTCGCTCCAGCTTAGGGATCGAGTCGCGGAAGTCTCGGAAGATCGCCTCGTGGGCGCTCTCGCCCAGGTCGGCAGGCATGAAGTACTTGAGGGCTTCTTCATCCACGTGACCACGCTCGCGAGCCCCTTCGGGCGGTGTGCGATAGTCTTTGATGTGCAACCAACCAATGGCCGGCTTCATGGCCTGATATTGCTCGAACACTTCGGCCGGAGAGTTGCCTTGGCACAGCACGTTGGCCGCGTCGAAGATGAGCACCATCGCCGGGTGATTCACTTGGCGGTGAATCTCGGCCAGCAACTCGCCCGTCTGCCCAACCAGATTGGCTTCAATCTCCAGGCCGAATGTCAGGTCTGACCGATGGCAGGTTTCAACGATCTGGCCGAGTTGATCGACCACTTGCGGTAGATGCTCCAAAGGGTCGCTTCCTTTGGGGTGATAGAACGAGAACCCACGGATCAGCTTCGTCTCGAAGGCATGGGCCAGCTCGCAGACCCGATTCACATCTTTGGCCAGGTATTTCTTGAACGGGATGAACTCGTTCTTGGTTTTGTCGTCCACATCCAACAGCTTCACCTTGCCGATGGGCGAACCAATCGAAGAGACGTTCAGGCCGTACTCGTCTTCCAAGTGGCGAATCTTCTGAATCTCGCGCTTGTTCAGCTTCATTACGTTCTTTACGCCGTCGCCAACATCGATGAATCGCAGGCTGTAGTACTGCAACCCCATGGCGGCGAACGCGGAGAACTGCTGAACGGCCGTTTTCTGATTGGCGGCTTCGTCTGCAAAACCGCTGAGAATTACGCGAGGATTATCGGCCATGAATCACTTCTCCTAAACGCTCGACAGCACCCACGCGTCGATCGATCGACGCAACGTAAGAGCCGCCATTGTGCGTGGGCATGCAGTAACGTGCAAGGGTAGGGGAGCGTTCGCAGCGACAACACCGCGATTCACGCAATGTGAATCGGCACTGGTTGTAGCTCGCCCTGGGCATCGGCTACGATTGGGGCCATGAACGAAAACACCGCAAAGCCCCGCGTATTACCCGAAGTCGCCCATCACCAATTCCGCGCCGGCATGGTCGGCATGGGGATGATCTTCGACGAAACCTATCGCCCCATGTTCGAGGCCGCGCACGCCCGCGGGCTGTACGACCCGGCCTTTGGCGTGTGCGATGTGGAACTGGCCGCCGTGGCCAGCCGCACCGGAACGCGAGCCGAAACCTACGCCAAGACGGCCGCCGGACGCGTGGGGCAGTTCCGCAGTGTGAAAGAGCCCAACGCCATCGGGCAACTGCTCGAATCCGATGTCGATTTCGTCTGCATCGCCACGCCTGACGATCGACATTTCGAGTCTTGCAAGGCAGTGCTCTCCGCCGGTAAACACCTGTTGGTGGAAAAGCCTTCAGTGCTCTCGCTCGCGGAACTCGATGAACTCCAGCGGCTGGCCGGGGAGCAGGGCGTACTGGCCAAGGTCGTCTATCACAAACTGCTTGATCCCGACCACAAGAAACTCCGCACCCTGGTCGTCGACGGAGAACTCGAACACGTTAACTCCGGGTATTGCAGCCTGCTCGAACCGAAGATGATCTCCGGCAGCCAGTTCTCCGAATGGATCACCGGCCGCAATCCCGGTACTTATGTGGCCGTGCACTACATCAAGCTCATCGACTTCACCTTCGGCGGCCAGTTGAAAAGTGTTAGCTGCACCGGCCAACGAGGTCTGGTCGGCCCCAGCGATGGCACAACGTGGGACTCGACCCAACTGCGGATGGTCTACACCTACGGCGACGGACGCGAAGCCGCATTCGATATCCACACATCCTGGGTTACGCCCGACAACTTCCCGGGCTACGTCGAGCAGGAGGTGCAGTTCCGCTTCGACAACGGTCTCTGGAACGGGCACGCCCGCAAGCGAGGCGTCGAGGTCACCATCGAAGGACGCACTCCGCTGGAGCGTAAGAACTCGATGAACAACCACTACAACGGTCAGTTCGCCGAACCGTGGGGCTCGCGTTCGCAGCGTGGTTATGGCATCGAAGTCATCGAGCGGTTCGTCCGCGAGGTGGCCACGGTCGAGTTCGGCGGCCCGAGCGAGCAGCGGGACGAGCGGCTTCGGCAGATGGCCGACCTGGCGTACAATGACATCTCGGCCGATCGACAGACGGTAGCCACCGTGCACGCCATGGAAGCCATCTTGGAGCGGCACGCGGCAGGTTCGCCCAACTGCGTGGTCGATGTGAATCACGAAGCGGGTGGGCTGGTGCTGTGGCGTCCCGGTGCGAGCGAACCGGAAGTGTTGTATTCAGGTCGCGTGTGAAGCGACGCAGGCAGCAAGCTGTTGAGAGGGATCTTTACCTTCCGCGAAGGAATTCAAACGGATGAGCACGACCGAGAAAGAGAAGACGCAGGCAATCGAACACCCTGGCGAGAGCCAGTCCAACGCCATCCGCGCTCGCCTGGCGCAGGTCGAACCCGTTGCGCAGCGAACCTACACGCCCAGTCTGGCCGTGCTCGCAAAAAGTGCCGGGTCTTACCACTGGACGCCCGAGGGTCGCAAGCTGGCTGATTTCACCTCCGGCGTGCTGGTCGCCAACTTGGGCCACAATCCGGCCGAGTGGTGGCGACGCGCCTGGTCGTATTTAGGAATCGATCCAAAGGCCAGCCAAGACAAAGCCGAAGGCGACTTTATTACGGCCCTTCCGCTCACCGCCTACAACGCGGTTACCGAACTCGAGACGCAGGCCTGCGAACGCTTGTTGGCCAACCTACAGTCGCAGCCTGGCGGGGGTCGGTGCGAACAAGTGCTGTGGGCCGCCAGCGGTAGCGAAGCGATTCAAAAAGCCCTCTGGGCCGCGCTCGATCGACACGCAGGCGATGACCCGATTGTGTTGGCGACGCGGCGAGGGTTTCATGGCAAGAAGGGCCTCGCCGGTGCGGTGACCGGCAGCGAGACCGATTCCGACCGCGACTCTCGCGTACGGTTCATCAGCTTTCCGACCGAAGAGTGCATCAGCGTCGAGCGCCGGTCCGAACCGATCGACCTCGCTCCCTACGAAGCCGAGTTGGAGTCGCTACTCAAAGAGTATGGCTCGCGGCTGAGTGCCCTCATCACCGAGCCGTATCTGGGCGGTGGGGGATCGTTTCATCCGCAGCCTGAATACTTGCAACTGCTCCAGCGGTTTTGCCGCGAGCATGACCTGGTGTTCATTCTCGATGAAGTGCAGGCCAACTTCGGTCGCACCGGCTCGATGTACGCCTTCACCCACTACGGCATCGAGCCCGATGTGGTGGTGCTCGGCAAGGGCCTCGGCAACGGGGTGCCCGTCAGTGCGGCGGTGGGGCCTGCGTCGCTGTTCGCCCACATGCACTACGGGGAAGCCTCTGACACGTGGAGCGCCAACCCGTTGGCTTCGGCCGCCGTGCTGGCAACGCTCGACGCCTTCGAATCCGAGGGAGTGCTCGATCAGGCCGAGGGGCTGGCCAAGATCATCGAGCGAGGGCTATTGAACCTCACCGAGTTGGACGTCGTGAGCCACGTTCGCGGTGAAGGAACCGTGTGGGGCGTCGAATGTACCGGCGTCGGCTCCCACACCGCGGCCGAAGTGGCCAACGCCTGCGTCGAAGCCTGTTATCTGGGCGACGGACAAGGCCACGCCATCCACCTCCTCGGCCCCCTCGCCGGCTGTGTTCTTCGTGTGAGCCCACCGCTCACCATGGCACACGACGAAGCGGAAGCGTATCTCGCGGCGATGTACGAGATATTCGCCCAAGTGGAGAAGCGGCTGAAGTAGGGCAGGGAATCGAAAGTCTCACGAATAGTTCGCCACCGGTCAACGCGTGCCCAAGCATGGTCGATCCTGAACAACTCATGCGACTCGCCATTGACGCTGCCCGACGGGGGATGGAGAACGGTCAGTCTCCGTTCGGCTGTGCAATTTCCTTGGACGGCGAGGTGATTGCCGTCTCCCACAACACGCTGAAGGCCGACACCGACATCACGGCGCACGCCGAAATGAATGCCCTCCGCGAAGCTTGTAAGGCGGTCGGAAAGGTGAAGCTCGCAGGAGCCATCGTGGCAGCCACGTGTGAGCCCTGCCCGATGTGCGCCGCGGCCCTACAGTGGGCCGGCGTCTCGAAGATCTACTTCGGTGCAACCGTCACCGATGCCGACAACGCAGGGTTCACTCAGTTACGCGACAGTTCCGGTGGGCTGATCGAAAACGAGGCCATCGGGCGCATTTCCCAAGGCGGTACTCTTTCGGACGAATGCCGAGAGCTTTTTCGGAAGAAATAATATGCATGTCAGGGACTTTCCGAGATGGAACTCGCTCTCGTGGTTATGTGACCAAAAAAGACCACGACGACACGACGGCACAACGAAGTATCTGGTGATCGGGATTTCTGACAAGATGAAGCGGCTGGTGGCGAATTGATGTCTAGCGGGAGTTTGTCGAGAGCTTCCCTGGAACCATCCTTTAAGAATAGCTATGCCAACTAAAAAACTCAGTTGGTGGGAACCACGATGGGCGTACGTTCCGAGGCTGTATCGAGAATTTCAGTCCGTCTTTCTCTCAACGACATTTATTAAGCTCGCTACCATCTCGCTCGGGCTCTTCGGCCTGATAGTTCTTGCTGCGAAGCTGGCGTTCCCGGCTTTACAGTTGAATTTTCTGTGGAAGGCCCCCGTGGGGTTGGCGGTGCTATGGGGCTTAATGTGGCTAAATTTTGCACTTCTAATCGTCATCCCCCCGGGAATCAACATCAGCGACAAACGCATCAACGGCGCTCACGGACAGGTCGGCTGGGCTTACAAGCGCGAGGAAGTTACGAAATCACGAATTGTAATCTTCACCAACGATCGAATCCGCCTCCGGATCTTTGCGAAGGGAACCTCTCGCGTGTTCGGTATCGCCAAAAAGATCAATCTTAAGGAGTTGGCCGCATTTCTGCCCGGCACCGTGGAAGTTTGGGACGCCCGAGACCGTTACCGCCAAGAGGTTGCGGTAGAGCAAGTCGTAGGTCAGGGCTCGCCCTCCCAGAACCATGCAGTAGGCGAGCTCTGACCTACATACTCGCCTCATACTTCGCTGTCACCTTGGTACTAATCCCACCCCGGGGCGTAAACGCGGCTAGTAGGGTCATGCTGCGGGGTTGGCATACGGCCACCAGGTCGTCGAGGATGCGGTTGGTGATGTGTTCGTAGAAGACGCCCTCGTTGCGGTACTGCTGCAGGTACAGCTTCAGGCTTTTCAGCTCGATGCACAGTTTGTCGGGCACATAGGTCAGCGTGAGCACGCCGAAGTCGGGCTGACCGGTCTTGGGGCACATCGACGTGAATTCGGGGCATGTGGTCTCGATCACGTATTCTCGCTCGGGAAACTGGTTCTCGAACGTCTCTAATTGCTGGCGGAAGTTGTCGCTCATCGCTCGTTAGGGCTCCTTTTCGGGTTCAGCCTATTGTGTCATCATGCAAGTTGGTGCCAAGCCCCCGCTGGGGGCCGTGCGTGTGAGGGTGATTCCATGTCGAAACCGGCCGTCGTTCTGCTTTCCGGGGGGCTCGATTCCGCCACTTCCGCGGCCGTTGCTCGTCGGGATGGGTTCACGCTGTACGCCCTTAGCATCGACTACGGCCAACGACACCGCTTCGAACTCGACGCCGCCATGAAGGTGGCCGAATCGCTGGGAGTCGAGCGGCATACCATGCAGCGAATCGACCTCTCGCTCTTCGGCGGCAGTGCCCTGACCGACAATTTCGATGTGCCGAAAGGTCGCGACGCCGACGAAATGTCGCACGGCATTCCCATCACCTACGTGCCGGCCAGGAATACGGTTTTTCTCTCCCTGGCGTTGGCCTGTGCCGAAGTGGTGGAGGCCGGCGACATCTTCATCGGGGTGAACGCCGTCGATTACAGTGGTTACCCCGACTGCCGGCCGGAGTTCATTCAGGCGTTCGAACAGATGGCCAACCTGGCCACGAAGGCGGCCGTAGAAGGCTCGCACCGCTATACAATTCACACCCCTCTCATCGACAAAACCAAGGCCGAAATCATTCAGCTCGGCACCGAGCTGGGCGTGGACTATTCGCTCACCCACACTTGTTACGATCCCGACGCCAAGGGCGTGAGTTGTGGCAAGTGCGATGCCTGCACGCTGCGGATCAAGGGCTTCAGCGAGGCCGGGCTGACCGACCCGATACGGTATCAATCGTGAGGGTGGCCGAAATCTACAAGTCGCTGCAGGGCGAAGGCGCCCTGACCGGCACGCCGAGTGTGTTCGTGCGTACCAGCGGCTGCAATCTTCGCTGCGACTTCTGCGATACGCCGTTCACTTCGTGGGAGCCCGAGGGCGACGACCTGGCGGTCGATGAAATCGTCGAGGCGATCAACTCCTACGAAGCATTCCACGTGGTGCTCACCGGCGGAGAACCGATGCTGTATGCCGAGTTGGCCCCGCTGACGGCGATCTTGGCCGCCGAAGGACGCCACATCACCATCGAGACGGCCGGTACGCTTTATTTGAATGTCGACTGCGACCTGATGTCGATCAGCCCCAAGCTATCGAACTCGACTCCCCCGCTGCAGCGCACCGCCCGGTGGCATCATCGCCACGAGAGAACCCGACACGCCCCCAAGGTGATTCGCCGTTTGATCGACGAGTACCCCTATCAATTCAAGTTCGTGGTGGCCAACCCAAGCGACTGTGATGAGGTGGAAACCTACCTGGCCGAGTTCCCCGCCATCGATCATTCGCAAGTGTGGCTCATGCCCGAGGGGACGGACCCCGCCCGACTGAAAGCCGCCGCCGAATGGGTCGCCCCCGAAGCCACCCGCCGTGGCTTCAAGTTCTGCCCCCGACAGCATATCGAATGGTACGGCTTCACCCGGGGGACTTAGCGTGGTCTCATGTAGCGTGAATGGTCACTTATGCTGAAACATGAGAATGAAGGGGTCCACAACGACACAACGGCACGACGTAAAGAGCGAGTTCCCAATCTCTCAAAAAGCCATTCAACCCCGGCAGCTTCAAGAGATGGGAGATTTATCACATGCTCTCTCAAGTTTCCGTCGTGTCGTAGTGCCGTTGTGGTTCCCTATATTCTTTGGTCCCGAAGAATAAGATTACCTCTCCAACTCATGTTCATAACGTTCAGGCTCTCCAATCCCCCGCGATCCGCCACCCACACGGCCTTGGCTCCACCCGCGGAACGTCTACCATGAATAGACGGCAGGAAATTCGTTTGAGGAGCCACATTCATGTCTGACGATCAGGTAACCGACCACGATCAAACGTCGCCTGAAGTAGAAGCCAATCCGCAAGGCATTCGCTGGCGAGCGGCGGTGATTATTGTGGCGGTGGTCGCGGTGTTGATTCTGGCCCTGCAGTTCTTCCCGGGCGAGTTCCTGCCTCAGCAGTTTCGCAATGCAATTTCGATCCTGGTCTCCTTTGTGGGCACGCTGACCTTGCTTATCTGGCTGGCCGTCTTCTCACGCATCCCTGCGCGACCCAGAGCGATGCTGTTGGTTGTTGCCGTGATTGTTCTGTTGATTCCGGTGGCCATGATTCGCCGCGTCGAGTTCACCGGTGACATCGTGCCGAACTTTGTCTTCCGTTGGGACCCTACGCACCTAGAGATTCTCGAAGCGCATCGCGCCGACGCTGCCCGCCGTAACGAGACGGGTGGTGTGGAAACAGCAGGCGGGGAAGACCTGGCCGCCAATTGGACGAGCTTCCGCGGCCCCGATCGCTCGGGCATTTGCACCACCACGTCGATTCGCACCGACTGGGAGACAAACCCGCCGGAATTGTTATGGAAGCAGCCCATTGGCGGTGGCTATTCGCAGTTCGTTCTCTCCGGCAATCTGGCGATCACCATCGAGCAACGCGGCCCCGAAGAGGCCGTGGTTTGTTACGACGCTCGCACGGGAGTCGAGCGGTGGGTGCACAGTTACGAATGCCAGTTCAGTGAAACCATGGGCGGCGATGGTCCTCGTGCTTCACAGACTATTGAAGACGATGTTGTTTATTCCCTGGGTGCCAATGGCCGACTCACCTGCATCGACATCAACACGGGTGAGGTGAAGTGGTATCAGGACATACTCAAAGATGGAGCGGCCGAGAACCTTGAATGGGGCATGAGTGGATCACCTTTGCTGTTGGGAGACCTGGTTGTTGTAAACCCCGGTGGGCCGATCAGTGCAACTGGCCACGCCTTAGTGGCCTACGACAAGACCACCGGCGATGTGGTTTGGGGTATCGGCGAAGAACAGGCCGCGTATGCCTCGCCTGTAGTGAGGACGATTGACGGCGTCGAGCAAATCCTCGTGCTCGAAGCGACCGAGGTAGTGTCTTACGCCGGTGACGGTTCGGACAGGCTGTGGAGCTTTCCCTGGGATACCCAAAACGGGATCAATTGCAGCCAGCCGATTATCGTCACGCCGAACCGAGTGTTGATCACCGCCGGATACACGAAGGGTTCTGCATTACTTGAAATCACGCGGGACGATCAAGGTACGTGGAACGCGGAGCCCGTGTGGGTTGAAACCTCGTTGCGAGGAAAGTTCTCCACGCCTATCGCACACGCTGGGCACATCTTTGGTCTCGACGAAGGCGTTCTGGTTTGCATCGAGGCCGAGACAGGCAAACGCACCTGGAAGAAAGGCCGCTACGGCCACGGACAGATGCTGCTGGTCGACGAGGTGTTCTTCATTCAGGCCGAAGACGGTGATATCGCCCTGGTGGCCGCCGACCCCGAAGAGTACCGCGAACTCGGTCGAGTGCCTGCTCTCGAAGGCCGCACCTGGAACACCCCGGCCCTGGCCGCCGGCAGGGCCTACGTTCGCAACCACCGCGAGATGGCTTGCTTCGATCTCTCCCCAAAGGCGGCCACATCCACCCTGGGATTGTCGAGCCGAGAGAATTAATTCTCCTTTCGCAGGGTAGAAGATTCTGCGCTGCGGAAAAAGCGGCGGACCCAATTCATCCTCGCATTTTGTCGAGATGTGATTCCCCGTCTGATATAGTCAGGCCTGGGGTCAATAAGCATGCTTGCAACGTGCGAGGCGGGGACAATGGCTTGGAAGTACTTCGTGTTCGCGGTGGTTGCTGTATCCTTTGCAGTGGGCGGGAACGTAGCGGCCTCGGAACGTCCGAACATCCTCTTCGCCCTGGCCGACGATCAATCGTGGTTGCACACTAGCTTCGCCGGCGATCCCACGACCGAAACGCCCAACTTCGATCGCGTGGCTCGTGAAGGTGTGTACTTCACCCATTGCTTCACTGCTTGCCCCTCGTGTACTCCGTCTCGCAGTGCGATTCTCACGGGTCAAGACATTTGGCGGCTCCGGCAGGCAGGCGTGTTGTATGGATCAATCCCGCCTGACCTTCCGTTGTTTCCCTTGGCATTGGAAGACGCTGGCTACCACGTGGGCTACACCGGAAAAGGTTGGGTTCCCGGCGATCCCTACGCCTTGGGGCTCGAGCATTCGCCTATAGGTAAAGAGTACAACGACGCCCTCGACCGCCTGGTTCCGCAGGGTATCAACGAGCAAGACTACACCGAGAACTTCAAACGCTTTCTCGCCGACCGCCCGGAGGAAGCTCCGTTCTTCTTTTGGTTTGGCTGCAAGGAACCGCACCGAGTGTATGAAGACGGGCTCGGCCACCGGGTAGGGAAGAAATCGGCCGACGTGCAGGTGCCCGAGTTCTTTCCCGACGAAGAAGTGGTCCGCAGCGATATCCTCGACTACTGCGTCGAGATCGAATGGTTCGACCGGCACCTGGGCCGCATGCTCGCCATCTTGGAGCAGGCGGGCGAACTCGAAAACACGATCGTCATCGTGACCAGCGACAACGGTATGCCGTTCCCCCGTTGCAAGACCACGCTCTATGATTGGGGCGTACGCATGCCTCTGGCCGTGCGATGGGGCGAAGCGATTCCGCCGGGAAGAACCATCGCCGACTTCGTTTCACTCACCGACATCGCCCCCACCGTGCTCGAAGCCGCCGGGCTGCCGGTTCCCGATGTGATGACCGGACGAAGCTTGCTACCGATGTTGACTTCAGAACAAGAAGGCCGCGTTGAAGAAGACCGCGACCATGTCTTCACAGCCGTGGAGCGTCACACCTGGTGCCGACCCGAGGGGGCCACGTATCCCTCGAGGGCGATCCGCAACTACGATTACCTCTACATTCGCAACTTCGAACCCGATCGTTGGCCCACCGGCGGCCCTACGTTCGTCTCATCGAACCGCACGTTCCACGGCGATGTCGACGCCTGCCCTACGAAGACCTTCATGGTGGAAAATCAGGAGTCGTTCCCACGGGAATTCGAGCTCTGCTTCGGCAAACGTCCCCGGGAAGAGCTGTACGCGGTGAACGACGACCCGGGGCAGATTCATAACCTGGCCGCTGACCCCGACTATGCAGACGTCAAAGAAAAACTCTGGCGGCTGCTCCGCGAGCATCTTCAGGCCACCGCCGATCCCCGCATCGAAGGCCAAGACCCCTGGCAAGGCTATGTGTACCGCCAGACGATCGGCTTCGGAGCCACGTTCAATGAGAGTCTCTCAGATGATGAACGCCGCGAAGCCCGCGAACGGGCGGCCCATAAACCGGAATAGTTAAAGCTCAGCCCTGGTCCACTTCGAGCAGTTTGCCGATTTGCTCGACCGCCAACGTCAACGAGCGGGCGGCCATCTCGAAGTTGGTATGCGACGAGACCTCCGGCTGAATCTCCACAAAAGTATCGCGGGCCTTCCGCAGCTTCGAGAACTTCTTCTTCGCCTGCTTGAGATAAGCCGCCGCGTCGTTGTTCTTCAGCGGTCCGCCCAGGGCCAGCATGTAGTCGTACAAGGCTCGATGCACCTCGCACAGCTCTTCGTCTTCTTCCGCTTCCTCGCTGTGCTTGAGGAACGCACGCACCATCCACACGTGGCTCAACTGATCGTCGAGCCGCTGCATGGTCACTTCGGCCGATCGGTCATTCATGGTCGGCTCGTGATACGTGGGCTGGCGGAATAAGCAAAGGCCGGCGACGGCTGACTATTCGAGCGAAGATTCCTGCGGGGCTTCCGGCTCTTCGGGCGTTTCTTCGGCCGGGGCTTCCACTTTGGCGGTTGCTTCGGCGTGGGCCGGCTTGTGCGGCTTGTTGTACTTGGTGGCCAGCGACAACACGAGGAAGGCTCCAAGAGACACCATTAGAATGCCGGCAATAATTCCTCCCAAGGCCAAAGGAGGCAGCTCTTTGTATTTACCCCCGGGATATAGCGTTATGAACGAATTTACGATCGGTGCGAATCCGAAAACCATCGGCATGACATATACAGGCTTGCCCTCATAGTAGAAAGCTAGAATTATCCCTAATGCTCCAAACGCTCCGGCTGAACCTGCAAGAAGACTCCAGGTAATACCTCCGGCCCTCCAAGCACCTGCATCGCCACGAAAGTGAATCCACAGCGTGGGGACGATCACGGCGATGATGAAGTAGGCCGCACCCACGCAGATCAGCTGCCGGAACCGGCTGCCCTCCATCGCTATCTGTCCCTTGTGCATCAGAGGGCCGTACATCCCCCAACAGCAGACCGTCAGCGCCACGGAACTCAGAATAAACACCATATCTTTCATCGAATTGATTCTCCGCAACGCGTCGTAGTTGGAAGTCCCTCTCGGGGGGAATTCTAACAACTTGCCGTCGCGATTGCCTATGGGGGCCGGGGGCAACTAATGGGCACGCAGCGCCGGCAATAGTGGGGTACGTAAGGTAGCCCGCACGGCGAACAGCCCGGCCAGCATCCCCACGGCCAACACAAGCCCGAGGGTCCAAGCGAGAGAAACCCAGGGGATCGAAGCCCCGTCGCCAAACAGGTGCGGCAACACCGCCACCAGGGCTGCTGCACAGCCGATGATCAATCCACCGACCAGCAGGACGGCGTTCTCCAGCAGCACGATCGCCGCCAGACGCTGTCGCCGGAACCCCGCGGCCCGCATCAGGGCGAGTTCTCCCCGCCGTTCAAACACATTGCGAAGCTGTACGGTGGCCAGACCAAAGGTGCCCAGCAACAGCCCCAAGCCTCCGAGACTTTGGAACGTGGAGAGATACGTATTCTGCACCGCCAGGAACCCTGCCAACCGTGCGGCGGTGCTTTGAGAATCGAAACCGTAATCGCCAAGTGCCGCTTCCAGCGTCTGCTCGACCTCCTCCATCTGTCCCGGCTCGCACGCGATGAGGAAAAACCGCCGACCGCTCACATCGGGGAACAGTTTTCTGAATGCCTTTTCACCGATCAGCAAATCACCCTGGAACAAGCTGTTGCTGAACAGCCCGACCACCTGCAGCGTGATCATTCCGCCGTGCCCATCGTCGATCTCATAGGTTTCGCCCACGCCATTCCACAGATGCAAGCTGTACATAGCGGTGTTCATGTCAATCATCACCGGTACCACCGGCTGGCCGTCGGGACCGGCAGGTAGTTGCTTGTCGAGCAACAGCCAAGGATTGGCTTGTTCTTCGTCCGTCTCGGCCGCGGTGGCGGCGAACTTGAACCCGCCGTGTTCGATCATGTTCGCCGTTACGCCCAACACCCGTGGCTGACGTGGCTGGTAGAGGTTCAAACAACTGGCGTCCTCACCGGCCCGAACGGGGAACGAAATGATCTGCGTGGTATCGAACAGCGATTCATCGGCCACCCCCAAGTCGAATCGCCCATCTTCGCTGCCCAAGTCTTGGTAGATCGGTTGATCGCTTTCGGCTACCAGAGCGAACCCCCCGTTGCCGCTGTCCCGCGAGGGTTGCTCGGCCGTAGGATCGATGTGGAACGCACTGATGGCCACGATCAGAAACGTGGTCGATGCGACTAGCGCGATCGTCAAGGTGGTACGGCCCGGGTTGCGAGCCGCATTGCGAACCGCCAACCGCAGCACCGCCGAACGGCCCGGCGTTACTAACGATGCGGTTTGACGACTGGTGAACGACGTGCGAACCCACGACAACATCGCTACCAGGGCCAGGGCACCGGAACCAAAGAACGCCCCGATCTGGGCTTCACCACCCAAAAAGCTGGCCAACAAGCCGACGGCGATTGCTGCCACCGCCGAGACGATCGCAATCCGAGCTGCCCAACGCCCGGCGCCGGTCTTTAGTTTGGTTTCTTCGGTGGCCATCCCCGCCAGCAATCGCGAGGCGGATACTTTCCGCAAACGTCGCATCGTCCAGGCGATGGTCAGCACTGAAATCACCACGCCGCTAAAGTAGCCAATCAACAGGCTCTTCGGCGTGATATAAAGTTGCAGGAACGGCGTGCTCACCGCTTCCACCCACCAAGTCCGCAGCCCAGCGATCATCAGCCAGGCGTAGGCCACCCCAACCACGATGCCAACCAGGCTGGCGACGAGCGTGACGATTGCTCCTTCAGCCACCATCATGCGGGCCACCTGCTTGGGCGGCAGGCCCACGGTCACTTCGATGCCCACCTCGCGGGCCCGTTGCTCCATCCCCAGACGGAACAGCAGCGCGACCAGCATCACAGCAGCCGCGATGATGAAGAAACTGAAGCTGAGGAACAGCACATCGAAGGGCGTGGTGCCAGAGGATGCCGCCAGCCCTTGTCGCTTCACCGGCAGGAACACAAAACCCATCGCCGCTGGGTCGAGCTGAAGTTTCTCTCGCAACTCGGATATCACTTCATCAGGCTCGGCCTCATTCCCATCAGGCGGTGGAATCTGAATGGAAGTCGCATTGCCAAACCGGCTGCCCCACAGCCTCTGACCGGTGGCCAGCGAGACGAAGGCCTTCGGCGTGCCGCGGTAGGTGTCCCAATAGTCTTCGTCCTCTTGCTCGATGCGTGATTGCTGGAACGGAAATGGTGGATCCCAGTCGGCGATCGATTCCTGGTCGGTCACGCCTTTCACTTCAGGTGTCAGCGCCGGATCGACCGCGGGACCTTCGAGGGCAATGATTCCCGAGAGTGTCAACTCGGTCGAAGTTTCGGCCGGCTCTCCGTGCGTGCTTTCCGGTTCGAAGTAGTCGATGCGGATCGTATCGCCGACAGAAGCATTCAATCTTTCGGCGGCCCAGGTGTTGAGCACGATCTCGTCATCGGCCGGCGTCTGCACCGCTTCGCCCTCGGGAGAGAGCAGGGGACCCAGCGGGGGCTCGCTGGGGAAGTTCATGGCGGTAATGGTTGAGTACGGTATCTCGCGCTCGCCATCGGCGAGGGTATTGGCTAGGTAGGTGAACACGGGTGACGCACCCAACTCTTCGAACGCCTTCAGTGCTTCGCTTTGTACTGCGTTGGAGAGCAGCATGCGGTTGCTCGTGAGCTGGTAATACCCACGATCGGTTTGCCGCAGCACCAGACCAAAATCGTCGAGCGTCGGGTCGAGCTGAGCTTGAAGTTCCTCTTCCACTTCCAAGCGAGGTGCTTGCTGCGAGTCATCGCCAACCACGAACAGGGCGTTCACGCGATCCGACTGTTCGAGGCTTCGCTGCAACGTGGCGGGGGCCACGTACGCGTTCAGTGGCAGTTGCTGACTGGGCCGCAGCCCGAACCGTCCAAGTCCGTCGGCCGGGATGACCTCGCTTACCGTCAGCCGCAGATTGCGAACCGTTTCGGTCTTTTGCCCCCAAGGGCTGTCGGCCGGTACATCCTGGGTCTCGCCGATGCGGAGAATCACCTCGTCGCCCGCCTTGGCACCAAGCTCCTCGGCCAGCGGCTGGTTGAGCACGATTTCGTCTGGACCCGGAGTCTTGGAAGGCCCGCCCGAACCGGCTTCCGAAAGTCGCTCGTCGGCCCCCAGCACCGTAACCGAATTCGCGCGGGCAGAAGTCTCCGTATTTTCGACGGTGCCCCGCAGCAGCACTACTGGAAGGACAGATTGGAAATGTTCACTTGCCGCTGGCGTGTTGGCTACCTCGTCGGCCAGTTCGGTGCGGAAGAACCGGTCGACCACCAGGGCTTCGTCGATGTTGCCCAAGCGCTCGAGCGTGAGCCGCCGCAGACTTCCGCGGACCGAGTCGCCGACGAGCAACGCACCGGTGAGCACGGCGGTGCCAGCCACCACGCCGAGAGCCACGGCCAATTGAATTCGCCAGTGGAAGGCCAGGCTTCGCAGAATGAGTCTTAGCGAGGACATATGGATGCGGTTACCGTTGACTCACGAATTCACTTCTGCCAGCCGCCCATTGTCGAGCCGCATTCGCCGCGCGAGCATGTCGGCCAGCTCCATACTGTGGGTCACCACTATCAGCATCATCGATTCTTGTTCTTGAAGTTCGAGCAAAAGCCGGCTCACGCTGGCGGCGGTTTCGCGATCGAGGTTGCCCGTGGGTTCGTCGGCCAGCAACAGGGCAGGGCGGCGAATCACCGATCGAGCGATGGCCACCCGTTGACGTTCACCCCCAGAAAGTTCACCCGGCAGATGCTCCATCCGTTCGGCGAGCCCCACTCGTTCGAGCAAGGATTTCGCCCTGTCGATCTCCTCACCCCGGGTGCCTTGGCCGGCCAGCGTCGGCAGCAGCACGTTCTCCAGCGCCGAACATTGCGGCAGCAGATGATGGTCTTGGAAGACGAACCCAATTTCTTCATTGCGGAACTTAGCCAGGGCCGGCTCATCCAGCGTGAACACATCTTGCTTGTTCAGCGTAACCCGCCCGGAAGTCGGCCGATCGAGTGTGCCGACGATTTGCAGCAGCGTGCTTTTGCCCGATCCACTGGGCCCCAGCACCGCCAGGTTCTCGCCCTTGTCGAGCGAGAAGGAACAATCGCGCAGCACCACCAGCGGTTCGGCCCGCGTTTCGAATTCTCGCGTAACTTGTTCGACAAGCAGTCCGGCCATCGTGTGTTTGTGCTTCTAGTGAAACAGCGGTGTACGGTTGGAGTAAATCAATTCGCAATTTAACACAGTGAGCGCAGTCGCCAACCGTGGAATATTAACGCGGGACCTCCCTGCAGATGATAAACCCGTTATGAATCTGCCTCGGTGGTCAGCGCCAACACTCCCAGCCCGTAAAACGTGTACTCCACATCATGCCCGTCGTCCCACATGCCGCCGCGGAAGCCGCCGCTTTCGCAGGCGAGCGACTGGGCGTAAGCATTCGCCGCCTGCAGATCGACTCCCTCGGTAGCCCCGAGATCGCTCAGGGTTAACAACCCGGTGAATGTGCTCAACAGGTCGGCCACCGCAATGCGGGTGTTGGCACAGAATCCACCTTCTGCGGTTTGCATGCCTTGCAGAAACTTGCCGGTGGTTTGACGGAGTTCCTCGTCGTCAGCTCCCAGGATCATCAACAGTGCGACGGCCGCCGCGGTGGGATTGGTTCCACTGCGTTTCATGGGGGCCATTTCGACGAAGCCCCCGTCTTCGCGTTGTCGGGCCAAGGCGAACTGTTTTAGTCGCTCGGGCTCCACCGGCGATACCTCGATTAGCTGTTGGCAGATCACCACCAGCATCGAGTGATACAGGCTTCCGGCGGCCCCTTCTTCGGTTTTGGCGTAGCCACCGTCGTCCCTTCGCAGCTTTTCCAACTCTCCGGCCACCGCTTGGCGCCAATCGGGAGCGGTGTTGGCCATCGGGTCGATTCCGGCGAAGTTCAGCAGTATCGCCCGACCGTAGATCAGCGAAAGAAAATCGACCACCGAAGTTCGGGTTGAAAGTTGCCGCTCGAAGAACTCGCCGGCCCGAGCCGCTACCGAGTCGTTCAGTTCGCCCAGAATGGCCAACGCTCTGAGGGCGAACGTGGTGTAGTAGGGGTCGCTTTCCCCTTCGCGTCCGGCAAAGCCGCCATCGTCACGCTGGGCTGCAAGTAAGTATCCGGCGTGCCGCTCTCGAACCGCGGGGTCGACCTCCGCCATTCCGGTGAGCAGTCGAGCGGTGAGTTGTTCGAGGTAGGGCGTCATGCGGCTTCGCGGTGCGGGTACGTTCGCTCAGGTGGTGGGTTTGGCGTCGAGCTTTTCGAGGAACCACTCCGGCAGTTCGATGGCCTGCGGTACCGGACGGGTTTCTTGGTTCGCATCGATACGGCAGCAGACGGCTGTAATCGAACCGATCGCCACTTCATCGCCATTGTGCGAGAAATGAAAGCCGTAGGTGATGCTCTTCGTGCCAAGGCGTTCGACGTGCACTTCGATATCGAGTTGATCTTCGAACACGACCGATTGCATGTAATCGCAACGCACCGACACCCGTGGCCAGGAGAGCCGGCCCTCGTCGTCAGTCATCAGTACGCTCAGCCCCCGGTTTCGGAGGTATTCGTGTTCGGCTTGTTCCATGAACCGCATGAACGCGGTGAAGTGAGCAATCCCCGCGGCATCGGTGTCGCCCCACTCGATGCGTCGCTGGGTTCGAAAACGTGTGGACATCTGGTGTTCCTGTTGGGGAGAATCTTGTTTTCCGCCTTCAAGCAAGAAGTTCCCGATAGAGTGCGGTGGTCCGTTCGACCATCACCTCCGCACTATAACGTGTTTGCACCGCCGCGTGACCCGCCCGCCCTAGTTCGGCAAGTCGCTCGGGTTGGTTGAGCAACTCTTTCAGAGTATGGGCCAGGTGTTCGGCATCCTCGGGCTCGTGCAATACCCCACCCCCGCTATCGTTGACAATTTCGGGAAATGTGCCGTGATTTGGAAGTACCACCGGCACGCCGTTGGCCAACGACTCGATGACTGGCAGCCCCTTGCTTTCGCGATAAACCGTGGGCAAGCTCATCAAGTCGAGGGATTGCAGGAATGTAATCTTCTCTTGCCGGTCCAACTCACCGACGTACTCGAACCGATCGGACAGCCCGAGTTTCGCGACGCGGCTTTGCTGTTCCCTAAAGTACGGTTCGTCCGCGGGGCCCAAGTAACCCGCCACGCGAACTCGCACATCGTCCAGCGATGAATCCTTCGCCAGAATCGCAAGTGCATCGACGAGATGATGCAGCCCTTTGTCGTGGCAAATGCGGGCCAGGTACCCGATCGTGCGGGGCTCGTTGGGGATCGAGCGGGGAGCTGCGGCATGCCCCCGCAGATCGAGACCCGCGGGAATCACCTTTAGGCGTTGAGGGTCGACCTGTAAGTAGTCGCGCATGTAGTCGGCGTAGTACTGATTCATTGCTACATACGCGGCCGCATCATGGGCCCTTCGCTGCATCTCTTCGCGCGATTGAGTGCGGTAGGGCTCCGGCAACTTCTCCAGGAAGATATCTTCGCCGGAGAGTCCGATCACGACCGGCACCTTCAGGCTATCGCGTATCTCGTGGGCCAGTCCCAACAGCAGGGCGTTGGAGAAATGCACGATGTCGGGCTTCACTTCGTCATCGAGCCAGCGAATGAGCTTGCCCAGTTCTTTACGCTGATGCCCGTGCTCGCCTCGCAGCATTGAAAGGGTGAGTGCACCGAGCGATGCGGCGTCGGTGCTCGAAGCCTTACTGGCCAGCCAGTTTATTAGCCGGGGCGAGTCCAGCAGGCGATCGAAGAACCCTGGTGTGAAGCGAAACAGCGGGATCTTCTGTTGCAGATAGACGTTGATGCCGCCGAAGAAGATTCGCTCTTGGCTCACCGAAACTTCATCGGTGCGAATCGGCGTGTAGGTGGGCACCAACATCGCGTCTTCGCCAGCAGCGATCATCGCCGAAACCAGCGTGTTGTCGTGCAGGCAACTGCCGCAGTACATGCCGCCGGCACCTGTGCCGAGATAGACTATCCGCATGCCTTGCCTACGTGACAGGAAGTGGGGCGACAATCTCCAAAAGCTCGATGGCCGGCTCGCCGTTGCACTCGATGGTGGCCGTGCGGCCGTACGTGGTGGGGGATGAATCGCCGAAGAAATCTTTCAGCTCTTTACCGATCTCAACCCGCCACAGACGGTGCAGATGGATTTTCCGCAATACGTCGTGGTTGATCAAGATGCGGCCCAGCGGGGTTCCCTCGCCGACGATTTCTTCGCGGGCCTGTGGGGGCAAATCTGCCAAGTGAACCCGCATGATGCCGTACTGTACGACGAATCCATCGCTTTGGTTGACTAGCAGGATTTTCCGAGCGTAGTGTTCCTCGGTCACCACTTTATCCAACACCCGCACGTCGACCGGTCCGCCGTGAAACTTTTCGACGGTCACCGTCATGTGATGTTCGTGGGCCAGCAGATGGCGATAACCCTCGGGCATCTCCTCGGGCGACACTTCGGTGAAGGACCCCAGCCCGGCGTCGTCATCATAGAACAGCCGTACCAGGGGTTCGAGCCTGTTTGAAGATTGTTCCGATTCGTTCACGGCTTCTTCTCATCCTTCACTTTTCGCGAGCAAGTTGGAAAACGTTATGCCCCGAAAGCCAATACTAGCCTCTGACAGGACAAGCAGCCCGGGCGTGGCGCCAACCGCGCGAGCGTCAAACGTTCACAGTCGTGCTAATTGTAGGAGTGTAGGGCGGGCAGGCGAGTACGAACAGCGGGGGGGAGGGTGATGCACCGCCGAGGCAACGCGGTGCGGCGTGAAAACTATTTGGCCACCGGACCACGCGTGACTATGTCCAAGCTGGGCACCACCACGGCGGGGGCTTCGATCGTCGGACGTTCGAGCACGGTGTCTACCAGGTAGTAGAACAGACGGCGAAGTTCGTCCACTTCGAGTTCGTCGGCCACGGCCTCGGCGCGAGCCCGATACTTTTCGACGAGTTGCTCGGCCTTGTCGAACACCCCGGCCCGATCGTACAAGGCCCGAATGCGACGCACGCGGGACTCATCTGAAAGTTCAATCTGGCCGTTCTCAGTCATGGTGCCTTCAACCAGCGAGAAAAGCCTGGCCGAATCTTCTTCGTGCAAAGAAGCTAGTGCGAGGGCCCACAACACGGTTGGTCGGCCGCCTAAGACGTCTGCCCCGTGGCTGAGTTTGTTCTGATCACTCTCGTCCCAGTCCTTCAGGTCGTTAAGAATCTGGAACGCAACACCAAGATCGCGGGCGAAGCGTGCGATTGGTTCGCGAAGCTCATCGACGGGGCCTGCCAGCCGGGCACCTGCATACAGGGCGGCTTCGAACGCGGGGGCCGTTTTCATGGCGTAGATCTTCAGTGCGTCTAAAGGCTTCAGCCGCTTATCACGGCCATCGCGCCAGGTGAGTTCCGCACCTTGACCTTCACAAAGCTTCATGTGAGCGTCGGCCAGGCGATCAACAATGTCGGTCGCCACTTCGGGGCCCAGGCTGCCGGCTTCGCGACTTACGGCTCGATAGCCTAGGCCGATTAAGTAGTCGCCCACGTTGATCGCCGTCGACATACCGTAGCGGCGATGCACTGTCTCATCGCCGTAACGATAATCGTCGTCATCCTCGATATCGTCGTGTACCAGCGAGGCTTTATGGAACGTTTCAATCGACAAGGCCACCCGACGAGCGGCGTCGGGAAGTTCACTCAAATGTTCGGCACCGCCAGCTAATGTTGCGTTGCCGCCAGTGAGGGCATCGTGAACGGCCAACACGATGAAGGGTCGTGAGTGCTTACCGCCTTTGGCCAGGAAGTCGTAGGCGATGGCTTCGGTCGAGGCGATGGGGTCGAGCGTGGCCGGAGCTTTGGTTTCGCTTTCGGCCGGTTTGCTTCGCAGTCGTGGTGCGAGACGATCGAGTTCGCTTGGCTCGAACAGCTTCTCGGCGGCCCGCATTAGGTGGATGTAGCTGCGGGTCTGCACCTGCGGCTTCTTGTGTGGAATGCGAATCATCTCGGCGACCCAATCTTCGTCGACCGAGGTGTTGCGGCAATCGCTCGACAGCAACGGCACCGCTGCACAAGGGATGCCCGCCATGAGGATCTTATCGATAGCCTTTTCCAGCACGTTCAAGCAGGCCACGCCGACCACCGCGTCGACATAACCGCCGACGATGATCTTCAGAACGATGGGCGAACCTTCGGCCACGAGCACCTTGTAGCCCAAGTCTTCGGCTTCGGTACGGAAGTCGGCAATGCTGCAGGCCCCGCAGCGGCGGCAATCGAGCCCGTAGTCGTCGTAGTCGGCCGGACAACCTTCGGCGTGTTTCAAACAGTGTGGCAGCAAGAACAGTCGGCGCTCGGGCGGAACGGCCGCCACCTGATCGTGCCAGAAGGCTGAAGCCAACTCGACCATCGTCCACCCGAGGAAGCCTTCCGGCAGGTTCAACTCGGAGAGAATGCCCCGGGCAAGGACTTCCATCTCGTCCTTGCTCAGCGGTCGCTGCTTGTCCAGCGTGTCGGCGAAGCCACGAATCCGCTCGCGCAGCATGACGCGGGCTTCACGTGTTTCGGGAACCAGCTTCAAGTGGCTGGTCTTTCGACGCCGTTTCTTGGGGGCCGGTTTGTTGTCATCGCGCGCGAGGGCTTTTTCGGAGGGGGCGGTTGCCAAAATGCTGTCCCTTACGTGCTGGTAGATGGTGTCAGGCAGGGGGCCGATTCGGCGCGGTCTTGCAACGCACGAACCGCGTGCCCAAGGGCCGATACCGCGAAGGTTGGTGGGTAGAGCTTCTCATGATACCACAGCTTAGCGAAGTATAAACCAATGGGCGTAGCCTGCCGGTATCGGCCCGATTCCACGGCCTCGACCAGCCATGTCAGGCCTTTTTCGATGGCCCGGGCGACTTCCGGACGATCTGAGGCCGGCAGCAGGGCTTCTACGGCCAGGGCAGTTTCTTCCACACTGGCGGTCGTGGGAGCGGGGGTCTTCTTCACCGCAGGGCGAGGTCCACCCCAGCCACCGTCGCGCAATTGGGTCGAAAGCAGCCAGCCGACGCCGCGTCGGGCTTGGTCCGAATCGAACCGCCCCAAATCGCGGTAGGCCAGCAGGACCTTCGTTGTACCGTAGACCGGGTTTTCTTCTTCCGCGCGATGCTGATTGCCGAACCACAATGGAACCCAACTTCCGTCGGCCCGCTGCTGGTCGGCCAGGTAGGACAAGCCCTTACCGGTGGCCGATTCGATACGAACCTCCAGTGGCTCGGTCTCGGTTGCTTCCGTGGGGGCGATCCGCGGTTCTCGCACCTCGTCGAGCCCCTCTTGCTTCCAGGCGTGCAGTGCCCGTAAGGCGTGGGCCGTGAGGTCGGAGCCACTGCGGTCGAACGGCAGGAAACCCCAACCGCGACAGAAGGTGGGCCAGCCGCCGTCGTTGTTCTGCAGGTCCAACAACCAGCCGAGCCCATCTTTGGCCGCCGAGCGAATCTTTTCACTGTCGCCATCGGGGTCGCAACGCATCCAGTTCGACAGCGCCAACAGGGCGCCCGGCGTATCGTCGGCGTCGGGCACCGCGCCGCTGAGATCGGTCCATCCCCAGCCGCCAGGGTCGGCACCGGTAAACGGATGACGTTCTTTGTGTTGGCAGCTCAACACCCAATCGAGGCAATCCAACTGACTGACGTTTTCACCTCCGGCCGCCAAAGCGTTGACCGACAGCGTGGTGACCCAAGTGGCCAAGTTGGTATCGATGGGCCACGAACCATCGTCGCGCACCGAGTCGAGCAAGAACTCAACGCCATGCTGCACGACCGGATGCGAGGTGAGATTCATACTGGCCAAGCTCATCACCACGAAGCTGGTCAGCGGCGTGGCTTCCAGATATCCGCCACTCTCCGGTTGCATCTTCTCCAGCGTGCGAAGACTTGGCTTGCGGGCGAAGTGCCTGATGATGCGGGTGATGGGGTTCCACGGCTTGCGATGCCAGTAGCGGGTCTGACCCACCGCAACCAGCGCGGGGATGGCATAACTCACCACCGGCATCCGCAGATACCGATACATGTCTTGCGAGAAACAAGCTAGCTCAAACGGCAGTGGCGAAACCTCGCTCCACGGCACCAGCTCGGCCAATGCGCAGTTGGTCAAGATCGGCACGGCGAATGTCTTGTCCTTGCCGAAACGCTTTCGCAGGCCGGCGATGCCACCTTGCTTCTTGATGTAATCGTCGGCCCTTTGCAAGAGATCGTCGTGATGGGCCGGCACAGCCGTAAGATGGAAAGCGGCTCGCACTAACATCGTCGTGGCAATGTTCGAGTCGCTCTTGTCGGTGTCGCCCCAACCCCCGTCGGGGTTCTGGTGATCGGCCAACCATTGCAGTCCGTTGCAAACCAGTTCGCTGATGATTTCGATACGCACCGAATCAATGGCGCTCTTCGCGGGGTTGCCGTCGCGTCCCACATCTGCGTGCCGCTCTACCAGAGAGAGCGCGCTGACTGCCGTGGCCGTCGAAAGGGCCGAACTGGAAAGTTCGCCCACCCAATGCCCCTGCTGGGTACATTCCGAAAGCAGATCGTCGCGAGCGGTTTCGTACGCGCGGAGCAGTCGCTCTGCATCGAAGATGGGGCTGGCGGGGGTTAACACTTGCTCGCGCATCGTTGAAGTCGAATGTCCGTTCTGATTGACCGTACGTGAATCACCATTCACGCTTGGGCGATTGGTATCCATGGCCTCATTGCCTCGGAGGTTCAAGCGTGACGAGTTCCGGTGTACGGTCCCCATCACTGCAAGTTTGGCCGCCGCCCACCTCGACGGTCGCCAAATCGTTGTATGCCCCAAAATCATTAAACCAATAGTGTTTCACGAAACGATAAGCCCAGCTCTTCTCTTTCACTTCGTTGCCGGGGTTGTATTGCGAGGGGCGCGACTGCATGGCCTCTAACTCTGCAAGTGCCGTGCCGCGTACCGTGGTATCGCGAGCCCCGTGTTTTTCGACCAGGTTCTTCAGTAAGTCGGGCCGTTCCAACACGATGCAGCCTCGCGTCGAAGTGGCGGCCAAACGCCGGAAATCGCTGAGGAACGATGATCCGGAGAAAGTCTCGGACAGTGGCCGGTCATCGATCGAATCGGTGGCGAACTGAATGATCGGGCAGGGCTCAATGTCGCCCCAGGGGCTCACGTGGTGCGTAAACCCGGTGGCGGCAGGACATACCGCGTTGCCGTTGCCGTCGTAATACGCGTCGATTATCGCGATCGGTTTCTTAGCCCTCATTTCAACCACGAACTTGCGGGCCGCCAGTTGTTGCTCGGGCGTAAGGGCTAGCTCGGGGTTGGCATCGGGGCCCACCGGCCGATACACGTGGTACCAGCAGTACATGGCGCCCATCTCGATGAGCCGATCGACCCATTCTTCTCGCAGCAAGTCGTCGTAGTTCGTCTGGCACAGGCTCGTGCAAACCCCAGTCAGCAGCTTGTTGTTGAGACAGTTCTGTAGTCCCTGCATGCTGCGACTGTATACGTTCGCCCGGCCGCGCCGCTGATCGCTGACGATCTCGCTGCCTTCGATGCTGACCAGCGGCGTGACGTTGCCGAAGGCGCGCAGTTTCTTGGCGACTTCGTCCGTAATGAACTGCCCGTTGGTGAACACCTGGAAGTAGCAATCGCGATGTCGCCCGAGGAATTCGAGCAGCTCGGGGTGCATGAACGGTTCGCCACCCAAGATGCCGAAGAACGCATTCCCTGCCGCTTTGGCTTCGCTCACCAATCGATCCAGCCGATCTAACTCGAGGGCCTGTTGTTTGGCCGACACATCGACCCAGCAGCCTTGGCAACGCAAGTTGCAGCTGTTGACGATCGAGATGTACAGAAACGGCGGGAAGAACTCGTCTCGCTTCAGTCGTCGCTTATGCTTCTCGACGGCAATCAGTCCCTTGAAACCGAAATTGTACGCCAGCTTCCACAGCAGGCGCTTATCGGTCTCGAAGAGCAACCGTTTGGCCATCTTGGCGTACATCGCGAGTTTCCGGTTCCTAGGGTGAAGTTCTGGGGTTTGGGTGCGGGGAAGGCTGCGATCAGCTTCGAGGCATGGTGGTGGGGAAATGCGTCACGGGGTTACAACTCGAGATCATCGAGTTCGTCCATCAGGTCGTCGAGTTCATCTCGCGGAGCTGTGGGTTGGTCGGCTTGCCGTTTAGGAATGCCAACGCTCATGCCGACTGCTTCACGGCCGTCGGCAACCAACTCGCGGTCGCGTTCCATGGCGGCCACCTCCATCGCATTGGGGGCTCCAAACAGCTTCGATAGATCGATCTTGAAGCCGTCGATCGAAGCCACCGGCGAGCCGGCAATGGCGGGCGTTTTATGTTGGGGGAAGATGATCGCGTTCTCGGGGCACACACGGCTACAAGCCGGGCAACCCTTGCGGCAATTGTCCGGCTGTTCGACCAGGATGTTCTCGCCCGCATCCACGCCGTAAACGCCAAACAGGCAGAAGTCGATGCACTCCATGCAGTTCGTGCAGCGGCTGAAGTCGATCACCGGATACCACCGACGCGAGGCATCCTCTTTAATCACGATGGGCTCGTTGTGACTGGCCGCCACCGCTTGCCCGTTACTTGTGGATCCATTCGTCGACGCACCGTTGGTCGAGCCATTGCTTGCCGCGCCGTTACCGCTCGGCTGACCGTTGCCGTTCTTCGAGGCACCATTGTTTAACAGCCCGTCCAGCGACGGCATCAGGCTCACCGTCTGCACGCTCGCTTCTTGAACGATACGGCGAATCTCATCGCAGTATGGTTTGGCGTCGTCGTACGCCCTCAGGTCGAGGCAGTAGATCGACCGTTTCGGTTGGCTTGGTTGATCGGCCGGCTGTTCTTCTTCGGTGGCTTCAGCCTCGACGTCGTCTTCGTCGTCGAACTCTTCTTCATCGGCCGAACGGAGCAGCGTGGTGCCGACGGCGCCCTGAACCTGGTTGCGGGCCAGAATCCAATGGGCGGCCCGAGGATACAGCCACGACAGAACGATCATGTCGCCGGTGATTCCCTGCAGGCACAGCATGCCGGAACCGTCGGGCTTAAGATCGTACAGGTGCGGGACGACTGTAATTTCGACTCCCGGGGTGCCCAGCAGTTCGGCCACGACCGACTCTTCCAGACCCCGTTTGGCGGGATTGGCGCTTTGACCCTGTGAGAGAACTACCGTTACGCGTTTAGCCATGAAGGTTTTTGCGATGAGAGGGGAAGGGGATTATTTGATTTGCCCTTTGATCGTCCGTTGGGCAACCGACCAGGCTGCTTCGAGATGATCGAGATAGGCCTCGGGCGTGAGTAGCGTTTCGTCCGAACCTTCCATTGTAAACAGCCAGCCGCCCCCGTAAGTATCCACGTTGATGGTTGAGGGGTCGGAAAGCAAGGCCTCGTTGAATTCAGTCAGCCGTCCGCCCAAGGGGGCGAACAGATCGCTTTCGGCTTTCGAACTCTCGATGGAGCCGATCTCCTGCTTTTCGAACAATTGTGTACCGGGGTCTACGGTCCAATCAAGGAAGTACACGTCTTGTAATAAGCGTACAGCATAGGCCGAAAATCCAAAGCGGTACCCCCCATCAGTGGCCTGCGCCCACATGTGGTTACGGGCATACAGCCGATCGGTGGGCACTTCCGCGGGAAATTCGCCCATCATGAAGACCAACGGGTCGCTCATGTATACCGAACCCCGCGATGTTCCTCTTCGAAAAATGCCGGCAGCAGCCCGTCGACCTGCAGCAGAGCCTCGCGGCTCAATTGGATGTCGTCGCCCGATATTTTAACCAAACCCTGGTTTTGGTAATCCTGCCACACGTCGTCCCACTGTTCGACGATCTCGGCTCCGAACTTCTCGCGGAAATACGACGCGTTGATCCGTCCCGTTTTCAGTTGCAGGACCATCTCGCGAATGAGCTGCTGCTGCCGGGTTGGGTGCATCGCTCGGGCGACCGGCAACTTGCCCTCATCGAGGGCAGCCAGGTACTTCTCCCAACTGGCGTGGTTCTGATAGTGAACTCCTGAGATGTGCCCAAAGCTGGCCACCCCGGTGGCTAAAAGGTCGCTGCCGCGCCACAAGTTGTCGCGGTAACTGAAGTTCACTTTGTTCGTATTCTTGAACACGGTGCAGGTACTGGAGACCGAATAACCTTCGGCGATCAGTGCGTCGAATGCCTCGTTCACCCAGCGACGCTTGGTGGGCCAGTCGGCCACGGGGCTTTCCTTCTCGTTGCCCAACAGGTCGCGGGAGTAAACCGTGTTGAAGGGCAACTCCATCTGGTAGATAGTCACGCTGTCGGGCGAGAGTTCGATTACCCGGCGGATGTTTTCCTGCCAGTTCTCGTCGGTCTCGCCGACCATGCCGGCGATGAGGTCGATATTCGTATTGGGGAAATCGGCCGCCTGAATCCAATCCCAGGCTTTGTAGACCTCCGGCGAAAGATGGGCCCTACCGTTTTCTTCGAGCACTTCGTCGCTGAAGTTCTCCACGCCCAAGCTAATCCGCGTGACGCCAAGCTCGCGAAGGGCCTTCACTTTCGGTTCCGACAACGTGCCCGGCTCGCACTCGAAGGTCACTTCTTCGGCCAGGCTCCAGTCGATGTTCGCCCGTAGACGCTCGCCCAAGGAGTTCAACTGACGTACGCCGAGGAATGAAGGAGTGCCGCCGCCGAAGTAGACGAATCGAAATGGTCGCCCGCCCATCACAGGCAGGTGGCTCACTAGTTCGATTTCGCGCGACAGGGCCGAGACGTAACGCTCCACGTCTTTGGCGTTCTTGTCGGTGTAGACCCGAAAGTAACAGAACTTGCACCGCTTGCGGCAAAACGGGATATGCACATACAACCCCAGCGGAACATCGGCCGGTGGCTCGGACATCGCCCGATGCACATCGGCGATCGATTCCTCATTCCACTGCGAGAACGGCGGATAGTTGGCGATGAAATAACTGCCAACTTCGGTCTTGGTCGTCTCGGTACTCATAGTCTCACATGGTGTGGTTCGTGGAACACTGATTTCGCACGAGGCTCCATTCTACTCCATCCACTGGCAATCGACGATGCGCCGCAGCAAGCTACCAAGGGCCTAAGACCTGGAAATACCGGGAATATCTGCAGAACTGGGGGCCCTGGGGGGAAGATGCGTGCCCGCGACACTCGCGAAGCCGCTCAATCTTCTGCCGCTACCGGTTGACGACGATCGAATTCAAACGGTTCCCGAGCATCGCTGGTAACGGTTACTTTGAGGGGTGAGGCGATGCCGCCTTGATCGACTTGAACTCGCAGGATGTTCTCCGCAGCAAACGGTCGATCGTGAATCCAGCGATGCCCGTCACCGTGCAGGTAGAGGATCGGTTTGCCAAACGCCTGGGCGTCTTCCACAAAGCCGTCGAAGAAATCGTCGTGGTTCTCATTTGGCTTGGCATGTCCGAACAGCACCAGGCTTGTCACCTCGTCGCCGAACACCTCCAGGTTGCGTCGCGTCCAATCCAGGTCCTGCTGGTGTCGCGTGCGCCATTCATCGTCATCATGAACGCGACCGCCGACGAGATTCAAGCCAATGAACAACACATTGCCAGTGACGAAGGAGAAGTTCTCTTCCCGCTCCAGTTGACGAAACACCGGCAACTGATGCGACCAGCGGCGGTCGAAACGATTGAAGTACCTCTGCCAATACTCCCAGGCTTGAGTGGGATCGCTGCAGTCGTTCCATTCATTATCGCCCGGGATGATAAACACGGGGGCCGTGCTCTGAGCGAGCATGGCGAACACCTTCCGATACACCGCCTCGTCGCAGGGCATCTTTCCCGTTTTGATATCGCCCACGTGCACCACGAATTCCGCATCCTTGGGGATGTTCTCAAGCTGGCCCGGCAGTACCTCATCCTCTTCGGGAGAATAAGGCACATCGCCCATGGCGTAGAAAACCACGCCGGCCGAGGAATGATCTTCGGCAGCAATCGGCCGGTTCCCGCCCGAACAAATCACCAGCCCCACGGCCAACCAACCCCATCGCAAAGCAAATCGTTTCATCGAAAGCGGTGTCCCGTTTGGTAGATTCTCGGTGTCAAATCCCAGGTGCTGATCAGTTCCCAGCCGTGACTATTCGGCAAACATGACTTCCGTGCTGACCATCGCGTCGCGCGAGTCGGTTACGGAAAGCATCCAGACGGTGGCGTCTTTCGGCAAAGAGACCGAGACCGTTTTATCTTCAATCGTAGCCGCAGCGCTGTGCCACTTCCGTTCGGCCTGTCGACCCGTGTCGGTGGTGTAATGAAGTGCGGCCGACTTCACTGGCAGCTCTGATTCGAAGGTGGCCGTGACCACCCCGTCGGTTACTTTCGGCTCGCTCAACTTTGGCAAATCCACACCGCCGCGGAGATGTTGATCGACAAACAGCCCGATCTCTTCTGGCTTCCAGCCTGGGGGATGACCGTGCGGCATGTTCACTTCGATGCGAAGCGTCCGCGGTCCGGCCACGAGATCATAGCTTCGCGAATAGCTAACCAACGGGTAATGCACATCGTTGGTGCCGTTGACGAACATGATCGGCACCCGACACTTTGGCAGCCACACCGACGGTTCATACAGCCGAATCCATTCCGCCTGTTGCTCCGTTGGCAGCGATTCGATCTGTGGTCGCTGCACCGATTCGCCATCGTAGAGAAACCCACAACCGTAAACCGGCACGGCGGCTTTGAAGCGATCGTCGACCGAAGCCACGATGCAGGTGAGATACCCACCCCAGCTAATCCCCGTTACGGCTGTCCGCTCGGGATCGACCTCCGGAAAACTCCTGATCAGCGAGTGCGCCCGAATCACGGCGGCCACGGCGTGGTATTGCCAGTCGTCGGTCAGGTCGCCGCCCGCATTGGTGAACTTCTCAACGTGACCTTGTTCCGGCCCTCCATGAGGGAGCCGCGTTCGGTCGATGTCGCGATGGTTGTTGTGGAACTGGATCTCGCCCGACTCCGCGTCGACTGTTGGGGCAGAAGCCTTGCGTCCAGAGAGATCCATGGCAATGGCCGCATACCCCCGCTTTGCCCACAGCCAAGCCCATTCGGCAAACGCGGTTCCGCCGCCCCCATGAATGAGCACCACCGCCGGAAGATCTTGATCCAACGAGGCATCATCACTAATCGACCCCGGCGTTGCATAAAACGCGAACACATCGGTCGTCTGCCCCTGGTACGGCTCGTTCTCATATGTGAGCGTGCGAATCGGGCTCGTCTTATCGAGCCAGGTGAACGTCGGCGGCTGTTCGAGCGAAGCAAGATCCCATAGTTCGTCGGCCTTGCAGAACTGTGAGGGAACAATTGCCAACGCGGCAAACAGCAGTAGTAAACTCAATCGAGGCATGGCGAGGGACCCGCGGGCAGTGGGGAGGGAATTACGGTGGGCGACGTGCCCCTAGCGTAATTGTCGCAGCGTGCCGGGTCGAGCATTTGCCTGAAGAGGCAGAGTCGCCACGAGGGCTGTTTATTCTGTCTTCACGATTTCTTCTTTGCCGAAGTCAACCACCGGTCTAGCGAGTTGGCGAACGCCTGACGATCTTTGGGGGTGAACCCTGAGGGGCCGCCGGTAACTTGGCCTTCTCCCCTCAAGTCGTCCAGCAGGTTTCGCACCGCCAGTCGTTCACCGACGTTGGCATGTGTGTACAACTCACCGCGCGGGTTCAAAGCCTGCCCGCCCGCGGCCACCACGTCGGCCGCCAACGGAATGTCGGCCGTAATCACCAGGTCGCCCTCGGCGACCAGTTCGACAATCTTGCGGTCCGCTTCGTTCATCCCCCCCGGCACCAGAACGCTGTCGAACAACTCCGACTTCGGCACCTTCAACGGCTGGTTAGCCACCAAAGTGACCTTCGTCTGCGTCCGCCGCGCCGCGCGAAACAAAATCTCCTTAATCACCCCCGGACAAGCATCGGCATCAACCCAGATTTGCATAACGGATTTCCCGATTCGAGTTGACCGAAGATTCTGAAAGTGATCAAGTCAATGCAAAGATCACAACGGATATGAATAACGGGGTGAACGATGCACACTAAAAAAAGTGGTGTGGGACACGCAGAAAGCACTCAGCAAGACGCCACGGACCTCACGACGGCTGAAGAAAAGATTCTGGCGCACTTAGTGGAGACATGCGTTAAGCCTAGTTCGCCATTCTGGGTTGTATTCGGTGGTGTTCTTGCGGCGGGAGCTTGCTTTATCTTCGCGGGTGCGATGGCAGCGGTTGACTCTTTCCGCGAACAAACGATGTTCGACGGGGCATCACGAGATATGTTCTGGCTCGGAATGTTCTCAGTATTCTTGGCGTATCAAGTAAGAAGTCAGCTTCACTTAGTGCGAATCATTCAGCATTTGGCACTGCAAGGAACCTCGAACTAGCTTCGCTCACCGCTTCGTCACAAGATGCTTTGAATTGGACGTGACTAGACGGTGCGGTTAGCCGTAGGCCAATGCAGATTGTGATCATCAGCGACTCACAAGCTTTGGTGACTTTGAGGGGATTGTGCCGCACTTAACAGCATCTTGTCGGCTTCGCCGACCCAGCCGGCGCGGCTGGGCCACCCTGAGTCGGTGCTTGTGCTCTAGCCTTGCTCACCGCTTCGTCGCCTGGAAATAGAACCCGATCATCATCTCGTGCCAGGTCTGCTCGCCGAACATCACCCAGCGATTAGGGTCGGGGTTGTTGAGGTTGTCGGCCGAGTTGTCGTAATGGGCCGTGCAGACGAGCTTTGTGCCGCGGGGCATGAACTTGGGTTCGACGAACTTGTAGCCCAACTGCCAATTGAAGTCGTAGTTGGGGCAGTCCATGATGATCTCGCGGCTGCCGTCGGGATAGATCGCTTCGTAGCGGAACGATTTGCCCCGCTGGTGCATGTGAGGATTGACGCCTAGCAGATAGGTGTCTTTGTAGAACTGGTCGGCCGCCACGATCTTGTGATCTGAGGCCCTCGGCGGGATGAAGATTGCCGGGTTGATCGCCATCCCCGACTCCACTTCCATCTCGACGTCCTCTTCCTTCGCGAAACGAAAACCGACGTAGCTCATGTCTTCGTGCGGTGTGCCGTTGGCTGTGTAGTGCATCTGGAACGCGATCTTCGATCCGGCCGGGATGCGGAACGCCATGTTCTCGTTGGCCACCGTCGGTTTCATGCCCGGTGCATACGCACTAATCAACTCGCCCGGCAGGGCAGGGAAGTACTTCCGCCCCGGTTTTTGAATGAACACCAAAATATGGTGCACCACCGAGCGATTGCCAGGGCGGGCTTCGGAGGCCGTAACCCATTTGTCTTCAGTCCAGCCAGGATCGACCGTGTAAAACTGATAGTCGATCACCCCTTCGGCCGGAACCTGAAACGGCTTGTCGCTCATGTTGTACACCGCATGGGGCTCCTTAATGCCCCAGCCTTCAATGAACCCACGTGGAGCCGGCAACTCGCTGGGGTCCCCTTCAGGGCAACCATGGTCGACCCAGGTGTTGATTAGTTCCTTTTCTTCGTCGGTCAGGCGGGCGTCGTCTTCGAAATTGCCGTACTTGGGGCTGGCGAACCAGGGCGGCATCCGCTCTTCGTTCACCACCTCGCGAATCATTTCGCCCCACGCCGCCACGTCGTCGTAGTTTGTTAACGTGAACGGCCCGATCTCGCCCTCGCGGTGGCATTCGATGCAGCGGTCTTGCATCACCCGGGCGATCTGATTGCTGTACGTCACTTGGCCGGTGGCCTCGACCTCGGGCACCCGACCGATGATGCAACCCACGGCCTCGATATACGGCTGGCTAACCGTCTTCTCGGCCAACACCTCATCCAGGGCTTCCATCACGTGCGATTGCGAGGCTTCGGCCTTCTGGTAGCCGACACCATATTGATCATCGATACGCCCCCGATAGCGAATCACCCGCTCGGCATCGAGCACGAACACCTCGGGGGTGCGCTCGGCGCCGAACAAGTCGGCCACTTCGTTGCGCGGGTCTTTCAGAATCGGAAAGTCAATCTCGCTCGTCCGCGCGAAGGCTCCGATCTCGGTCAGGTTGTCCTGCCGGTTGGCGTTGATGCCGATGACCTGCACGCCCTGTTCCGAATACTTGGCGTCGAGGTCTTTCAGGCGGCGACCGTAAAGCTTCACCAGCGGGCATTCCGTTCCCAGGAACACCACCACCAATGCTTTCTTGTCGTCGTAGTCGCCGAGCTTGTGCAGCTTGCCGCGGAAGTCGTGCAGTTCGAAGGCGTCGATCTGCTTGCCAATCCCCACGTTGGAATGCTCTGCAGCACCCGCCACCGTGGGCACCAGCAAAAGTATTGTGAAGATCGTTCTCAGCGAAGCGGCCAAATGCATATCTATCTCCGCGGGGAGTTGGTGGCACGATGCGGTGTCGGGGCAATGCCCACAGTGCCAGGTTGCCTGTTCAATTTTATGCTATCGCAAGCCGGCGATTTCGCCCAAGAGGACATTCCGCACAGAAGCTAGCGCGCTAAACAATGTTCCGATCTCGAGATCTCAAAACCAGTTAAGGCTGCCAGTAGAGGCTGGTTATTAAGGGGTTCCGGTGCCCTCGCTAGGCGACAGAAACCAAGCCGCGGCCTGCACGTCTCGTTGTCGCACTCTTAAGGGGGAATACCTCTACGATCGGGCCCTGGTGTCAAAAAGCCGCAGATAAAAGTGCTTGCCCGGGCAGATGTTGGGCATGGATCCAAAAAACCGCGTGACGTCCGTGGCGAGTTCCGGCCCTTCGGTACTAGGTCGACGGGAGTTTAATTTAGCCCCAGTTTGCCGGCACTGCTGGCGGCCGTGAATTTGTCCAAGCGTTGAAGGAATCGAAGATGAGGACGCTCCGAGGTTTCTGCTGGCTAGGATTCGGAACGCTCTGCGGACTCGTCGGTATCTTGTCCGAGACCGAAGTGGTCGACGAAGTAGCCCACGTACCTGTCGTGCTGAACGCCACCTTCACCGCACCCGAGCCCAGGGCCATTCTGCTGGCCGCTATCGGTTGCGTGGGCCTCATGATCTTCGGCTGGTTTAAGCAGAAACGAGCTTAGGCTCACTCGGTCTTTTCACCGAAGCACAGCAACTCGCCATCGTCGTTGCCGATGACCATCCGGCCTTGGGCCACTGCGGGCGATCCGACGAACCCGCCGCCGGCTTCGTAACGCCACTTTTCTTCTCCGGTGGCAACATCCACCGCGTAGATTCGTCCATCGGCCGAACCGACGAACGCCCGCGAGCCGACGACCACCGGCGATCCGTCGATGCGGCCTCCGGTCATCACGGTCCACATTTCCTCACCCGTGCGGGGATGCAGCCCGTGGATCATCTTGTCGCGACCGCCCACGATTACCATCTCGGGCGTGAGTGCAGCAGAAGACTGAAAGGGAAAGCTACGACGGCGGTGGCGATACTCCCACACGATTTTGGCCTCCCGCCAGTTGATGCAGAAGAACGATTCGCCGTAGGTGCCGCAGTAAACAAAGTCGCCGCTGGCCGCTGGGGTGGAACCGCTTTGGGCCAGAATATCGACCGCGTCGACTCCCTCGCCCGTGTCGAGGTTCACAATGTGCAGTCGACCATCGCAGCCGGCAATGAAACACCGGTTGCCGATCACCGTGGGCGAACATTGAATCATGTCGTCGATCGTGAACTTCCAGACCAGCTCCAGCGTCTTCAGCTTCAACCGGTACAGGCTGGCATCCTGCGAGCCGAAGATGACCGAGTCTTCATAGAAGTTGGCCGCCGCATTGATTTCGGCCTCGGTGGCGTAAGCCTTCACGGCCTCGCCGGTGGCTGCGTTGAGACAGAAGAATCGCCCCTCGGTATCGCCCACGTACACGAAGCCATCGTGCACGGCCGCCGGAGCGTTAAAGCCCAACTCGGTGGGGAACCGCCAGATCTCTTCACCGGTGTCGAGCCGCAGGGCGTAGAAGTTGCCGTCGTAGCTGCCGACATACACTACGTCGTCCACAATCGCCGGCGTCGACTCGAACATCCCGAACTCGAACGTCTTCTTCCACAGCAACTGAGGGTCCTCAGGCAACGTCGACGCGGTTACCCCGGTCGAAAGCGCAGTTCCCCGAAACAACGGCCACGCCTCGGCCGAGGCCTCCTCCACGTCAAGCTTCTCCGGCGGAAGCGTAACCGCCGGCGTGACCGACTCGGCAAGAGGATCGCCGGGAACTTCCGGCTCTGGTTGGTCTGCTTCTTCGCTGGGGAGAGGAGTCGTTACCGCTTGCTCCTCAACGACTACTTCTTCGCTCATCTCCGGCTCAGAGTCGACCGTGTTCTCAGCCGTTTCGGTAGCGGTCGGTTCTTGGGGAGCCACTTCCGCTTCGGGGGAACAGCCAACGAAGATCGCCAGCGTCAGGCAGAGGTATCCGAACCATCGAACCGTGAATGACTTCGAGCGTTTTAGTTCTGGCATGTCGCTTGTTTCGCTCGCTAGTTGAGAGTTACTTAGCATTGCCGATTTGGTCTTAGCGTGAGGTTCAGGGTCTCTTGGATTGGAAGAAGTGAGAGAACCACAACGGCACAACGACACGACGTAAGCATGTAAAGCCAATCTCACTGAAGCGAATCAGCTCTGAACGGCAGGCCGACTTCTATTTGCTTTTGATCAATGCCTGACTTTTACTTTGCGGGTTACCCCCCCCAGCGATCTCGTCGTGCCGTTGTGTCGTTGTGGTTAATTCCCTTTTCTTGCCCAAGAGAATCCACCCTCCACCACTGATAATAACGCAACCATGCCCCTGCATCACTCAACGCTCTTACATCGCCGAGAGATACAGATTCAAGAAGTCCGTCTCTTCAGCACTGCGGGGGTTGAAGTTGCCGGTCCATTGCTTGGCGGCCGCGGCGGCCAGTTGCGGCAGGATGTCTTCGGTGACGTTTAGCTCGGTGAGTCGGGTGCTGAGTCGGGCGGCACCGACCAGCTCGGTGATGTGGTCGGCCAGGGCGAAGGCTCCACCCGCTGCCGAAAGCGAATTACTGCCGGGTTCGCTGGCCTCGATGAGTTCGCGATACCAGTCGTTCACTTCTTCACCATTGAAACGCACGACATGTGGCAACATCACCCCCACGGCTTGCCCGTGCGTGATGCCGTAGTGTGCGGTCAACGGGTTGGCCAACGCATGGGCCGCCCCCAACATCGAGTTCTCGATGGCCATGCCCGAGAAGCAGGCCCCCAATTGCATACCACCCCGGGCACCGATGTCCTGGGGGTTCTCGAGCACCCGCGGGAAGTTGGCCTCGAGTAACCGCCACGCTTCTCGGCTGAAGGCCAAGGAGACCGAGTTCCGCTTGTTCGTCACGTAGGTTTCCACCGCGTGGGCGATCGCATCGATGCCGGTCAACGCGGTCACCGCCGGGGGTTGGGTTACGGTCAGCTCGGGGTCGAGCAACCCGATGCGACACGCCGCACGGCGATCGCCGCAGGCCATCTTCGCGTGGGTTTCAGGGTTTGAAATCAAAGCGAACGACTGCGCTTCGCTTCCGGTGCCCGCGGTGGTGGGTACGGCGATCATCGGCAGCATATCGCGAGTGGCTTTACCGATGCCCCAATAGTCTTGCATCTGCCCGCCACAGGAATGAACGAAGTTCACGCCCTTGGCACAGTCCATCGAACTACCGCCCCCGATGGCCACCAGCAGATCGGGATTGAACGCCTTGGCCCGTTCCACACCGGCCTCGACATGCTTCGTGGTCGGGTTCTCCTCCACCCCGTCGAATAACTCAGTCACCAGCCCCGCGGCTTGTAGTAACTCAACTCCCCGTTGCGGGTGACCAGCTTCGATGACCCCCGGGTCGGAAACCACCATCACGCGAGTGGCTCCCAACTCTTTGGCCAACTCGCCCAGCCGTTGCATCTGGCCGGGACCGAAGACGATTCGGGTGCGTGGATCGTAGTCGACAAGGTTCATGGATGAAGCACCGCATCAGCAAAGTGCGGTCGCAGGAGGGCTCTAGCAGGGCAGGGCACCGCGGCAGCTCATGAAAGCAAAACTCAGGCCGTATCCAACCCGGCGGTGCCGGAACGAAGTCGGCCGTTCAGTCTAAGTCCGTTGTTCTTGCTTTCCGCCTGCCAGCGTTGCGGAAGTTCTCGGTTCCGTCGCGACATCCTTGTGCGATTGGTTTTGATTTGGGTTCGACGGCTTAACTTGCCGCGGTGGCCATCTCCGGAAGCTTCTCCGGCGGGATCTGAAACGCGCGGGCGCGGAACAGAAACTCGACAATGTTGCCTTCGTGCGGCTGCAGCCAATCCAGTTTGATCGTGGGAATCGCCCCGATGTTTAAGCGATCGATATGCGTGGCATCGGTCAACTGTTGCGCGAACTGCTGATCTTCGGTAATCGCCGTAGCGACCAGTGTGGAGCCAATTGCAGAGATCATCTTCTCCTGCGGGCACTTCACCACCGACACGAAGGGGTACATATATTCCTTATGTGCCATGGCCTTCTCAGGCGAATCGCAATGCATCACCGTGGGCCGCAAGTAACCGCAGCGTTCGTGCTCGACTTTACGGTCGCCGTACTTCTCGGTCATATGCTCGACGCCCGACTCGCGAAGATCGGCCTCAATAGCATTCCAAATTGCGGTCGCAGTACCAGGCACCGTGAAGGCGGCCAGTCCCGCATTCGGGTCGGTCGTGGGCAGCGGTTCGATGGGGCCAATCCGCTCGGCAATCGCTTCGGCAATCTCACGCGTGTGACGCGATGCCCAAACGCCCGAGCAGTTGATGCAGCCGCGTCCACTGTTGAGGTATACGCTGTCGACGATCAAGTCGATGTACTGTTCCCAGTTGTCGACCACATCGTCGCCCAGCAGAATTTTGCTGAACCCGGGGCCGTGTACCTGAACGCTGGGGTCGCCTTTGTACCGTTCGATGGTCGGCAGGCCGCCGAAGATCATGCTGCGATTGCAACTCGTCAACACTGCCGCCCCCACGTCGGCCCCACCGGGATAGATCGAAATCGCCTCGGGCGGAATACCCGCTTCCATGAACGCGCTGGCCATGCGATACGGTGTCCACGGTTCTTGAGGGCCCGGCTTTAACACCAGGCCAATCTGCATGGGAATGACCGGTAACCATAAGGTATGCACGCCGGGAGAGTTCGAAGGAAGCACCAGGCCCAAGCACGGGGCCTGCGCCTGATAGCTCACCACCACGCCCCGGCTTTCAACGCCGTAGCCTCGTGTGAGGATCGACAGATCGAGCCCTCGCGTGAGCGCATCGAGCATCTGATCCATGTGCGACAGCACAAAGAAGTTCTTCTGCATGTTCGCTTTGCACATGTGCACCGGCAGGCCCGTGGTGGCCGACTGCTGTGCGGCGAAGTCGTCGGGCGATTGCTCGCCGTCGCCAATGGGCAGCGTTCCGTTGAGGTACAGCTCGCCGGCCTTTTTCAGTCGCTCGATCAGGTCGTCGACCGGAATCTTGCGAAGCGCATCGCGCGCTTGCGAGGCTTTCCGCATGTCGCGCTGCAGAAGCCCGCCGTTGGCCTGGCTCACCACCGCAACCGGTTCCCCGGTTTCGAAGTGCAGCACTTCTTCTTGTTCCAACGACTCGTAGGGTTTTCCCCAACGCAGGATCGGAATCTTTAACACGTCGATCTCTCCGGCAATCGTGTTCGTCGCAGTTGTCTAGTCGAGTGCGGGTAACTTGGGGCCGTTAGTAAACGCCCACGGTCGTGCCTTCGGCCAATTCGCTGAAGGGCCGCACGCCGCTCACGCCGTCCCAGGGATACTTTTCGTAAGGCATTTCGCGTTCGCCTTCGTCGCGTTCCATGAAGCCCGGCACGAAGAACTCTTTGGTCAGCGTGGTCAGTTTCACACGGCCCGTATCGCCGTAGCCCACCACCTGGTCGTAGTCGTCGAAGTCAACGACCTCAATCACGGCTCGCGGCTGCGGGGCGTAGTAGCTGATCTTGAATCCCTCTTCGGCCGTCACTGGCCGCGAGCAAGCCAGGCCCATGAGCGTGTTGCCATAGGTCGGCGTCATGTATACCCGTTCGTCGAGCAGCTCTTCGACCGCGAACCGCGTCCACTGCGGGGTGAACTCGGTGCCGCCGGAGAAGATACCGGTGATGCCTGCATCGGCAATGCTCGAACCTTGATCTTCCAGGGCCAGGGCCAGCGATTCGAGCAGCTTGGGCGTAGTGAACATGCAGCGAATGTCGTGTCCCGCGCCCAGAATCGTTAGCGTCTGATCGATGACGTGCTTCTTGTACTCTTCGAGGTGTTCCATCCACCCCTTCTTGATGAGCTTAATCACCCAGCGCGGATCAAGATCGACACAGAAGCAGATCCCGCCACGCTGTTGGCACAGGTGCTCAACGGCCAGTCGCAACCGCCGAGGCCCTGAGGGACCCAGCATCAGCCAGTTCGACCCGGGCGGGAAGTATTCGTCGGGCAGCGTCTTGCTGAACATCTCGTAGTCGATGCGGAAGTCTTCAATGGCGATGCGGCTCTTGGGTACCCCGGTCGTCCCGCCCGTCTCGAACACATAGATCGGACTGTTTTCAAACGCCTTGGGCACCCAACGCCGGACGGGTCCGCCGCGAAGCCACTCATCTTCGAACGGATCGAACTTCTTCAGGTCGTCGAAGCACTTGACCTCCTTCAAGGGGTCGAACTTCAACTCCGACTTCTTCTCCAGCCAGAACGGGCACCCGGTCGACTCGTGAAAATGCCAACCCACGATCTCAACGGTGTGGGCATCGAGTTTCTCGCGGGCTTGGGCCAGGGCGGCATCCGAAGGGGCCGCAGGATTCGGTTCGCTTACGCTCATGTTCAATTGATACGGCTGGGAGTTACGTGGCGGGAGGGACGCGATGGACTCACGAAGCAAAATTCACCCTCGTGAGAAGCTACTTGACCTTATCCGACCGGGGCACCGCTGACAATCACGCGCAGGTGTGGGCCGCTATTCGCTTTATATAGGTGGGGCAAGCCGGTGGAATTATTCGCTTGAGGGCGTGTCGAGCCGCTTCAGCCATCGCGACACGCGGCTGGCCAATTCAGGCCGGGCGGCCGCATAAAAATGGTCGGCGTCTGCGATCACTTCAACTTGCAGCCGCGACGCATCCTCGCGGGCGATTGCCTCCAGGCGGTCGGGCACGCCTTCGAAGGCCACGTTCTGGTGAATTTCCGCCGCCCCGTACACCGCCAGAACCGGACACTTCACGCGGCGGACCCATTCCAACAGGTCATACCGCTTCTCAGGCCCGTACTTGTCCACAAACCCCTTGGCTGTGATGACATACGGGATGGGGAAGGTGATCTTCATCAACTCTTCGCCCTGGCCCTGTTCGACTAACTGCCGGGCCTCTTCGTAACTCGCCAGGAAGGTCTGGGCCGCCCGACTTTGCGAGAATCGCTCGTAAGAAAGATGCGGACCTGAAATGGCCACTACGCAGGACACTTCCGGAGCATCGTCCTGCCCGGCGGTGTAGACGGCTTTAAACGCCCCCAGGCTGTGGCCCATCAAGGCCACGCGTTCGTAGCCCCGCTCGGTGGCGAACTTGCACCAGGCCCCCAAGTCGAAGCGGCAATCGTCCACAATTTCGTACGCCGCGCCGGCACGAAATCCACCGCCCATGGTCGAGGCCGTACTCATCAGATCGTGCCCGCGGGTGTTCACCACCAGCACGTCGGTTCCGCCGGACATCAACCGTTTGGCAATTTGCTCCCAGAACGAAGAGCCATAGAAGTTGGCCCCAGTGCCGTGCACGCAAATGGCCAGGTCGACGCCGGTGGTCTTGGGCGAATCAGAAGTACGCAGCGACCCGTCGAGCCGTATGCCGTCGGTCGTTCGCGTCTGAACCAGATCGACAATCATCGGGGCAAGGCCTTTGCAGACTGCTTCTGAGGCCCCGAGTGCAATGTACGAGAACACACAACGCAGCACTGCTCAATCACAACGGCAAGCAAGACCTTCCGCGTCACGCAGACGGTTCGCAGCAGAAGATATCGCAAGACTAGCGAGCGTGCAGACTAGCTGGCGCCGCTCGTGTCTTGAGCTGCCGGGCTACTCAACTGCGAGAGCACTTGCAACACGCCGTTAAGGTGTGCGAGGCGGGGACCAAACCGGTCGACGAATTCAGTGAGCATGAACTCACCATCCATCATGGCATGACCATTGTCTTCCACTTCGTTGGTCAACGCATGCAGGAACTCGGATTGAACCTGGCTCAGTGTTTCGGCCGCCTTGCGACAGGTCTGCGCCAATTGCGGGTTGGCTTGCTTCCACTGATTCAACTCGGCAGCGCGCTGACGCTGTGCAGAGTTCATCTGGGCCATCATCTCTTCGAGCAGTTCGTTCTGGCGATCTTGTGCGGCCAAAATCTGTTCGAGGATTTGCGTCACTTCGGCAGCTCCGTTGGAAGAACGGGCGGGAGTTTCGGGCTGGGCGTTCGCGGAGATATCAACTTGCGTGAACAGCGACGTCGCTGGGCGTGGCTCTCGTGTCATATCTGGCAAGGCTCCTGAATGATTTAAACCCCGATTATAACCTCAGCCGCAATGCGACGTCGAGTATTCAGTGCTGTCAAACTACGGGCTTGGTCGTTACTTGCATGGGATCCAAACCTCCCAATGCATGCAGCCGGACCAAATTGAAGTGCCATTTGCTTGTTATGAATTCCCCGACGTTTATTGAACGGGGAGAAAAGCTCGCTCCTCAGGCATCCCGTACAGATGTCTGCTATCACTCGGTATTGTCGCTAAAGTCCGCAAGGTCGATACGTCGATGCTCTCTCTGTCCTGCTGTCCAGGATAACTGCTTGCTTGCACCGCGTGTACCACATCAATGAGATTCCGTTTGGCGATTTTCTCCTGTACAGCAGCCCCGAGTTCCCGATTGTAGGGAACTCACTCGGTGGTGTTCCAAGGGTGCTGTGTGGCGGCAGAACGTCCTGGTGGGCGTTTCATGCTACGCAGTGAGATCTGCCAGACTAGAAGTTCAAGTTGAGAGACTGCATGTCCGATCGCGCTAAGTCGCCCGAGGCCTTAGGGTTCCTGACCGTCGTCGACGATACAGAGCAGGGCGTTATCGGTGGGTACCTGGTGCTGAATTCACGGGGACAGCCCCTGGAGTTCCATTGCACGGCCCCGGTGAAACCCAATCGAGCCCAAGAAATTCTCTACGGCCCCACCCTGGGCGATTACCTCAGCGGCGAACAAATCGGGGCTGCCCTCACCGGAAAAGCCTCGTCGAAAGTCGGCCTCGTCTGCACCGATCGCGAAGCAGTCCTCGGGCTGACCGACGTGGTCAAGCATCCCGTGGTGCTCATCTCCGGCGGCAAACCGTCGACAGAATCTTCTACGCTTAGCGCAAGTAGCCAGCACGGTTCGACAGCAGACTCGGCATCGGGCCAACGTCATCGGCTCGACGAACCGCATGCCAATCTGGCACGTCTGCATGTCTTCTCGTTGAACGGTAGCACCGCCGCGGTGCGTCGCGATCGGGCGAGTGAAGAACCGCACGTCACCTCCGCACTCACCGAGCTGAGCGAGTCCATCGACTTGCTCGAACCGTTTGATCGCATCCGCGAAGCCATCGCCGAAGCCCAACGCAGCGCCCGCTGAGCAGCGAAGGAGATCCTACGATCGACATCCCTGCCCACGGAGAAAGTTGGTCGGCTGTTCCACCGGTGGTCGAGGTGCACAGCCTCGACTGCGAGCTTCCCATCGAGGTGGACACTCCGGCTGTCTTCGCTGCACTCGGGCGGAAGCCGCGCATCAAGACGCGCAAGGCGCGGCTGACGATCCCTCGCCCTCGCGTTATCTCGGTTCCATTAGGTCGCGCGACCAACGTTGCCGTGCGAAGTTTTTACTTCGCCGTACCGCCCGAGCGTCCCGCCTGGGCTGTGAAAAAGGTCGAGGCCAAACCCGGAACGTCTGCCAACGTATCGAAGCCTGCTGCGAGTGACACAAGAACCCGCATGGCCCCTCCGGCCGATGTCGTGAAGCTCGAAGATCGGCTCCGCTACGTGTTGCAGCCACCGCTGGAAAGTTGGGTTGCCGGCGAGTCGCTGCAGTTGCCGCATCAGCCGTTTCCCTACCAATACGAAGGCATCGCGTTTCTGTACCCCCGCCATGCCGCAATTTTGGCCGACGAAATGGGTCTCGGGAAAACCATGCAGGCCATCACAACCATGCGGCTACTGCTGCACGCCGGTGAGGTGAATCGTGTGCTGCTTGTGTGTCCCAAACCATTGGTATCGAACTGGGAACGTGAGTTCGAACATTGGGCCCCCGAGGTGCCAGTGATGTCGATCGGCGGACCGCAGCATCGCCGCCAATGGCAATGGCAACTGCCCGACGTTCCGCTTCGGATCGCCAATTACGAACTCCTGCATCGCGATCGCGAAGTGCTCCTCGACCCAACGCAAAAGTTCGATCTCGTCGTGCTCGACGAATCGCAACGCATCAAGAACCGCTCCAGCAACATTTCGGCCATCGTCCGCGATTTGAATCGCTCGCGCAGTTGGGCCCTGACGGGAACCCCTGTCGAAAACAGTGCCGAAGACCTGGTCGGCATCTTCGAGTTCGTCTCGCCCGGCACGCTCAACGAAAACATGAAGCTCCGGCACATGGGCCGCACCGCCGGCAACTACGTGTTGCGCCGCACGAAGAGCAAGGTGCTCGACGACATGCCACCCTGCCTGGTGCAAGACACGCCGATCGAACTCTCGCCCGAGCAACAAGAAACCTACCGCATGGCCGAAGAGGAGGGCGTGCTCCGGCTCACCAGCATGGGCGACGCCGCCTCGATCCAGCATGTGTTCGAACTCGTACTGCGGCTCAAACAAATCTGCAACTTCGATCCCGCCACGGGCGAAAGCGCCAAGCTTGAACGCCTCGAGGCCGACCTGGAAGAGATTGCCGCCAGCGGGCAGAAGGCCATCGTCTTCAGCCAATGGGTCGCCACACTTTCGGAACTCCGCAGCCGGCTCAAACGCTTCGGTCCGCTGGAGTACCACGGACGCATCCCATCGGCCAAACGCGACGATGTGATCAAGCAGTTCCGCGAAGACCCCAACTCGCACGTGCTGCTTATCAGCTACGGGGCCGGCGGCGTGGGGCTTAATCTGCAGTTCGCCAGCTACGTGTTCCTCTTCGATCGCTGGTGGAACCCGGCCGTCGAAGATCAGGCCATCAACCGCGCCCATCGCATCGGTTCATCCCGGGCAGTCAACGTCGACCGCTTCGTCACGCTCTCCACCATCGAAGAACGCATCGACCAGGTACTCCGCGACAAACGCGAGATCTTCGCCACCATCTTCTCCGACGATGTCCCCCGCGAAAAAATGGGTCTCAGCCGCGAAGAAATCTTCGGCCTCTTCAACCTAAGAATCGCCGGCAACGCCGCAGCGTAGCCCGCGCTCTCACGAGATGTGACGCTCCGACCCTCTGTAGGGAATGCCCTCTGTGGCGTTCCGGGCGTGACGGCAATTCGCGGAACGCCACGGAGGACGTTCCTACAGACGACTCTGCGCGCCGATTGGCTTTGTCGACGATCTTTCCAAATGTATTTGCGTCAAAGAAATCGCGGTCGCTCAGCAGACACTACTTCTCTTCATGCGCATCCTTCCGTGGCCCACCAGAAAACGCCATCGCAATGATGCCACAGAACATGCCCACCAACGGCCCAAAGATGATCCCGTAAACCATGTCACCAAACAGAATCAACCCGACTACCGGACCGAACATCAGCCCAAAAATCTGCCCAAAGACGATGTACATCGCCGCACCCATCAACAGGCTCACGCGGTCATGACAAAGCGTCAGGTTGCCGCTGAGGGTGATTCTACCGCTTTAGCGTGGCAATGCTCTATGGAATCGGAGAAACCGCCCAATTGTCAGCCCTGCCCACTGCGTCCTATCATGGCTCTCATGGGAGCACCTTCTCAAACCTACGATTACGACGTCATTGTCGTCGGGGCCGGGCACGCGGGTACCGAGGCTGCGCTGGCGGCTGCGCGGGTGGGGGCTCGCGTGGTGTTGCTCACCGGTAACTGCGATACCGTGGGGCAAATGAGCTGCAATCCGGCGATTGGTGGTGTGGCCAAAGGGCAGATCGCCCGCGAGGTTGATGCCCTGGGCGGAGCCATGGGCCGCGCTATCGACGCCACCGCGATCCAATTTCGCATGCTCAATCTTCGCAAAGGCCCGGCCATGCACAGCCCTCGGGCGCAGGCCGATAAGAAGGCCTATCAGCAATTCATCAAGCACGCCGTCGAAGAGCAGGACGGACTTGTTCTGCGGCAGGAAACGGTCGAAGACCTGCTCGTCGCAGAGCGTGACGGTCAGCAGACCATCGAAGGCGTCGCCGTCGGCGATGGCAGTGTCTACCGCGCTCCCAAGGTCGTGCTCACCACCGGCACTTTCTTAAAGGCTCTCATGCATACCGGCGAGGCCAAGACTCCCGGCGGCAGGGCAGGCGAAGGAACCACCCAGGGAATCAGCGGCGCACTCACCCGACTTGGCTTCGAGCTGCAGCGTTTCAAGACCGGAACCCCGCCGCGATTGAACGGCCGCTCGATCGACTACGACCGTTGCGAACTGCAGCCGGGGGACGATGACCCGCAGCCGTTCTCGTTCCTCACCGATCGACTCGAGCAGGAACAAATCCCCTGTTGGATCACCTACACAAACGACACGGTGCACGAACTGATTCGTGCCAATCTGCATCGAGCCCCCATCTACAACGGGCAGATCAACTCCGGGGGGCCGCGGTACTGTCCTTCGATCGAAGACAAAGTCGTTCGCTTCGCCGACAAGTCACAGCATCAGCTTTTTCTCGAGCCCGAGGGACGCCAAACGCACGAGGTTTACGTCAACGGAATCTCGACCAGCCTGCCCCGCGATGTGCAGGACGAACTGTTCCGGCACATCCCGGGCCTCGAGAAGGCCGAGATCATGCGTTACGGCTATGCGGTCGAGTACGACTTTGCCCCGCCGCAGCAGTTGAAGCCCTCGCTGGAAACCAAGCTTGTGTCGGGCCTTTACTTCGCCGGGCAACTCAACGGCACCACCGGCTACGAAGAAGCTGCCGCCCAAGGGCTCATCGCCGGAGCGAATGCCGCCTTGGCCGTGCAAGACAAGGAGCCACTCGTCCTCGGGCGCGAGCAAGCCTACATCGGCGTCTTGATCGACGACTTGGTTACCTGTGGCGTGGACGAACCCTACCGCATGTTCACATCACGGGCCGAATATCGTCTGCTCCTGCGGCACGACAACGCCGACCGCCGCTTAACGCCCCTCGCGCAAGAATTCGGCCTCATCGACACACCGCGCTGGGAACGCCTGCAACAAAAGCTGGCCGCCATCCAGTCGACCACAGAACTGCTGCAACAAACCCGGGCCGACGACACCACGCTTGCCCGATTACTCCTGCGGGCGAATGTAGGGTGGGACGATCTGCTGTCCCATTGCCCGCAGCTTGCCGAGGTAAGCGACGAGGTGGCCAACAGCGTGATGCACGATCTCAAGTACGCCGGCTATGTGGACCGGCAACGGGTCGACATCGAGCGGCAACAGCGCCTCGCCAGCAAACGCATTCCCGATAGTTTCGACTACACAGGGTTGCCCCAGTTGCGCATCGAGGCGCGAGAAAAGCTCTCCCGAGTTCGCCCTCAAAGCCTCGCCCAAGCTTCCCGAGTGAGCGGAATCACCCCCGCCGATGTCGCACTGCTGCGTGTCTATCTTGAAGGCAAACGCTAAGCCGCATGTCATTCTGGCGGCTGTAGGCATTTTGGGTTGTGGTCGAGCGACGAATTTGTGGTATCAGCCACAATCGATTGGTAAGCTCGGGAATCCCCCTGTCGGCTTCGCTCAATCAACAGTCTGGCAAGGCGGCCAGAAGGCACTCGACACGGTCTAACGTGTTAATTTGAAAGTGTTTAAAGCGCTTGTTGTGCCGCTAGTCTCAACATCTCCAGCTTGTTGAGAATGTTTCGCGAAGATCGCCGATGGTTTGTCGTAAGTTGTTGTATTCCAATAGATTGCGGTCAAAATACTCATATTGACTCACCCTCCCCGATGGCTATAATTGCCGCAGATGGCAAAATCGGTAATCTTGGCAGACACCGAACTACTTGCCGATTGCGGAAGATTAGGGACTTAAACACCTTACGGACATGGCGAGCCGAAGGTTAGCTCCTAATCTCGGGTAACACGGAGGACAAGGGACTGTCGGGCTGCCTGTGAGAAAGGCGTTGTCCCGGGGTTCCGCATGGACTAGACCGCCATCGTCTAGGGAGAGGGATGGTCAGCAAAACGATGAAAACCGTATTCACGACTGGCGAAGCCGCCAAGATTTGTAAGGTCAGTCAGCAGACTATTATTCGTTGTTTCGATTCAGGGCAACTCAAGGGCTTTCGGGTTCCTGGTAGCCGGTTCCGCCGCATCCCGCGTGATCAGCTGTATGCATTCATGCGTGAAAACGGCATCCCCACCGATTCGCTCGAGAGCGGAAAGCGCAAGATTCTCGTCGTCGACGATGACGAAGAGTTGGTCGAACTCATCACCGACGTTCTCGATCGCGACGGCCGTTTCGAAACCCGCACCGTCAACAACGGGTTCGACGCCGGCATGATGGTCAAAGACTATCGTCCCGACCTTATCGTGCTCGACGTGATGCTGCCTGATATCAACGGTAAAGAAGTTTGCCAGCGGGTGCGCAGCGACCCTTCGATGGATGAAGTGAAAATCATTTGCATCTCCGGAATGGTCGAAGCGGACAAGATCGGCGAACTCAAGGAAGCCGGCGCGAACGACTTCATGCAAAAGCCGTTCGAGGTGGAAGCCTTGATCGATCGCATGTGCCGACACCTGGAAATCGAGTCGGTTCCTGCCCGTTAAAGCTTTTTGCTCACTGCATTCCAGGTGAACGTCACACACCGCGATGCAGCTATAGCACCAAACAATCGTCCACGAGGGAAGGCTTGCCCGACCACCATCGGGCAAGCCCTCTCCGTGACGAAATGGGTGTCGGCCCCGTAGCCGTTTTCTTTTGAAGTGATTCGTTTCTCGCAGGGTGGCAAGGACGCATGCGCTGCTTGCCGGAAATAAACTCGGGCGGAAACCTCTGGCGGCTGCCTCTCTCGGCGTCCACCGCTGAGTTGCTCGCCCAATGGTTGCTGGAAGCGAACCCCACCTCGCTCGCGAATCAACTCCACTCGCAACTATCAAGCGATCCCGCTCTAGCCCTCTGGCTACTTTGTAAGGCGTACGCATCAGCGGCCGAACCAAGAACCCTCGCCCAACTAGCAGGCTGGTTCACCACGCACGCGGTCAATCCCTTGGCAACCAGCGAGTTGCTCACTTGGAGCGATCAATGCGCAACCACAGCTCACCAAGCCCAAGCCAGCACCACCTCCTGGCAAGCCGAAGCCGGGCGCCTGACCGCGGCTGCCCAGCATCTGGCCACTGCTTCACACCACCAGGCCGTGCAAGCCGCGCACCCGCATCCCGACGAAGTCTCACTTGTCGCGTTGCTTTATCATCACCGCGAGTGGTTCGCCCTGGCCGACCCGGCATCTGCGGACTGGGGCCATCCGCCTATCCCACCGTGGCTTACTCAAGAGTATGCGGCGCTTACCAACCCACCCGAGGCATCACCCAGCGGAATCGCCACCTGTATCAAAGCGGCACTTACCCAACCGGCTGAGGGTCTGCAACACCTTCAACCAGAAGTAATCGACGTCTGGAAAGACACCGCCTCCTCGTGGTCTCGCCTACTACCGCAATTGGCCCAGCAAACGTCGCGAGTGAACCAGCTTGAGCAACACTTCGCAGAGCAACTCGAAGTTGAGAAGCTCGAAGCCATGGCCGAACTTGCCGCCGGGGCAGGGCACGAAATCAACAACCCCCTCGCGGTCATCTCCGGTCGGGCGCAGCTTCTGCTTCGCGATGAACACGACCCGAGCCGAAGACGGGCGTTGGCCTCCATTCATGCCCAAGCACTCCGGGTGCATGAAATGATCTCCGACCTCATGCTCTTCGGTCGTCCGCCACAGCTCGAACTCCAGTCGATCGATCTCGTCGATGTATTGGACGAACTCACCTCCGATCTAACGACCATCGCGGAACCCCGCCGCATCGATGTGGCCACCGTAGTCCACGCCGCCGAGCTACCGCTACAAGCCGACCCCGTACAGCTCACTGTCGCACTCAGGGCCATCACCGACAACGCCGTCGAAGCGATCGGCGAGGGCGGCCAGATCCGCATTGAGGTTTCCGCAATCGAGTTGGCCACTGACGTTGCTTCTAATCCGGTGCGGCATATCGAAATCGCCATTCGCGACGACGGGCCCGGCATTCCGCCAGAGGTTCGGCGTCACCTGTTCGATCCGTTCTTCTCCGGCCGCTCGGCAGGCCGGGGGCTGGGCTTCGGGCTTACCAAGTGTTGGCGGATCGTCACGGCCCATGGCGGCCAGATCGACGTCACGAGCGAACCGGGGCACGGCACCGAGTTCCGCATCGTGCTCCCGACCGCCGAAGTGCCGCAGCCGCAACCCGTCATCTCGGGCGAGCGGTCATGATGGGCGAGGGACCAACGTGGCTTAGCGTCTTGCCCCCGTTGGTTGCCATTGTGCTGGCGATGGTCACCCATCGCGTGATCCTCTCACTCACAATCGGCGTCTTGATCGGCGTTTGGCTCACCGTCGACAGTTCACTCACGGCCACCATCCCCGCGGCCCTCAACGAGCATCTCTTCCCACAACTGCTCGATCGCGATCATCTGTTCGTGTTCGCGTTCACATTGCTGATGGGGGCAATGGTCGGGGTCGTCACTCGCTCCGGTGGGATGCACGCCCTAGTCGATGCCATGTCCCGTTGGGCATCAAACCGCCGCCGCGGTCAAATCATGACGTGGCTGCTCGGGATGATCGTTTTCTTCGACGATTATGCAAACGCCCTGCTGGTGGGCAGCACCGTGCGTCCCTTGGCCGACCGGCTTCGCATCTCGCGAGAGAAGCTGGCCTACCTGGTCGATTCAACTTCGGCCCCCGTCGCCGGCCTGGCATTGGTTTCCACCTGGGTCGCCGGCGAAATCAGTTATGTGCAGGAAGGGCTAACCCAACTCGGCGGTCAGGCCGCAGAGGTCTCCGCGTTCAACGTTTTCATCGAGACGATTCCCTATCGCTTCTATCCCCTGTGGGCCTTACTCTTCGTCGCCCTCATCGCCTGGACCGGACGCGACTGGGGGCCCATGGCCGTGGCCGAGGAGAACGCCCTCGCAGGATCGGCCCCAGGACTTAACGTTTCCACCCCGGGCCGCGATCGCTTGGAGCCAACGCCCGACACACCGCGTCACTGGTTCAACGCCGTGGGGCCCATCGTCTTGTGTGTCATCCTGGCCGCCGCATGGTTGGTCATCAGCGGGCGACAATCACTCGCTGCCGACGGGGTGCAGACCACCTCACTCATTGAAATAGTCGGCAACGGCGATTCGTACGAGGCGCTGCTATTGGGCTCCGCCGCAGGGCTAGCGCTGGCTGCTTTACTCGTCGCCGTGGGAAGATTGATGCCCCTCTGGGGCTTCGCCGAAGCCACCGCCATCGGGGCCTGGCACATGATGCCGGCCTTGGCCATCTTGTGGCTCGCCTGGACCCTCTCGGGCTTGACCGGCTCGGATTACCTCGGCACCGGAGAGTACCTCAGCAGCCTGATTCACGACCGCGTGATCGTCGAACTGCTTCCCACCGTCGTCTTCATTCTGGCAGCTTTCGTGGCCTTCGCTACCGGGACCAGTTGGGGAACGATGGGCATGCTGGTGCCCCTGGTCATCGAACTCACCTACCAGGCCCTTGCCGCCGAAGTCGCCACTAACATTACGGCCCACCCCATCTTTCTCGCCTGCGTAGGTAGTGTGCTGGCCGGCGCCATCATGGGCGATCACTGCTCGCCCATCTCCGACACCACCATCCTCTCCTCCCGCGCCAGCCAGTGCGATCACGTCCAACACGTTCGCACCCAAGCCCCCTATGCCCTAGTCGTCGGAGTAGCCGCCATCGCACTAGGCACGCTTCCCATAGGCTGGGGCATCCCCGTCTGGCCGCTACTAGTGATCGGCCCCGTGGCACTCTGGGCGGTCTTGCAATTCGTCGGCAAGAAAAGCGGTGAAAGCTGAGATCAACGCAGCTGAGAATCAGGCTATGTGCTTGCGGCGTCTCTGAACGATTAAACAGAACACTACGAATCCAAATCCGCCCAGAACGATCGAGCTTGGCTCGGGCACCAGGGCGGTGGAGGGCAAGTTCACCAGGAAGGCCTCGGTGTTTCCATTATGGATGCCGTAGCCAAGGATATATTCACCATCGGCAGAAATGTGGGAAGCCCGGGTAAGTTCGGACCAGCCGGTTAAATCGACGCCATTTTGGCTCAGAATATAATCCAGCGTTAGTCCTCCTTCGTCCCCCTCCCAAATCGCAGCGACTTCGTTGCCGAAGATGTTTTCACCGTCGCCTACCAACCGCGATCCATCGTCAGAAATAGCAAGAATGCTTTCAAAACGGTTGACCCGTGCCAATGTGATTTCGGAAAGCTCGAACGGCACAACTCCATCGTCTTCGGTCCATTTGTAGATGTCGCGTATGGGGAATGGGAAGCCTCCGCGTCCAGCGATAACTGACCCGTCATTATTAACCGCGGAGGCGATGTCAGCACGTTCGTCCAATACTTCAAATCCAGAGTCAGCTGACCATTGAAAAGCCGCACTGCCCGACACCGATTGACGATGGTAACTGCCCACAATCGTTGAACCATCTCCAGAGACAGCATACGGAGTGGCACTATAGTAGTCAGGTTCAGATCCCGTAATGATAGATTGAAGGCCGTTTTGTGAAGTCCAGACGTATGGATCAGTGAGGCCCAACTCGTTGAGACCTCGTCCCACGACGACTGACCCATCGCGGCTGATCCCGCTCACATCGCTGTTGTTGATATAGGCATTCGGCAGCTGACCGAACAGGTCGAGACCACCGCCAACTGTCCAGCGGAAGGCTTCTTTCTCACTTAAAGTAAGCGGATTCTCCGGGGCAAGACGCTTAAAGTTACCGGCGACGGTTATCCCATCGTCTGCAATCGCAGAGATCTCAAATTCGGTATAAGGTGCAGGAATAGGAACATTGAACTCAGACATTCCGCTGCCGGCAGTCCAGCGGAAATATTTCGTTCCATCCGCGGTCTCGCTAGTACCAATCACGACAGAGGCGTCTGAGGTCATGGCGACTGGCTTGCTAAAGAAAGCCCCACCACTTAAGTCTCCCAGGCCAATGATATCCGCGCCTTCTATGACGCGAAGATTACAGAGAAGGCTAATCGCGACTGCGATTGAGAGAATTGACTTGCGCGGACTAAACAACATTAGCTGCCCCCTTTTGATGATTATTGTCCCCACCTCAACGCTGCAACCGAAAACAAAGTCGCAACGTTGATTAACGGCAAGGAGTATAGGCAGAGCAGCGAAACCGATTCAAGGAATTTTCAAGTTATTTCGCACTTTTTAAAAAGTCACGTGGCTCCCCTCAGCTACCTTCTCATTCACGCTAGAGGTAATTGCCTCCGAGGGCGCACGCGGAGCGATGTTGCGTGAGGCCAGTTTTTAGGACTGTTCAGGCCGCGCTGGGAGGTGCCGTTTAGTTACAGAAATTTCACGGGCTGCAACTACGCCAACCCACGCCGATTCAACTCGGCCACCACGCGTTGCACGATCTTGCTCACCTGTTGTTTATCGAGCGAAGAGTTCGGGGCAGGGCAGCCAGAGGCGGGCGGATCGGACACGCCTTCGCCGGAGAGTAGACATTGCAGTTCGTGCTTGAGCACATCGAGATCGATCTGCTGCGTGTCGGAAAGGGGTTGGCGTCCATCGCCGGCTTCAAAGCCTCGCAGCCGTAGTGCTGCGCGGAAGCCTTCGGGGAAGTCGGCCGAATAGAGCATCGCGTCGAATAGGGCCAGCAACCGGTATTGCAGCTCCCGAGCTTCATCGAGTTGCCCGGCGAGCGTCAGATCGTAGAGTCGGCGGACCAACTCGGGCACGATACCCGCGGTGGCGTTGGTGCCGCCGTCGCAGCCAATCAGCAGCATCGGCATCAGGGCTGCTTCCCATCCGGTGAGGAACGAGAACTCGGGCCGGTTGGGGCGCACGGCCGCGATCATCCGCATCATGTGCGGCAGGTCGCCCGAGGAATCTTTGATGGCCACAATCCGAGGGCACTCCTCGCTCAACCGCTGCACGGTCGGCACATCGATCGGTGAGGCGAACATCGGAATGTTGTACAGCGTCACATCGACCGGCGAGTTGTCCCCGATCTCTTTGAAATAGGCATACACCGCCGATGGGCTGAGCTTGTAGTAATAAGGAGACACCACCGCTACGGCCCGCACGCCGAGCGTGTGATAGAACTCGCAAGCCTTGATCGTCTCTCGTGCGTTGGCTTCCGCGGCGCCTGCCAAAATCGGCACCCGGCCGGCGGTTTGATCGGCAATGATCTCGACGATCTTCCGTCGCTCTTCGGCCGTGAACCGTAGGAACTCTCCGGTCGAACCGTTGGGGTAGAGCCCATGCACGCCGTGATCGATGAGCCAATCGACGTAGCGTCGCATCTCGCCTTCGTTGATTGCCCCACCGGCACTCAGCGGGACAAGGTTCGGTACAAAGATTCCCCGCAACGCGGCGGACGATGTAAGCGGCATCGATCTATTTCCCAATGGTCTCGTCGAAGCAATGCAATAAAGTTGATAAGGTCACGCCCTTCGAACGGCCATGTCCAACGCACCCCGGCCAGCCGGCATAATCCCCACGGGCGACCTCAATCGCACAGGCGGCTAGACTATCATAGCTCGCCGCAGGGGGCATGCTCGGGGATCGAGGGGTGGTTTCCGGGGGCAAATCGCCGATAAATGATGATCCTGTTGGGGCGTTCATCTGCCGCTGGATCTCGCTCGAACCCCCTTTGACGCTGCCGCTAACGAACATGACGGACAACCCGTGTCGCGAAAACGATCAACCGCCAAGCCGCCGCAACCGCCCACGACGGTAACGCGCGGAATGCCCGGCTGGATCCTGCTGCTGTTCTGCGCGGCGTTGGCCGTGTACCTCGGCATGTTCTATCGGGCCGAACTCAGCGAGCTGACGTTCTTCACGGCCGCAGGCGAAGCTTTCCACCCGCCGCGGTACGCGATGCTGGCCTACCTACTCGACCCCACGTTGCTCATTGCCCCGTGGTTCGGCGAGCCGCCTGCGTTTGCCGTGCTCGATCGCTTGCCGCTGCTGGTGCTGGCCGCGGTGATCATCGTCTTCGCCGGCTTCGCTGGCCGCCTGGCCTTGCAGCTTGCCAAGGCCGATCGAGGGCTGACGTTGCTGGAGCTGATCGTGTTCTCCATCGGCGTTGGGCTCAATCTCACCTCAACCTATGTCTTGGTGTTGGGGCTCATCGGCGGGCTGCACTCGCCCATGCTGTTCATCGTGCTGGCGATACCCGTGGCCTTGTCGATCGGTCTCGGGCAACGCATCTGGGCTCGACGTCGGGGAGAGAAAGCTTCCGCTGCGATCGAGGAAGTACCTGCTAAACAATCTGCTAGCGAAGATGAAAAGGGACTGAGCACGAAATGGCTCTGGCTGGCGGCCCCTGCGGCTGCGGCCATCATCCTTGGCGGCATGCTACCGCCGGTCGACTTCGACGTCCGCGAGTATCATCTCAACGTGCCGAAAGAGTTCTTTCTCGACGGCCGGATCTCCTTCCTCCCACACAACGCCTACGGCAACATGCCCTTGGGTGCCGAGATGCTGGCCCTGTTGGCCATGGTTCTCCGCGACGACTGGTGGTCCGGTGCCTTGGTTGGAAAGACGCTGTTGGCCGCGTTCGCACCGCTCACCGCTTTGCTGCTCTACGCCGGGGGACGCAGATGGTACGGCGTCACCGCCGGTGTGGTCGCCGCCGTGGTGTATCTCACCACACCCTGGGTCGCCAAGGTGGCTACCAGCGGATTGGTCGAAGCCACTTCTGCCTTCTATCTCTTCGCAGCCGTGTACGCCGCGGCCCTCTGGTGGCAAACCCCGCGGGACGACGAGTCTTACAAAGGACGACTATTGCTAACCGGCTTCCTCGCCGGGGCCGCTGTGGCTGTGAAGTACCCGGCAGCCCTGTTCGTGGTGGTTCCCGTCGGAACGTTCGTGGCGTTGGCTCATACTCGTGTGAATGGAACAGCGAACTCCACGCGACCCGCCGCGGGTGAAGTCTTGCGGCGAGTGTTGATCTTCGGTCTCGCAGTGTTCTTCGCCTGTGGGTTGTGGTTTGCCAAGAACCTCTACTACACCGGCAATCCGACGTATCCGTTGCTGGCTAACGTGTTCCCCAGCGAGACACGCACGCCAGAATTAGTCGACCGTTGGGAAGCCGCTCACGATCCGCCCAACTACGATCCGGCCGACTTCGCGGCACACATCATCGACGTCTTAGGCCGCAGCCCCTGGCACAGCCCTTTGATTGTTCCGCTCGCGGTGTTTTCGTTTCTCGTGATTCGCGGCCGACCGCTGACGTATCGCCTGTGGTGCTATGTCGGCTTCGTGTTGCTCGCCTGGTGGTTGGCCACACACCGCATCGATCGCTTTTGGGTTCCACTGCTACCGGTGATGGCTTTGCTGGCCGGCGTGGGAGGCAGTTGGAGCAGCGATCGCCGCTGGCTTCGACTAACCGCCGGACTGCTGGCATGCGGGGCTCTGGTCAACTTTCTGTTCATTCCCGGCGGGCCCGACGGCTACACGAGGTACTTCGTTCCGCTCGAACGTCTGCGAACCGACCCCCATCGTCTGAACCCCTGGCACGCCTGGATCAATCAAAACGTCCCGCCCGATCAGGCCGTGCTCTTCGTGGGCGATGCCGAGACCTTCGATATCGAACCGCCTGCGTACTACAACACGACGTTCGATCCTTCGATCTTCGAAAGCTGGGTTGAAGACCGCACGCCCGAAGAGATTCGCCAGACCCTCGACGAGCATGGCGTGCGATATATCTATGTCGATTGGGGCGAAATCGACCGCTATCGCTCACCGGGGAACTACGGCTTCACCGACTTCGTCACCCCCCAGGTGTTCGAACGCCTCCGCGAGCAAAACATCCTCGCCCGACC